CTCTCTCCGCAAGCCCTTGACGGTCCCTATAGGCCTTGAATAAAGTTTGTCCTCGCATCGTACAGCGTCACAGCCCACAGACGGGTGCACTCCCCGTCCCGTGCGGCTCAGCAAGGACCAGCCGTCCGATTCTCTACAGTATGCTCTGCTCTCTCCATGGTGTCATGGCAAAGCCAACGGTGGCGTTTGGGCCAATGATCGGCTGATCCGTCCTCCTCGAGCCAATTTATTCCCAATAGTAGCCTGTAGTTTCCTCAGCAGCGGACCCGCTTGACCTGTCAAGTTTCACTTTTCAACAGGCTGTGTTAGAATTTGAGAATCTTCAATAGAGTCCCGATTCCAATGATTTGAGGTTTGAAGTTTGAGATTTGAGATTTGAGATTTGAGATTTGAGATTTGAGATTTGAGATTTGAGATTTGAGATTCGGGATTTGAGTATGGTTTCTACACTAAATTTTGGGATTATCTACAGGCCTAGTACCCAGCCAAGCGTTAAAAAGTACCGATTCATGCACGATGCAAGATCCTTTCCTGGACAGTTGGCCAACCTCACCAAACTGGGGCGCCTTGGTCTAGCGTAGGAGTTCCTTGTGAGTTCGCATGTTTTATGCGATCGGCTTCCTCAGATCTCTTGCTTTTCCGGGTTTAACTTTGACTTCTTCTTAGAATGAGAAATATAGAATTTTCCATTGTTCGATTTTTTGTACTTTCTCCACTTCTGATCGCCCCTCTCCTAACATGTACGTAAAGTGCACTACTGTGCGTGCTTTTTTCCACGAAATCAAACGCCCCTCCACGGGTCCCAGTTCACTAGTCACCATGAATTGTTGACTCGTGCTAGACTAAGTACGCGCTATGGCGGAAGGGGCTTTTAGTATTATTCCGAGCCATTTGTCAGAGGAAAATTATTCCTGTGGCCTGAGTGCCATACTGATATGCAATAATTGTCTCCCATACATAACATCTCATATCAAATGATATCGAGGGAGACAGGCGGCAAGGGCAAGGATCAAAGTTTCGTCGTCAATCATGTGAAACTTGCATTAACGATTCCCTCGATCGTGTGACATACACTGACAGTAGAACTCAAACGTTCAAAAGTACATCCAGATCGTCTTCGAATAATCCTAAAATCTAAAAGAAAATTCGAAAAATCCAAACTCAAAGAGAGGCCTACCTGGTCTCTGCGCAGGTACAACCGATTGTCTGGAGTGGGAAACAATTCCCCGACTGGCGCAGCCGCCACGGTCCCTGCAAGGACAAGTCCCTAGTATACATATCTAGCAGTGCATAGTCGCTATTCCTGGAGAGTCCCCGCCAACAACTCGGAACTCAAATTCGCCGCATCTGACAGGTCTCGCTCGCACACTTCCCCGAGATGCTGCATGCATACGCATACACATCAGCTAGTCCCTAGTTCCTCCCCGTGGAGTTCGCCATCAGAAAAACAGACAGCAGTGCTTTGCCCTCCCCTCATCGGGCTCGGGCTCTGATCTGGATCTGGATCTGGATCTGGATCTGGGGATCTGCTTCTGCGTCTAGTTCCCACAGGACGCATTGCAAATCGATGTGCGCTCAGGGACTCTGAGATCCCCATTACCTGGATCAGTAGTTGCCTCCAATGCAAGGCGAATGTATAGCCTGGTGGGCCGGCCCTGGATATGTGCGCTTTTATTCAGGTACCCTTGAGGCGGCGTGCATCAAATTCGTGCGAGATTTGAGGAGGCGACAAAAATACCGATACGGAGTTCCGCGCTGAGTCTGCTCCTTGCCACCTGTCCATTCCATATTGCACTTACATGTAAATATAAAGATTCTGGTCGGGATATGGGTCTGGGTATGGGTATGCCTACGTGGTCCCAGTCCATGTCTCGCGTCCTCCACTTTAGTTGCGTGCTGGGCCTAATTTGCTGTACGTATGTGTCAGAAAGAGGGTATTATGGCCACTATGGCTTCTTCCTGCACTCCGGTCCGGTCATGACCATTGTATTATTTTCCGCTTAGCTATAGACTGAAAAAAAAGACGGCCTGGTCCATTATCAGAGTTGTCAACCCGCGACCTTTTTTCTTGGCACCATCTACACCCTGGTTTCGTAGATCGAAACACTAACAAAGTAACACAAAGTAAAAGGCTACATGAGGGTCAAGAGCGCAATGGAGACCTCGGTGCTGTTCGGAACACATCGAATTGATGTCAGATCGGATGAAACTCTATTTTCCCCTCGTAGATCATCTATACTCGACATGAACTGCTACCTCATCCATCTCGATTGAGATACAAGCATCAATCCGAAACTCAAACAAAGCAAAGATGAACGATGACCATAAGGAGATCAGGCAAACGGGTCCCACAGGCCCATAGATAGAAGTCCTGTAGGTAGATCTGTACACCATTTCCAGTAAGATATTATACATTATCAACTGGATATCCAAGATACCCATCTCCTGCACGAATAATGTATGATTCAGCCGTGCAGACACGGTCTGGAACCCCATGTACATCGACCTAAACGGCAGGCAGTCCATATGCACTACACACATCGAAACATCCCCTCCAAAGTCGGCAGCCACCACAAGCAATCGTATCAGATATTCGTCTCCGCAAGACCTCCAACTGTAGAATTACCAGTCGCTCTCAGGCCAGGTGTTCGTCTTCACGCAAGATTAGATTCCGCGCCCGTGTACTCCTATACAGTTTCGCTTCGTATCCTCACACGATCGACAACCCCCACTCCCCAGCCACCGGACACACGCATGCGAATACTAGTGTATCTATAGGCCTACAGTAGTTGATGATCTCGTGTGCACAAACAAATAAAAATCACTATGAACAGAATTCCTTCAGCTCCCCAACAGCCGGGTCCTCTGACTGGCCCCAACAGCCCAGAGCTTTGCGCGTCTATCAAACCTTGAACCTCCCGACCTTTTGAACAATCGTCACACCCACACAAACCTTCATGAAGAACGTCCCTGCCAATCAATCAAGATCGTAACTGAATCTCGCTTCCCATTTCATTCTAGCCGCGCTCGAACCTCGACGGTTTGCCTTCCCCGGGTTGGATGCTCGAATCGGATTCAGAGGCGGGGCCCGGCGCTGTGGATTCGACATATCGCTTTTTTCCCGATGGGCTGGGTTGAGGAAGCGTTTTTTTCTGAGACGCACATGGTGGTTGTTTTACATGTATGTACCTGGATCTTTAGATATGGTGCTGAGTTGTAGATATTGTAATCACATATTATATCACTGTCTGGTAGATACATCTCTATCTCCATATGTAGTATAACATATCATATTCTACAGCATATAGCATGCCTATTCGGGTTATAGTACTGCTACAGTACTTGGCCCACAAACAATACTACTTTCCCTTCCCCTCACCTAACCTCATCTCACCATCATCCTTGGCATCTCCTTCTCTCTCTCTCTCTCGACCTCGGCCTCCTCTTTCCTGATCATCCAGACAAAACCCGGGCAAACCCACTACCCGCGCGCACTAACCTACAATCCCCATCAGACTAGAATAGTCTACCAGAGCCTTGCCAGAGCCCAGAAGCCGGTGGCTAGTCCAGTCCATGTCAATCTCACAAATGCCGGAAGTTGCTTCCTGCCTTACGGTGCTTGTACATGTACCATCTATGGAGTTACTGCACTGACCCAGTCTCTTCCTTCTAGAGTTTTAGCGTTCCAAGGTTCTAAGCTTCCGTCAGATTCCTACACGTCCATCGATTCTTCGATTCGTCCCGGTTGCTGTAGCTAGAGACTAGCTTCTAGCTACGTGTGCGGTACTTCATGTTTCTGGTTTTTGCTGCCTAGAGTGTAGAGTCTAACATTACCATCTAAACCAGCATCTAGATCCGGTCCTACTACTGTTAACCAGAACCCAAAATTCAGTCCTCCGAATCAAGTGTATACCATCTACCGAGGCCGTTTCCGTATCCAGTCCCACGCACCGGGGTTCAACCTGCGTCGGGGACTACTTAGCGTGCAGCGGGGATCATGATCGACGGAGTGGTTTGGGTTTGAGTTTGATCTTGGATCTGGTTTTGGGTTTGTAGAGTGTACTTCTGACGTGCGGGGCATTCGGGTCGGTTGACTCTGACTCTTTATTTTCTATCTTGTGTTTTAATTCATTTTCTTAAATGCGTCGGGATTTAAACTTGGATCTACTGTAGAGCTACTACCTATGTGGATGTGGAGATGGAATTGGGATTGGAATCGGGGGGCTGGAGGCTAGTTTTTAGGGTGAGGTTGGGGATTTGACTTTTTCTGATATGGATATGACATGAGAATGGGGCAATGTTGGAAGGGAAAGAAGGGGAGTGTGTGGAAGATCTTTTGGATCTTGAATGCCGATTTCTATTGCGGTGTTGATGGGGGTTTTGAAGGGTTCGATTCGAGGTATGGTTACATTGCGTGGAACTGTGGGTGGCGGTCGGTGCTGCTGGATTGATGAGTGACGTCGAGAAGGTATTCCCGGGCGCAAAAGGATAACTAATTGGCAGGCTGTCGAAGTGTAGAAAAGGTTGCTGAATATGGAAGGATATACAAGTCGAAGTTGGACCGAAGAAGCATGATGAAGCATGGGGGTATTACAATGATTAAACTGCGCACATCTAAAATAGACGACGATATTACTGCCATAAAGAAAAGCTCAAGGAATGTATACAAGAAGTACAACGTGAACCGAGATTCCACCCACAGGCCCGAAGTAGCCTTCCCATCTCAGTGTCAACGGAGCAGGTTACGAAGTGCAACCGAATGCATTAGAACGCGATGAGCGGACCAGGGAACATAACAAGACAAACACAAGGATAAGAAAAACTCCTTTCAGGTAAAGGGCGGGGCGTGCCTCCCGTGGGCAGAATCCACATTGCGAATTTTCTCCACAAACAAGACCAAATTATTATCATGAGAACTGCAGAGTAGGACCAGGATGAAATTGTTTCTTGGTAGACTTTTATACAAAATCCCCAAGGTTAATCAAATCGATGGTCAACCCTTACAGGAGCTGAGCAAGAGCACCGAAGATGGCGGCGAGACCCACGACGGGGACGTTGGCGCCGGTCATGAAGGCAGCACCGGAGCTAGTGCTGGAAGAGCTGCTAGAGCTGGAGCTGGAGGTGCCGGACTTGCCGTTGGCAGTGGTGGGGGACTTAGTGTCAGCCTCGCACTTGAAGCTGCCCTTGATGACATCCTCGGACTTGAGCTGCTTGAAGCTGTCACAGCTGAAGTTGCCGTGGGTGCTCTGCATGTTGAAGCTGCCCTCGACGTCCTTGAGCTTGCCAAGAGAAATCCTATGTGCATGTTAGTAGACGTACTTCAAACCCTGAGAGTGGTCACTTACTTGTCGAAGGTACCGGAGAAGTCAATAGCACCCTTGACGGTCTCGAGGCTGGAAAGAGAGATGGTGGACAGCTTGTCATCACGGGCAATGGTGAATCCACCGTTGACGGTCTTCAAGTTGGGCATGCTGATGTTGGACAGCTTGGAGTTGTCCTTGAAGACGAGGTCACCAGTCTGGGTCAGGTTGGGGGCGGAGAAGGTCTCGAACTTGGTACCCCAGAAGCCGAGCTGACCGGTGAGCTTCTCAAGAGAAGGAACAGACACAGAGGAGATGTTCTGGAAGGTCATGTTGGTACCGGTGCCGAGGTTGGGAAGGTCAATCTCGAGGGTGTCGTAGTTACCCGAGAAGCTGATGAGGTCGGTAGCGTTCTGCAGGTTGTTGATGTTGATAGTCTTCAGGTCACGGTTGTTCTGGATGCTGAAGGTACCGACGGTCTTCAGTTGGATACCGTTCAGGTCGGTCAGACCAGTGTTGGAGATGCTGACATCGCCGGCCTTGGTAACACCAGTGTCGAAGTTCAGGGACTGGAGCTTGGGGAGAGCCTCCCAGTTGATGGAGCCGACGGAGGTAAGCTTGGGGAAGCTGAGCAGGGTCAGGGTGGTGAGACCCTCGAGGTCGAACTTGTTACCGATGGAGGTAAGGGTAGGAGCAGTGATAGAGCTGACGTTGGCGGCACCGCTGGAGATGATGCCACCGGTGATCTCCTCGATACCGCTGAGGGAGAGATCACCGCTGTAGGTCTTCTTGATGGTAAGATCACCCTTGAGAGTGGTGCAAGAGTTGATGCCGTCGGCATCGCTCTGGTTCTCAATGGTGGTGTCACCACAGCTGTCATCGGCGAAAGCCAGCTGGGAAGCGGCCAGCGCGGTCAGGAGGTACTTGAGAGACATTGTAGATGCTAAAGCGCGTCGCTGTCAGCAATTGAAGAGTTCCAAGATTCCAGGGGGAGACATACGAATTAGAAATATGAAACGGGGGAGATGAAAGTGAGTGAAGAGAAGAAGAAGCGCTTCAAACGAAAGGGAAGCGAATAGTACTGCGCGAAATTGGCAGGAACTCTCAAATGGTAAGAACGAATGGACGGGGTTGGGGAGGAGAAGAGATTAAGAGGAAGGGGAGGAAAGGGGAGTGGGTGGAGATTGTGTATTGTACACACTTGCTCTTGTTTTTATATACCAGGGGAAAACACACACAATACCGCATCCGGCGCCCTGGGCTGTGCCTGGTATCTTTCGCCGGTTTCGGTTTTACCAGTTTTACCAGGAAACAAAACTCAGAACCAATGGAAATTACGGCCCATTTCCTGCTTTTGACCCGCGCTAGTTCGGTTTCGTATTCCTGGCAAATTTTCAATACACACGTGTTCCATCCCATGCTTTAGTTCCCTCAATGCGGATGTTTGTTGGAATATTTGATATGTGAATGTTTAGATGGATGTTTTGGTGAAGGGCAAGGTATAAATGCATTTGTATTATAGTTGCCACCTCATGTTGTACAATGCAGTGCGTCGCTTGCTATAGCCTATCAGATGCTGTTCTATGTCCACGGTATCATCAACTAGTAGGGATATGCAATTTAATGCGGCCAGTAGATACAACCTGATTACTAGACTCCCATGCTAATAATGAATAATGCTTCATAAATACTAGCTTGTATTACCAGAAATGCGCTAGCTGGCCAATTTATCAAACGGCCCCATCCTATCTATCACTTGCTGTCGTCATCTATGCCCTGAAGCTCGAGAGACTCCCCTGATCTTCCAGAACTTGTGTTATTGTAATAATTGGCTAATCCTCAATCCCTAATCCCTGGTTTGTCTCCTTCTCATCAACTCTTCATTTCCAAACTAACCGGAAGTAGACATCACTTCCAATCTTATGTTTTGATAGTGGCCGATCTAAATTTGCGGGATTCCAAGCCTTCAACGGACCCGCTGCCCCTGCCGCTATCGTCGATTACCGGTATGCACGACTCTCATTGGCACGTTGGAATGAATCGCCCTGGATTAATGTCAATCCTGGCTGTTTTCTGTTGCTCTACCTGAGGCGAAACGCCCCTCGCAGACGGATATGCAATTGGTGTCAAAGGACCATATTCTTCATCAATCCAATCCCCTAAGCAACAAGCCCCTTTCCATGCACCTACTCTTCTTTAGGGCGATCATGAAAAATCGCTTTACTTTCCATTTGTACCTACCAGTATCTGCTGGTATACACTAGAAATGGGCTTTTTTCTACATCCCTGTAGCTTGTCCTTGCCGACAATCAGACCATCACATCAAGCTTGCAGCTTTGCGACGATCGCAATCATTGATCAGTCTTTCACATTTCAGGCATTACATGTACTTTTTACTGACATAAATTTGAAAAAAATCAAAAATCCAAAAAAAAAATTAACTGCACACAAAACATGTCGCTAGCGGCTATAAATTTGCCCCCGATGGAGCTCCTGTCATTCAAGCCACGGGCGATCAAAGCCATGTCTAGAGCACATCGACCCGGGAAATCTGTGACAAAATCTGTGACAGAAATCACATCCCGCTCTTAAATATCCAATAAATTTTGCACAATGTATATCAAAATTGAAGATTGACACTACATGAACAACAAACAACCAATACTGTGTTGCCTTGGTGGCAACAAAGCTATTATACACAACGTTACAGTGTAAAGTTGGCAAATGTTTCAGAACGGGGCCGATTCACTCCGTCCCACTCTCCGAGGTCCACTCCATATGTATTTTTCGATCGCTTAGAATTTAGAAATCCTGCTTGATCCGACCGTGCAATTGTTCTTTTTTTATTATGGAGATGACCAACAGCAATAAAAACAGCCCCATTAAAACTCTGCACAATCTGCGAGTCCGACCAAACACGGACCTTGACCTTCCCCGTGCTTTGTAGCGCCACAATTATGGATACGCGGCCTTAGAACCGAGCCTAGTTGAGTCGGAATTATATGGCTGTTTAAGCTTAGAATCGGGGTCGCCTGTCTAATGAAACCGAACAAAAATAAATGTCGTACATATTGTACTTTTGTACATTCGTACATGTCTGTCCTTCTGTTTTCTTTTTTTTACATTCCGGGGTACCTGTCTGCTTGGGTTGAGAACTTGCCACCCATTGGAATGCGTGAAACGCTCAAGAAACACCGCACTGGGCTATTTCGAGAACAGGGCTTTGAATCTAGGGATAATGGGAATGATTGCATTCCTGAGAACACGAGACCATGACAAAAAATAGGAAACATGTTCGCCCGACCACGCAGGAGTATGTATATGTCGATGTACCTGACGGATTCTGTGAGGCGAATCATCGCCGCAATGCCATGCGTTTTTGGTTTTTGCTTTTATTGTTCTCGGGCACTTCCGTTCGCTTCTGGGATAATTTACAGTGCCGGTGAGTTTGAACCTGGATCTGAGGCCTTGGTATGTTTGCACCACAGACAGGGATTCAAGCTTGTTTCGGACTGCAACACGAACTGTCTTTCGGGCATCTGTCTCGGTCTAACCTCTTCAGATTAAATTTAAATCTCGTTTTAACTGGGTCATTGGCAAATACACTAGACGAACGGTTCTTCCCCACCGATGGATTTTGTTCGCTTCTCAATCAAGGCATTTGGTTATGGGGTCGAAGAATCGTATGTCGCTGACGCAAGCACTGGGGTTGCTCTGATGTCGACTCCAGGCTATCCCAGGTGAAGGATATCAAATACTATCAAATACAGTGTATGAAAATAACGGATACCAATATCCTTTCAATGCAAAAATTTCCGCATGTTGGTTGTTGTATTGAAGTTCAACCGTGGATCCGACTCTGCCCTTGATATTTCCAAGGAACTCAACCCCAGCGGAGTATATCGCAACCAATCGCGTGACTTTCATCTGTAGACCCAGGGTACACCCAAGGAACAACTCTGACATGCTGTATCTTGATTTGCTGTTGCCATAGGGGATCTAGGATGAGATTTCAACGTATTTTTGGTTCCATTGACTTGGAAATTATTGTGCAGTCCTTCTATTGGGAAGTAGTGGGCTTTTCTTTGTGCATTGGACTCTTTTTTTTGGTAGGTGGACGGTGTAGCTACAAACGAGTATCGTCGGGTGGGTGTGAGATATATTTAGGCAGTGTCACATTACAGATAAGAACAGCAAAAAATTTTAAAAGGCAAATTGATAGGATTACGCTAAGAACTTAAAGGTAATAATTGTTGAACGGTTCACATCACCCCCGCCTTTATAATAGACTTAACGAGTGATGGTTACAGATAGACTGATAGTATGTACCTGAAGTATCTACAAGGCGACTCGACTGCATGGTGTTGATTAATCTCAAGAGTTTCTCTAAAGATGCGCAAAGTTATTTTCTATACTCTTCAGGCAAATCTTCATCCTCTGCTAGACTGTACCATGTATAGATCATAACCCACGACGGCCGTTCGATCTGATCTGATTCCCCCCCACCAACTAAGTTGCCCTCCGGCGAGAGCACACTGCGAGATTGGTGCTGAAGTCTCATTTGATACAATCGCCACCTGTCCCAGAGAGGTATACCAAGTCGTCGAAACGCTCGGAAATCTACTTTCCAGAGAATCCTATGATAACCCTCAAGTCCACGAAGCATATGGTAATAATTGAGCACATTATTTCCGAACTTAGCTTTAGACCGACATCGACCCCATGTCGAATCTACATCAGTATCGGTAGGAACCGTTGGTAAAGACCAGCATGTTCGCAGCGTCAAATCGGTGGGCGACGGAACGGCAATAAGGAATGGAAATCGAGGATTGAGAATAGTTGGCTGAGTGGGACATAGATCGCCCACACACTCTGACATCGTCCGAATTTCTTCTAGCATTCCTGGTTTCACATATTCTTCAGCGAAGCAATCCAGATCATGCGTAGACCATGACCAGCGTGTTGATGCGGCATTATAGATATGGCAGAAGAGCTCTAGATTCCAGAGGCCGCGATGCGTCCGATGAGTCTCGATCCATGATGGCGGATCGACCACAAATTGAAATATTTCACCCTTGGGTTCTGGGTTCCTTTCATGCACCCAACTCCCATTCACCCATCTTACAATGTCGGCGGTAGGAGCGATTGGACGGCGGGGCTTTGCGGACTTGAGACGATTGAATATATGCTGGAGACAAGCGCAGGCTGTAAGGTGAATTTTTGCTGCTGCACTCACAGCCTGGCGTACCGCAGCTAGTGATTTGATGGTGGAAATGGAAACAGGTTGTACGGCATGCCCCGATAGGTAATCAAGCTGTTCAAGCAAGGCTGTGGGGGTGAATGTTGTAGATTCGATAGAGGCTAGGAGCGAGAAATGATTGTGAAGTCCCTCCGAGGTTAGGCTACAGTTTTTCAGGACGTGTTCCGTGACAGTCTTATACGAGGTGTTGAACACTTGCTCCATTCGGGGAGATATTTGTTGCAGGCCGTCTAAGCTGGTGAAGTCGCAGCAGGATTCAAGAATCATCAAAATGATTTCCGCTGGCAATTTTGTAAAGGGATCCATTCTCGGCCAAATCGATGGTGGGATGGTTGCAGGGTGAGAAGATGGGAAGAATTGTGCGTACTAAATTGGCGCCGTGGATTAGAATGCCAAGAACATGCTTCCACTTAGTACTAGACATGGATCCTCTCATTTGGCACTTGATACATGCTCATAATCTACAGGGAACTGTCAAACCGGTCGTCAGATCTACAGTGAATATGAACCCCAGTGGCTTCTTGGCCGTGGACTCCACTTGACGATGCACTCGGGCCGTATAGAGTGATAGGAGATCAGGCAAGAGCTACAAGAACAAGTAGGATACTCGATGCTGGCAATTGACACTCAATGTCACATATGTTGACTTATGCCCAGTACACGTATATAAGATGTTGTTCGTGGTAACCGTGGGGTAACCCAATACAGCAAACAACAACTCCGCACCTCCGCAACCTTCTCCGACCCCCATGACCTCCTCACAACCTCCACCAAGGCCACTGCAACCACCAATATATCTACTACATTACTCAACAATGTCAGTTCGACGTTCAGCCAGATTAGGCTCTATCCCAACCCTCAACCCATCAATACCAGTCCTACAAAGCACAGCGCCCACCAAGACAGCAAGAGTCCAACACAGCGCAGTAGCCAAACCTCGCAAAACACCCAAGAAAACACCCAAACCACAAACCAAACCAACTTCCTCGTACTGGTCCCCAGAACCAGCACCCACAACAAATAACCCCCAGACAACCAGACCGCAAACACCACCACCTCTCGACCGCCCTGTCGACCCGCACCGAACAAACGCAACCCTCCTCACCCCCCACGGCACAGCTGTAACCGCCTACCCGGCTCACGCAGAAGATGCCTCACCAAGCAAGACAGGTCTCCCACGACCCCTCGCAACAACAGGCACACTCCTCGAGAAAGCAACGGCCCACCTCATAGCCACAGATCCACGCCTGGCACCCGTAATAGCCCAACACCCCTGCCCTCTATTCTCCCCAGCAGGCCTGACAGAAGAAATCGACCCCTTTAACAGCCTGGCCAGCAGTATCATCGGCCAACAAGTCTCCGGTGCAGCAGCGAATTCTATCAGGAATAAGTTCATTGCGTTGTTTGATTTGGTTGATGGAGAGAGTGTTGGGGATGGGGCCGGGAGCCGGCGTGCTACGTTCCCTATGCCTGAGCAGGTTGTTAAGGTTGATATTCCGACGCTGCGGACGGCGGGGTTGTCGCAGCGGAAGGCGGAGTATATTCTTGGGTTGGCGGAGAAGTTTGTTAGTGGAGAGCTTGGTGCTCGGATGCTGGCTAGGGCGTCTGATGAGGAGCTTTTTGAGAGGCTTATTGCTGTTAGGGGGTTGGGGAAGTGGTCTGTTGAGATGTTTGCTTGCTTTGCGCTTAAGCGGATTGATGTTTTTTCGACGGGCGATTTGGGGGTTCAGTAAGTTTGTTCCAGGGTTTGGGTTCTAAGTTTGGTTTGTTGTATATGCTGACTTGTTTGTGTTAGACGGGGCTGTGCTACCTTTGTTGGTCGAGATGTGAGTAAAATTAAAGGCAAGGGTGGTGGTAAGTTCAAGTATATGTCTGAGAAGGATATGCTGGAACTTGCGGCTAAGTTTGCGCCATATCGGTATGTTCGATGGCTATTTCTGTGATATTGGATAGACATGCTGATTCGTTGCTCCAGGAGTCTATTTATGTGGTATATGTGGCGGATTGAGAATGTTAATATCGCTGTTCTTGGGGGTTAACGATTTAGAGTCTGATCCGCTTGAAGTGTGATTTATGAGACTGAACAGGGAGTCTAGGACGATATCTAGCATACATAATATTTCAGTATAAATGATCATCACAATACTGCTTGTTAATGTCCATGAGGGTTTAGCAATGATTGAAGTTGTCTGCTTCCTAAACGAGTAGGTGCATGATATCAGGCGCCTGGTGCCCAAGCTGACTGGAACAGCCCACATGAACTACCCCAGATCGCCTGCACGACCACTGAATATCAAATTGTCTTGAATGTCCATTTGAAAAGTCTAACGGCGATCACGATATTAAGAGCGCGAATAAAATCGATTTGTACAATATCAGTACACACAGGCTACATAACCAAGCCGTGGGCCGCCGACGATAGCGCCCACATCCATCACAAAGAAAGCACACCAGGCGTCTATTTCATGCCAGCCCAGCTATCCCAACCCCTTGTTTTCATATCTATTGAACGAAGTAGAAATCGTTTACTTGCGGACAACAAGGTTGTCGAGGTCCTCACGCTCCTTGACCTCCTTCTCGATCTCGCGAATGATGGGGCTCAGGTACTCGACGTCCTATTCAATTCGCATCGTTAGCATTGTGACCATTGGGGTGGGTTTGTATGCCAAAACAGAGGCAGCGTGGATGTGACAAATCCTCGCAACAGGATTGGCCGGTATGGGGACTAATGCGGGGAGAGCGAAATTCGGATATTGAGAACTCACCTCCTCGGGCTTGGTCTGCTCATTGGCGGGGAGAAGAGTGTGGGAGATGGAGCACTGCAATTGACTTCGTTAGACTTTTGCGACCCATTGAGGCAGGGGTTTGGTCGAACCTGGAAGGCACGGCGGATACGGAAGACACGGTCATAGGCCTCCTTGGAAGGAAGACGCTTGATGGCCTTCTGGACGTTCACGCTCTCCTCGGGAATGAGGTCGTCGAACCTATTGGGCGGTTAGCAGGTGCCGTTAGGCGTGACCCTGTTTGCGAGCGACTTCCGAAGAACCGGGACTGCGGGCTATGCAACACGACTGCGATTGCATTCAACAAATATGCCACCGGTGTGTGGCAATTCGCCCAATTGATCCCTGATCCTTGTTTCCATCACTCGCGGTTGGGTCGTGCGGGAGGGCAAGATTTACTTGAGTCCGAGTTTCCTGTAGCCGGCGGCGTCGGTGTACCAGTTGGCAAGGGGCTGCATCCAGCGCTTAAGCAGCGGGCGCTTGACAATGTAGCTGGCAAAAGAAGGGGCAGACATGTTGAGTCCCGGGTATCACAATTGACGAGGGAGTGGAAAGAGGTGGTAAGGCTATCCGGCTTGGAACACGAGATGACCCGATGTTGCGAAGTTGTGCAAAACGGAGCTCAGGCGGCTAGGCCCGAAACGGAAACATCCGGCCTGAGGCGGTTATTACACGTGACATGCCGGTTCCTGCCTGAGGCCCACAGCAGGTGGGAATGTCAATCGGAGCACTCCACCTCACAGATAGGTTTCCTATGTCATACCCTCCCTCGAGTGATCAAATTTCGTTTGCCATGGGGATCTGTTGACCCTAGCAATCTCTAGTCCCTGCTTCTCTAGGGAAGCTTGATTGCCCAGAACCCCGCTCACCGTCCGTGCAGCAGCTTAGGGCATTGCATCAAGCAACCGGGTTCGGTAACCATCGGGCCCAGAAATCTCTCCTCACTCGGACCTCCGTTATTCATCACTCCTCCTTCCACACATCATCGGATCGCTTGGTCTTCGACATTTTTCTCTCTCATTCGAAATAGGGTCCTTGGGTTCCGGATCGAGCACCCGATATGCTCGCGTCCGGGAGCCCTCGTTGATTTACGGACAAGCAACGTGAGCGCCGGTCATCAAGATGACTTCTAGCGGCCGCGGTGCTCCCAGCTGCTCCTCGGAGCAAGCTCAGTCAATCACTATTGACAACGCTGCACCCGCTCCCCACGTGCCCGCCATGCCGACTCCCTCTCTCATAACCCGCCTTCAGATCCTCTCAACCACTTGGTCCGATGGCTTTATTACACCTCTATGTGGAGCTAGCGCTGGCGTGGCCTCCGGTATTGTCACATGTCCTCTAGATGTGATTAAAACCAAGCTGCAAGCCCAGGGCGGCTTCCGGCGGGGGACACGGGAAGCTGCGTCGGAGACGCTCTACCGGGGAATGCTCGGCAGTGGAAAGAGGATTTGGCGGGAGGATGGTGTTCGCGGTCTTTACCAAGGACTCGGTCCGATGGTGCTGGGGTATCTCCCCACCTGGGCCGTCTACCTAGCTGTCTATGACCTATCTCGCCAAAAGTTTCTTGAGTACACAGGTTTGTTTCCCTCATTTACGAGATGAAAAGATATCAGCTCTAACCTAGTCACAGATAACTGGTGGTTATCACGACTTTACGCTTCAATCACCGCTGGTGCATGCTCAACAATCGCGACAAACCCCATCTGGGTGATCAAGACACGGCTCATGTCCCAGAGCCTTAAGCAAAACAACGAAGGGGCCCGGGCCCCGTGGCAATACTCAGGGACGTGGGATGCGGCACGTAAGATGTACAAAGTCGAGGGCATCCGCTCTTTCTACTCCGGGCTCACCCCGGCTCTTCTCGGACTGGCTCATGTGGCCATTCAATTCCCCCTCTACGAATACCTGAAAATGGGCATCACGGGCTACGGTATCGGCGAGCACCCCGAACATGGCAATACCCAGTGGGTCGGTATCTCCCTCGCCACTTTCCTTAGCAAGCTTTGTGCAAGCACCATCACATACCCACACGAGGTCCTCCGGACACGACTTCAAACACAGCAGCGCACCATGCCTGCATCATCCCCGGAAGAAATTGCATTTCGCGGTGGACTCAGCCACCCCCATGACCGTGGTCGGTCCCAGGGTTATTCCTCCTCGGATGGAATGCGCACAGCGCTACGCTACAACGGCATGATACGCACGGTTCAGACAATCCTCCAAGAAGAGGGCTGGCGCGGTTTCTACTCGGGAATCGGTACCAACCTGTTCCGGGCCGTCCCGGCCGCCATGACGACCATGCTCACATACGAGTATCTGCGCAAGACGATCAGTCATCTCCAGCATGAGGGTGGTCTGAAGCTGAAGCAGCAAGAAGATGAAGCGCGGGAAACTTCCATTTGATACCCATGATCCAGCAATACATAAAGGAATACCCTTCCAACCTCCTCGCTTCTTGAACATCACTCCCAACCATTTTTGATCGCCACCCCTTTTCCCATTCCTCTTATACCTGTATAGATGTACCTGGCGGTCTGTTGATCTTTGCAGATAACATTCTAGTGAGCGAAATTTGCCATTTGCATTCAAAATTCCATGATCTTGGCATAGGGGTTTTTCCAGTCGGAGATTCCGAGGCTATCACATGCCTTCACATGCTTTGTTTTAGCTTAAGACTTTCGCGGCTTGAAGCATTTCTGTTTTCTTCTGTTATATTTGTGTGTACAGGTAAATTAAGAAACCAAGGATGCATGATCTTCCTACTTGGCTTTTGCTCACATTAAACCGTTATACAAATACCCTACTTCAGTAACGGAACTGTTTCCCCGTAGCCTAGATATTATAAATACAAAGTTTTCCCGTGAACTTGAAAAGATGCGTTAAAGGTGTACCTCAGCCTTGCATGTCCCATTCATGGACATTTCCTCATACCATCCACATAGTTGCTCCAAAAACAACCCCGGCAAGGTGAAGCGGGCTTGCTGTACGAATGAAAGTACTACCGCTAGTCTTTGTGGAGTTCGAGCATCCGAAATTGAACGGAGGGCTTGGTAAACGGCCCTTTTTCGATAGCTCGTTCAAGGCTGCGCAGTTGAAACCAGTAGCGTTTCTCGACGGATAGACATGAAACGACTTCAACACTGATGGAGGATAAGTGCTGTCCAAAGAGGCATTTTGCTGGGCGACGAAGGTATCGCTATATCTGCTGGTAAGCCATTATGTCGACTGTGAAGGAAAAAAGGAAGACACGTACAAGAATGCGTTTCCTAAATTAGTATCAGAAATCTGAATCGACGAGATGTTTGTTGGCCAGTACCAGGTTTGGACGCGGTTGTTTTGGTCATCGGTACGGTACATCGAGGTTAGATTCAATTCTGGAGCATTACTGATGTCCAGTTCAAAACCGCCTGTCCAATTGACGGCTTGCGGGGGTAGAGTGATATCTTTGACTGGATGGGCCTCATAAAGTTGTTTCAGTGTCAGAGCGCGGAGGTTATCGAATGGTATTTCCAGGTGTGGGATGGAAATGCTGCTAGACAAGTCCAAACTATCAACTCTGAGTGACTCCAGCTTCGTGCTGCGCTTGAGATCTGAGACACCCCCACTGAGAGAAAGGCTTCCGATTGTCATGTTGGTTGTTGAGGGGCCACCCAATGTCACAGATGCATCGGCACTGATGGAGAGTTTTTCGGCAGACGTGAACCCGACAGGAATGTTCTTAATATTTGGAAATGGACCAGCAAGGTCAACATGCTTGAGATTGAGCCGAGAGTCGGATACAATATCAAGCGAGTCGATCTGCGTCGTATGAACCTTCACAGACGTCGCATTGTGCAAACTCCTGTGTCGGAAAGTGGTGATATTAGGGGCGGCAAGGCTGAAGTAATCCACCGATTCTAGACTCGTGATGTCCAGATAGGTGATATCGCGTGCGTAGAGGCCTACTTGAAAGTCGGTATTTACAGTTTTGAGGTTCGGGAGAGTGAGGTTCTGTAGCTTTGTGGGGGATGTTCCGAAGTCGACCTCGCCCCTAACTTCCCTCAAAGTTGAACTTGAGAGTGTAAAGTAGGGCTGGTCATCGAGTGGGTTCCATATGTCAACATAATAGTTCCCGAAAGAGCCTTCGATCACCTCCACACCGTCAAGGCTGATGTGCTGCGTCGTGCTATTGTCATTGAGCGGACCGATAGCAACATGGCCCGTGACTATTGGACAATGTTTGCGAAGCCAGTCTGCACCAGCTGGCGAATAGATAATAAATGAGGTGCAGTTGACGGCCAATACCCCTAAGAACAGTGTCACCAAAAATATTGCATAGATAATTACGAGCTTTCAATAAAGCCCGCAAATCACTTACCAGAACAGCATAGCAATATAGAAAGCACCCAGGTGAGCAACATGGAGGACCGTCCGATCATATTGCAGATGTGGAAGTGGGCAGGCTTGACGTAGATTAAAGTCAGGAACAGCACCGACTGGGCACATCACGACTTTTACTGTTATTGACTCAGCCCCTGACCAGACACACGGCCCTATGACCGGATCCCCCTAGTTCAATAATTCAAATTACTGTAACATCGCTCCATGTCACTTAGCGTGCCCAGTGTGTCCGACGCCCTCCCCGTTCCAATGGGAGTAGGGCTGAGCGGCGAAACCGCCCCCAAACGCTTGGCAACACTTGGCGACTCAAATGTCTTACTCGTTTTGGGATCATTATGGGAGCTGTGTTATGCCTGGTCTTCATTTGGACTAACGTGCGAGGCCATGGAGACTTGTTTTGGGACAGTGCTAGATGGACACCTTCCTTCCTAAATAGGAAGGTGGGTCGTAAGTGTAGGATGCTGCTAGATGGACCCCCCCGGGGCTAGATGGACACCTTCCTTCCTAAATAGGAAGGTGGGCCGCTGTTCCCAGGACCAATACTCATCGTGTCCCACGCACACAGCGACCTTGTATCCATTCAGGCAATCCGGCTCGGAATGCAAATCCGATTGCGTCAGGTGGTGAACTCGGTAGCCGTTCTTCTCCGCCCAAACGACAAAGGGTCGCTCATATGTTGTCCAACCGGCATCGGCGTAGTGTCGGGAATACCGGAAATACCAAGAATACTCGAGAATTGGGAATCTGGGGGTATCGCCCATCCGGACTTGCATTGGTCCATTCGCTTCTCGTGGAGCGTTCTGGGGGATTCTGAGCATCCCACGCGCGATCGGACGTTGGGTACTTGACAAGGGAGAGCCTTCGTCGTCTTGGTACCCGTCTGAAATGCCCCGATAGAGGTTTGCGCCTCCCCAGTCACTATACGCTAGGAGCGTCGAAGTATCGTGGATGAGAACAAAGTCTGCGGTGCTGGCATTTGAAATATTCCGCTGTTTATCCTTGATGATGAAGAACCCTTCTCGTTCATAAACGCGGCCATGAAATTCCTTGATGCGGATGATGACGAGATAGAAAGCCGATTCCCACTTTCCTTCTTCAAGATGGATCGAGAGGGCCTCGGGCCAACCGCAGCCAGTAGCGTAGGCGTCAGGAGGAGTATCGCATTTGCGACCTGGAAGTCCAGTCTGGTGGAAAACGGTCTTAGATTGGTATCCATCGCGGATGATCTCGATGTCGTAGGTTGCCGCCGTGGTGTGCGTCTTGAGTGACACGGCTTCTCCTTCTTCATAAACAAATTTGTCGCAATAAACCCACGCTTCGGGCTCGTTGGGGTACATTCCTGGTTTCTCCACTAAGCTGAAAGGGCGAGACCAGGCGTAGTCTGCCTCGGTGTGAGGGCGAACATGCTCTTGAGGGGCGAAAGGCATCTTGATAGCAAAGCCAAATAAACTCTGGGATAAGAAAGCGGTGTGCCTGCAACTGTTGAAGAAAAGGGTGTGTCTCTTAAGTAGGTAGCGTGGACAATATTTGTCGATTACCGTTTTAGGAAATTCTATTAGGACGACCAAATACTCGTATTAGATGCAACTCGCGGGATCCGACGCTTCTCACACTCAGATAACCATGGCCACAATCATTCGCCAAGCTGATAAGCTGTGATTTACCGTCAACTATATTAATAAATACACTGTCAGGCAGAATGGCATGGCTTGCTGCCTCAGGGATCAGGCATCATTTAGTTGCTTGCCCTAACTAATTCATAGGACTATTCGTCTGTTGTTCCTGCATAGAAATCATCATCCTCTTCTCTCTCTTCTCCGTAGAAGATCTCCGTCCATTAATTTATGAGGCCCTACTTGTACGTGGATCACAATATCACAGTACTTCTTTCCCCCTAGGCCGCTACTGGGGACCTTCGCTATCTATGATGATTTTTACATTTTGCCGTCTACAAAGACGTCACTTTCGCCAAAGGGATGCAATCTTTTCAAAAGGGCATAACTTTTGCTATCAACCGAAAAATGTCCAATCCCCCATGATCTCACTGTAGAAAGCTGCAAAGCCTCTGGGGGGAAATCGGCTGCACTCTTTCAACAAACGTCCTTACGAAACCTTGAAAACTGCCTTTCCTATTCTGGAGGTTGTAAAGGGCCTCTGCTCCGTATTTGTACCACTCTAAAACCCTCTGTGCTCTCCGCCTCCGTCGTCTCTCTTCGAAGTCGGTACGTCGGTAGGCTCTCGGGTTATTTGGGTGCTCAGCCCCTCCCTTCTCCTAAAAGACATTCGTCCATCCCATCAAACAGTCACAGGTTGTGGTCCGGCTATGATAAAGAGGGCATTAGCTTGACCGAATACGTGTTACGCGTGTGGGACTATCAACAACCGTTTATATGCTAATAGACAAGATGACCCAAAAAGGAGTATGCAGACTTACAGTAAGGTCCACTGCGTGAGTGGACTCGTCGACGTCCCCGAAAGGCGCTGAAGGCAAAGCCACGGCAAGCTATGCAGGGCATACATTAGTTGCCAACTCAGTCATACTACCTGGTAAAAGGAATGAAGATGGGAACAAGAGATAGGGGTATCGTACTTCAGCCTCGAGGAAGGCCAGGTCAGCCCGGGCTTGGGCTGCATTTGCTTCAGCTTGCGCGGCATCGGCCTCGGCCCGGCATGAGTCGACCTGTGCCTGGAGGACACGGGTACACAGCTCGGCTAGGTCTGGGTTGCGCGGAATCCCCTTTGATGATATTAGATATTAGTGTCTGTTTCGGGCGGTGGAGCAGGTGCGTAACATGAAGGAAAAGAGTGGGCTTAGAAGGGACTGTAGCATCAGACATCTGGGATAGCTGCCACGAGAATGAATGACAGGTAGAGCTTTGAAGAGCTCTCAGTGATAAAAGGCGTATCCGATGCGGCATTCACAAGACTTACCTCCGCAGCAACCGCTGGGGCGAAACCATGCACTGCAGCAAGAGTGGCAGGATGCGCAGAGGGAGGGGGAGGGGGAGGCAGAGGTGGAGGAGCAGGGGGGAGATGGCCTCCATTTGTAAGGTTGCTCATTTTCTGTTGTCCAAAATGGTTAAAGAGGCCCAAGAAGAGATAAAAGGGGGATACGGCACATCACAAGGTAAGATAATGCGTAAGAGAATTAAAGGGGAAGTCGAGACGCTCGTTTTGGAGTTGAAAGGTAGAGAGAGAAGGTAAGGTCGTGAGGAGTGAAGAAACACCACTTATGGCCGAGTGAGGTGAACTTGTGAGCAGGCCTCTGATACTGTCTGCCCTATATATTGTAAGAGCCCGCTAAGTCCTCAGACCCGATGAGACTAATGTGAGATGATATCCCTCATCCAAACGATAGGAAACTTACCTGAAGCTGAGAGGTAACTCGGTGGCATTTGGTGGTGCAGCACCAATTTTTGCTGAGGACGGGAGTCGTCTGTGAAGTGCATGTGTCTGACCTCGTTGATAGAGGTGCGGAGTCTGCCAGATGATTTTGGCATCGATTTCAAGCTAGCCAGTGAGGCTTTTGAGCGAGGACGCGGGGCTGGTTGTAATTTGCCACGGGCATATATAAGGCTATACAGGAATGAGAAGAGAGCGACAGAAGAGACATAATAGACAGAATTATATAGCATGTGCGGTGCTAGAAGGGTTTGAGGGTTTGAAAAGAATCCTAAAAAAGCGGAGGTCTCAAGGTGAAGGATTGTGGTCTGTGACGCTCATCTAGTTGGAGTTATGATGTGCACTATTAGCTTATCCGTGAAAAAGCTTTGCGTAAAAGACTGGAGATAGACAATTCGAATCTAGTTGGCAAGATAAGCTCATGAAATGAGCATGGTCGTGATTATATCTCTGAATAGCTATATACGTATCGAGTTAAAGTACATTCGAATCCGCTCGATAATCGACAGGCCTCCACCCGTGGGAAGATTGTGGCCAGGCTATAATATAGAAGACGTCAAGTTGAATTTTATTCGTGGTATGTGTGCAGAGCCACCAGCAAGCATTTGCATGCCAATAGACTGACAAGATGATCCTTACTATCAGATGCACCACGTTAGTGGATGGGCTCCCGGCATGACCCTGGATGGTCCTGAGGGTAGTTAGATAGTCCTCGGAGGGTCGAAGCTTCTCTTCTTCCCTGTCCTTTCTCCATCAATAATATGTCCATATTATTGCGTCCTTTTCCCTTAGTCTAGAGGTTATGACCCCTCTGCTCGATTTTTGAGGCTATTCACAAGCACGCCAGGCTTTACGATGCCTAAAACAGCTGGCACATGCGATAATGGAAGGGTGTTGAGATTACATTTCGTTGGTTTCGGTAGGCGTGAACCCTGGTGACGAACAACGCCTGCAGCTGCGCTTACTGGCTCATCACCAATGTCGAAGGTATCTCCGACGTCGAATTCTGGGTACCTTGGGTCGTCACCCGAGGCATTTTGTTGATTTCCACCGCGGTCCATGGCGGCATCAGACACCTTGCCTGATTCTTCTCAAATTTGTTTCTTTGTTGTGACTCGACGCGTTCTAGGCGTCTATCGCAAGATATTCTCTTTGCTTCGGTTCGGAGGTAGGGCTCGGAGGTGTCGGTGCTCAGGGTTGGGGCTGATTCACGGCTTACGATAGGTTGATCAGACCTAGCGGCAGCGACACAGCTTGCTTCAATTGTGCTCTGCTCGAGCCTGCGGGACATGCGCAGCAAACTCATATCCAGGGCCCGCTTTTGTCGCAAAAACAAACGAGAGTCCTATGCGTTAGTGGCCATTGTCAGTCATATCATCCCGTAGAAAGTATCCGAAGAGAGTGTGGAAAAAAAAGCAGGATATATCTCACCTCTAGTTATACCAGGGAGAGATAGGCCCGGGCCTGCATTACCTCAAGGGACAATTCCGCAAAGTAACCTTCGGCTTCTTCGGCTCCATTTCGCGATATTTCTTCCTCTAGGCTAGTGGACAGTGAGGTTAGTGCGTAAGATGAAGGGAGCCATCTGATAAAGGCGCTCGAAAGGAAGAGGCGCTTATCTTACCTCGAGCTCGAGCTGGGTGCATTTGCCTGGGGCTACGCAACATTTGCGCAGCCCAGCCAGTCTCTCTCGTACTCATCTTGTCGCCTTGGAGTCTTCCAATACTGTAACGGAGATGTAGAAGAAAATATAAGATGGGAATTACTTTTGTAGAGGAATCTATCAAAAGAGTCGAGGGGCCTCCCGGTCGCCATGCATGAGGGATTGATATATGGAATAAACTAACAGGCGGCTGTCGTATATATATAATAATCAATAAGGCTTCAATATGAGATATGGTACATAGAATATATGATACAAGTTCGTGAAACACTAAAGCGTAGAGAAGGAAGGTAAGTTACCAAGTGGGAGAGATACTGATTTTATAACAGAGTGGGTGTCTGAGCTTTAACACTCAAGACTATGCAAACATTTGCCTTCCAACAAAGACATCAAACTCCATAAAGCCAACAGTAGGCAGTCTCCTAAATACACGGCAAGCGAATATGATAATCCCAAAGCTAGAATCTCTGTAAAGCATTTCTAGCTGCAAATATTGCTTAGGCAGTAAGGCGGCTGACAGGAAAACTTAGCGGCTTGATTAGTAGAAAAAGGTGTAAGCGAGCGGAGGCGAGTGGATTAATCGTAATATGTAGAGCTGTTCTCTTGGTCCTCCCCAGCCCCCAGGACCCGAGAATCACTAAACGATAGTGATTTTCCACTGCCTGCTATTGGGATTATAGGTAGCAGGTCAGCGTCTTACTAGAGCTCAGAAGCGTCATTAGGATATAGGATGAATATGTATATACAAAGAGAAGTTATTAAAGTGAGATAAATAAACCACGTAGTCGAACTAGACAGTTTAATTAAGTAGTGCAAAGCAATACTCTATGCTCGATCATTAAACGCTCACTTTTACTGTAAGCCAAATACCATAAAAAACATGGCATTTCCGTTTCACTTATGCAGGTCATAGGTTTCCTAATGCATCCGCACAAATCCTGCAAACCTATGCTCTGCTCTCCAGCAAGGCTGACAATGCCGCCGATCCAAATCGCCACCACTACTAACATCCACTCTTACGGGATTGAGTGAGAAGAGTTTGCTTTGTTGTCGACTCGCCGCGATCAGCAGACAACCTCCAACGCAACGTGGAGCCGACCCAGAATCACAATTCGGTGTAACCTCGACTCATGCCGGGCCCTTCAAAAAGGCCCGCAGGCTCCATAGGTACTGACAGCTAGTATTTAAATCTCGACGTGACTAATGGCTGATCATGGAACTCCTGTCTGAGTAATGGAGAATTGAGCTGAAGCCGAGAGCTTGATGAGACTGCTCTAAAGACTTCGCCTGAGGCAATTTTAGTCTAGGTAGTAGGCTAGCTTGATTGGTAACTAAGAAACTTCATGGAAATAAGAGGCATTGGCAAGTCCAAAGTAGAAATTAATCGGACTATGTGAAGGTGTTCAGCGCATTCTCCCCAACGTCCGTAGCCAGTGATCACAGAGAGCAATTCCAGTCAGCGAGATTGACTTCGGCAAATCTGAAATGGATCCCATAATCATGGGCATGAGGAATGTAGGCATGCTGAGGCGATACACAACCCATTCAAAGTCAAATGGCCCCGCCCACGCGCAGAGGAGCTTCATTGTGACAAGACGTTTTCCTCGAAACAAAGTGCACACCAGCATCTTTGGCAATCTCCCATTGCAAACCGATCAGCTTCCTCTTCTGCAAAAAGGCAGGGGTGTTTGTGTCTGACTCTATCGTGCACCCTCTTATGCACCCTCTCAGCATGCTCCGTTCCACTTCGTTTCGAGGAAAATGTCTTGTCACAATGAAGCTCCTCTGCACGTGGATAGGGCTATTTCACTTGATCGTGCACCCTCTTATGCACCCTCTTAGCATGCTCCGTTCCACTTCGTTGCGAGGAGGACGTCTTGTCGCAATGAAGGTCCTCTGCACGTGGACAGGGCCATTTCACTTGATCGTGCACCCTCTTATGCACCCTCTCAGCATGCCCCGTTCCACTTCGTTGCGAGGAGAACGTCTTGTCACAATGAAGCTCCTCTGCGCGTGGGCAGGGCCATTTGACTTTGATTGGGTTGTGTATCGCCTCAACATGCCTATTTGCACTTTGTTTCGAGGAAAACGTCTTATCTGTGCTTCGCAGGATCCCACCGACCACGTCCGCTACCGGTCGTCACCCGCAGGTCCGGTCTCTGGCCATGTAGCTGGTCGATTTCATGATGGGTGGGTATATATCTTGCCTTGGTTTTTCGATTTCCCGGCATAACAGTCACCGGTTAATTGCTACCGGTAGGATCCTATGATATAACTTATGTTAGCTCTCTTCGGTTACCTGTTGTATGCGCATAGGGCGTGGGGCTATAGACATGCCCCTGCATGCCGACAGACAAATTGACGGAAACTCACGTGTGCAACGACTGAATCAAACCCCGGGGGCGATGGTGGGCCCTGCTCATCGGCATCCCAGCCCTCTGGGGCATCTTCGTTGACATCATCGCGAAAAATCCTCGTTGAGCCCGGCACCTACAGGTTGCGCGTACTGTAAACCCCGAATTTGTTAGTCCTGGTGCTCAGTACAACATTTCATAAGTATGTCTTGAATAGACTAGTAGAGAGATTGGTTTTGGGGAGCGGGGATTTCGCACCTCAATGTGAGCAATCTCGGACTCAAAAGCGGCGTGTTCGACTGCTTCTTCCGGCCAGCTAACTTGGCGCAAAAGCCGGTCCAACAGCCTAGCCTGGTTAGGCTCACGAGCGGCCTGCTCTTCGTCTCCGTCTGGTGCAGTTGATTGGGTGTTAGTTTGCAAACGAGTTGATCCTTGATATGGCAAGATGGTGCACGGAATGAAGAAGACAACAGGACAGTAAAGGGGGTCCATTTCGATAAAGACAAAGACACCCAGCTTGAGTAAGGCTGGCCCCTCAGGAGATGACCAAACGGGCGAAAGATCTTGGCTACCGGCAGAAGACCTGCAAGGGGATTGCATAACAAGTGGCACAGCGGACTGAGCCCCAACTGAGCCCTGTTGGTGCAGAGCACAGTTTGAATGGAATCCAATAGACATACCTTCTTGGTGTTTGGCTTGACCTTTGTTGGCTTGTCGGGAGAACCGCCAGCGCGCGACGGGCCTCCACCCGGAGGTGGAGGAGGAGGAGGAGGAGGAGGAGGAGGAGGGGGTGCTCCTGCAATGGTTGTCATGATGGTTGTTTGGCTGACAAAGAAAGAGCCGGAAGGGACAGAAATATCAGATCAGATGAAGAGCACAAATTTGGGAGATGAACAGTATGGATGGACGGGTCAATGGCTGAGTGCCATGGAAGCACTCAAGATGTGGATATGGTGAGGAAGGTAAGTTGGGGCAGATGGGTGGCTTACTTTTATAGAGGAATGGCCGTGTCACCTCTGATACTCAATGTCACACCAACAACTCTCAAATCTAAGGATCAGTATGGCTTATGGCCAGCCGGCAAGTTCACCTCCAAGTAACGGTAGAGTAAGCTACAGCCAAGAGCTCAAGCTGATAATTCTAGCAAGGTAGTCTAGATGACTAGTTTAAGACCAACTGACTAGGGGATACATTTAAATTTGAAGGATTTCATGGGGAAGGACGAGCATGAAAGAATTAGCGGGTGCAACCACTGGATCACAGCGACCGGCAATCAACGGCTGTGCTGATGTGAAAGAAAAAAAGGCAGACAGGGAAACGGGAGAGACTTTGTCCATATTATCGCAGCCAAGGTGCATGGAACACTCTGTAGATACCAAGCCAGTTGTGCGTTGACATGGAAGACATGTCGTTGGGCTATAGATACAGTTCTCAGGTAATCTGCAGGTACCCGCTTGGGCCCACATGGGCTTGTGGCGCATCATCCGCGCGCAACTCCCAAGCAGAGACATGTCTCTTCGATGTGTACACATCATTCTCGATTATTGTAGTGAGTGAATTCGGTACGGCTGGCTTAGCGTAGGCGCTGGTAGGTCGTTGAGAGATGTGGATTTGGCGACTGCCGAGGACAAACTTTGCGCTGCTCGAACTGCAGAGAAGTTGGAGGCATCAAGTGCTTTATCCTAGCAGTACGTCTGGTATACCACATGATGGTCGGCTATTATCATGGCGTTTATCGAATGGAGGAAAGTTCACAATGTGCGATGCGGGGTTGATCGAGGATGCTGATGCTGACGTGCACGCGGGATTCAGCTCGTGAGGGTGTTCAACCTGTGAAGTTGTCAGTTAAAAAGGAGTATGTGCTATTGAGGGGGTCACACCGCAACTTGTAATCTGTAAAGCCGTGTTTGTAGGGCAGCTGGTCAGAGGAAAGTCAGGAAGATAGAAAGGTTCGCGAGACCAATGAATACATCAGACAAATTCTTCGCGAGTCAGACCTGGACGAATACTGGTTACGGATTTACTCGACACTGTGTCACGAACTGCGCATTGCTTACCCGCCGGACTTCCTCAAAAGGCTTTCTGAATTTCTACAAACCAGTGAGATTATTTGGAAAACTCCCTTCGCCAGCCAGAAAGGAGTGCTCAAACGTTCCGCAGAAACCGTTGTCAAGGTAGTTTCGCAACATGGAGCACTGCAGAATCCACCACACTACAATACCTTGACGGCCATAGGCCAAGTATCCTAACACAAACCCCTCTTGGATTAGTGTGTATGAGTGTAGTTTCACTGATATCTATGACTGACATGCAATTTATGTCGCTTGGGGAAGACTGGCACACACTGGACCCTATTCAAAAACCATCTCTTAGCAACCTACTTAACATGATACTTATGGATTTGAGAACCCTCCCTTACGCGAAAGGGTCTCTAGTGGGAGGAACAGTAGGTGAAGGGCATGAAGGTATTCGAAGGTATGTTCGTAGGAGCGAGACACCTATCACTAGCTTTGAAGGATTCGAAACCTTCATGTTCGCAAATCCGCATTAGGGCAGTGTGTTCGTCGATTTACTATGATAATTATCATCGATATCTCCAAGCCGTTCAGGCCAATATATCGTCTTGATATATGGTGACTTAAGGCCGGATATTATGGTTGAATTGGCCGACAACAAGTATATCATTTCTGGGATTCTCGATAGCAGATACAGCGGTTTTGTTTTAACTATTACGAGTCTGTCAGATGTACGAACTGCATGATACCATACGAGGAAGACCACTGGTATTTATATTTGCCAGTCTGTGTCTTACCAAGGATCTACGTCTAGTGGTGTCTTTTTGATCGAGTTCGAGAAAGCAGAGTTATATGAAAGGTGACTAGGGACCTACCAAATGAAAGCCCTACTTGGCGTTATGGACCTCCCCTCTACGTGCACAGCTGTCTGGGGGACTGCGTAGTGCTATTATGACCTATTTAGTGCTTTAGACAAGACGAGCTCCAAATACCCGTGGAAATTTGATAGTACAATTCTCCTGGGACACGCTATACATCGGATTATTGCACCCTTTTCGCACTTTAAAGGGTTTGCAGATTATGGTACTCCCCTTACTGTTGCAACACAAGATGATCCTATATTTTGTTAAGAAATCACAAACATGTTATAGGGGCGATACTACATCAGCGGTCATAAGTCCTTATACACTCCGCTTTTATATGATCTAGATGATGAACCCAAGGCACTCGAAAAAGGGTTTAAAAAAACTGCGAAAAAAGAGAGGCTAAATTAGGGTAAAAACGATGCATAAAACATTACACTCGCTTCGAGGCTTTCGCATAGAAAGAGTCTAATACTTCATAGCACTGTGTAAACATTTATGACCCCTGTTGCATTACTTAGTAAAAAGCGGCAAGAGGCACTAAACTGAAGGGCAGAGGAAATCACGTACATTGACACTGCTTCATACCCTTCTGTATCTTTACATGATCAAGAATCCAAATATAATGATATTGAGGGAAATATATATCTTACCAAAATTACATTGAGGCCTGAGGCTTCAGCGTGTAAACAGAAGGGTGGTCACATGACACACTATTTAAATTACCCGCAATTTTTTTTCCATCTCGTTTTCCCTTCCAATTTTTCATGCACGTTTATTCTGCAACAACCATGGTCCAACGATCTGTTCCTGGATTCTCATGTGTATAATGCCGACACTATGAGTACCCGGTACTTGATCTTTGAAACAACCATTTATCATGCTTAGCATTGGGTGCCTCTTTTGACCAGGTTATCACCCATTTGACACGCGCCATGAAATGGAAAGCGATATGGTGCAACAGTCATCTATAGCCTGAATGTTTCACTTTTCGGGCCAATTGGCAATGTCTTGATGAGCCTTTTTTCCATTGTGTCTGCTCCACGTTCCATTGACGTACAGCACATGTCACGATGCTCTTCTCCATTATTCGCATGATGAACAATTCTTTATCGATCTGGGTTGTTAAACACTTGAACTCCCGGGGCATGATCATTGATACACTGAAAATTCTGATTGAATTTGGAGAAAGACATTTATTTCCCTTCCCATCTGTTTATGCTCGTTGCTACGTTTAATATAGCAATGAATTGTTGACACAATAAAATCCTCTATACAAATTGGTATCACAAAGAAACATCAACCATCGGATAGTAATGGCTGTAGAGGATGTAAGCCGAACGCACTGGCATATCGCTTCATGCTTCAAGGTCATCATTTGCCCTTCCCGCCGTTCTGGGCTCGACTCTCCTCAAGAGCTTGCTGCACCCACGACTCATCTTTTCTCTCAGATGGCACAGGCCGCTGGAGACTGGAGCCTGTTGAAGCTTGAGTCTGGGCGTTTTGTCGCGCTGTGCGGATTGAACTGAAACAGTATGAACAAAGAATAACAGCCATTGTGAAGGCTGCGATGGGAGCATTGATAGACTTGATTCAGGTCAGTATCGGAACAGTCATTAAAGTCAATGTGAAACCAAGGTATGGCTGGAGTGTATGGATAGGAGTCAAGTGGGCTGATTGAGATATAGAGGCTTTTCGTTGCGGGATACACTGTACGTACTCCTGATGGCTTGCCAAATGCCTTGGGATTTGGCTTCTGTTGTGCCATTGTATATATAGCAGATTCTTGAGGATTGAAATGGGATGAGAGGTGTCAGGTCTCGGACTATGCTGGAAGGTGGCGTAGTCTGCGCTTTGTGGATGAGTGGAGATTTAACACTGAAGTATCATTGGATGGACACAATATAGCATGGATGTAAGGTGGAAAGACAGATTCCATAGAATCAATGAGAATGGAAAGCGCATGGATATCGCAGTGTACTGTTGAGAGCAATATATAGAGAGCGAAAGTGACCATTTGGCTAAGCTGGATATTGTTCCAGCAGAAAGTGAAAGAGGAGAGACGGTAGGTAAAGCGGTAGATCTCCGGTCCAATTACCGTTGAGAGTCACCTCGGCCCTCTGTACACCGCCTTACCTTTATCGCATATCGCGACAAAGCTCCTCATCACGGATCAACCATACAACAGCCATGGCTTCCGATTCGCCTCCCAAAGGGGGGATGTCTCTTTATGCCAATCTTCTCGACCCGTCAAACGACAAACCGGGAACGATTTCTCGTGCTCCGGTTGTCTTCAAACAGAGCTCGGAGACTGAGGCGCAACCCGACGACGCGGCGGGTAAAAAGCAACTGAATGCTGGTAGCTATATTTGATCTCTCTGTTGCAGCGAAGCAGCTTGAACTCACCTTCCTCTCGCCGAACAGCTTCTCTCCGATTCCAGCCAACAAGACGGCCACAACTCTCAGCTCAGAAGGCCAAACCAAAGTCTACGTTTCCCAAGGCAGCGCCACATCTGACACCCAACCAAGCTCCAACTCCCTCAGCAGTACCTCTAACGAAGAGCACCTTGGCTGACTGGGCGGCCTTGGAAGATGATGACTACGGATACCAGGGCGAGAAACGACAGCGTGGTGGCAGGAAGAAACGCAAGAAGAACCGTGAAGCGCATATTGTTCAGAACTGGGACGACATCTATGATCCGTCGCGACCAAACAACTACGAGGAATACCGACACAGTGACGAGAAAATCATGGAGGTCCGCGACTGGAAGAATCGCTTGTACGCGCATCGGATGAGACGCTCGCTGAGCCAAGACTCGGACAGCGATGACGACAACAGGCCAATGAACCGTATGTTCAGACTGTTTCATTTTAGCTGTGCTGGAAAATTACTGAAAGGATATTTCTAGGACAATTCGCACCCCCCAGCAGCTTTGCCCCTCCACCAAATCTCAACAATACGCCGCCCACACCAGCTCCGCCCACACCAGCTTCCGTCCCCAATGATGCATCTGGTGAAGATGCCTTTGCTCGTCGTGCACGCCTCGGTCAGTCCGCTGGCTCCGCACAACAAATTCCGCCACCGCCGTCTGAAGAACCCAACCCTATCCCCAACGACCCCACCGGCGAAGACGCATACTTGCGGCGCTTCCAGAAAGCCGGCAACCTATCATCAGAACAAAACATACCCCCTCCTCCCCCACCACGCCCTCTCGATAAATTCCAGCCTAGTACCGCCACAATCTCCCGTGCCCCGGTTCGATACACTCTACCCGCGCCGCCAGAAGATATGCCTGCATCCGAAGCCGAGCTTGAAGCTGCATTGGCCGAAGAAGAGCCAGCAAACGAAGAAGAACAAGATGAGGATGCACCACGCTCTCTCCATCCAGGCCAAAAGGGCTTCGCGGAACGTTTCATGTCCAAGTATGGCTGGACAAAGGGATCTGGACTTGGTGCTACTGGTTCTGGTATCAAGAATCCGCTACAGGTGAAGGTTGAGAAGCGGAAGAAACGTCCTGACTCAGATGGTGGAGGCTTTGTCACGCCCGCGGGACGCGGCAAGATCATCGGAAGCAAGAAACTAGGAGGTTACGAGAGCAAATTTGGCCCTATGGGTGAAGTGATTGTTCTGCGGGGCATGTTGAATGGAATGGATTTGCAGTCCGAACTAGAGACAAGTCAAGGTGGAGGGTTAATGCAGGAGATTGGCGAGGAGTGCAATGAGAAGGTATTTTCTTATCACCTGCGAACTAGTCTTATGAAGACTATACTAACAAATTGGGTCTTTAGTATGGAATTGTCGAACGAGTCTACATTGCTCGTGATGTCGGGACTCCCGCCCCGGTCTTTGTCAAATTCACAAGTCCGTTATCTGCCTTACGGGTAAGTTGTCAACACAAGAATTCTTTTTGATTATATTATTTATTTACTGACAACTGCCGATAGGCCGTCAATGCTCTGGAAGGTCGGATTTTCAACGGAAACATAATCGAAGCGCGATTCTTCGACACTGAGAAATTCGACCAGGGGATTTACACGGATTAATTCCCTGTGAACTTCCACTCAAGCACAATAATAATATCAATCTACGAGGTCTTATCAAAGTAACTACAAGTCCATCTCCAACCCGTACACCAACACTGAATAGTGCCGAATTTCAATCTAAAGGAAACAGAAAAAACTAGCAACACTAGAATGTAACCCGATCAAATGTATTCCTCCCGGCAAGAAGCGGCCGCTTCTCCACACTGGCGGCCACGGACTGTCCACCTACTCTGCTAGCAGGTACGGGGATACGAGAGCGCAAGCTCACAGCCTTCATAGACTCCTCCTCAACGGACGGCATCAAGAGAGGCTCTGATTGCCGCGGCTCATCGGCTTTCTCGCGGCCATAAGGATCCCAGGAAGGCCAGCCCCAACGCTTCTTATGCTTCTCCACCAGAGCCAAGGGCAGCAACCCCCGGGGCCCTGCACATACAGTACGCCGGCGCGAAGGTTTATCCTTCTGTTCAACCAGTCCATGTTTCTGAACTAGAACCAATGTCCTCAAACCGAACTTATCAAGCTCATCTTTCCACAAGATGGGAGCTTTGAAGAAAGGCCACCTCGTCATTTTTCCAGTTTTGGCTGTGTTAGCAGAAGTAGAAGTAGAAGAGACTTTTGGGGGGTATGGGTCAGCTTTATCTAGCCATCTTTGCAAGCGATGGAAACTTTCATCGGGATTGCTACGAGTCAAAAGGCCGGTTTTTCTCGGTTCAACCGCATCAGTTGCATCTGCATCTGCATCTGATCCAGATCCGGTCTCAGGTTCGGACTCATACTCAGACTCATATTCAGAGACTTCATCACGGCTCTCGTCATCTATTTCGGGGAGGGCCATTGCGGCTGTCAGTGAACCCAAACGGTCACCGGCCTTCCATTTTGCGATGCCAACGAGACGGTTTATCATTTCCCTTCGCCGCTTTTGGGCTTTACATTGCTTGCAGAGTCCTGAGACGGGGAATGGTAGCGGGGTTTGCTCTTCCGGGTCACATAGACAGCCTTCTTCCAGGGCTGGGGGACAGCCGATTACAGAGGATGTCTCCGCTGGGGCAGCGTGGGTGCATTTCGCATGGTAATACATTATCTTCAAACACATTTTGAACGGTGGTGATGGTAATGTTGATGGTGGTATATGTCTTTTTAAGTATTTGGGTGTTGGCGTTAGGGTTAAACCGCTTGGTGGAGAGTTCGGATCGATAGGAAGGTAGGTTGGATGTCGAATTCAGGGCGAACTGATGTGGTGGCCTTATATTTCTGCTTTACTGCCAAGCAAAGCCAATATCCGTCGGCTTTCACCTACGAGCTTCGTGTACGACTTTGCCTTTCCTCGGATGAATCCCTCGAGGTTCGATGGCGAAGACAAAGGACTTGTTTGTCCTCTTTGATACCATTATCAACATATAATGTAACACTTGTTTGTCTTAGAGAGAGAATTTGAGACAAAACAGATGCATTCATTGTACTGGTCAACTTGGGACTCCTTTTTCGAAGGAACGTGCCGGTATACAAACAAACTTCAGTGTCTCACAGCCACATAAATCTTGACTGACAAGCAATGGTTAATTGATATTAAATAGACTGTTACTCGACATTTTAGATAAATCAATAATTGAATAAGAAATAAATAACAAAAAAACAATCGCTCTGCTTTTGTTGTAGAGAAATATATTTCTACATTGCACAACAATGCAGGTCTATATTTCTCATGGACAACTCACCATACGGGAACATAGCAATCAGATATCATTAAAGTAAGATAACCCTGAGCCTTCTTCAAGTAACAGAATTTTGAGGATGCAATTTGCATTGTTACTGGCCCGGTTGAAGTCCTGCTCTCTTGTTCGTTATGATCTCTATTCCCAAATTAAGCCAAAGGTCAACATGTATAGCCCGACTGAATTAAAGTGTAAGGAGCGACACGGTTAGAGCTTGGAGTTCAGGCCAGTCCAAATACCAGTGCAATAGTAATTCCTGCATAGTTGTATTTGCTATCTCTGCCCAAAGAAGTTGAGGCTCCGTGGCGGCCCTGTGAGGCGCTTGCTTACTTAAGCGATCGCAGGCCCACTGGCGATTGCCATCTCTCCAACTGTCGCGATTGCGACCTTTGAAATCTTCCTTCCGCTTCGCCTCTCCCCCATCCTTGCGCCTGATTACCCCAGTCGCTCCTTCTTGCTCCTTTTCCTTCTTCAACTTTCCCATCGCACACTCACTCCATATCCCCAGATTTCATCGAGCGGTACCTGAAATCATGTCTCTCAGCCAGAACCGCCTCCAGGAGGAACGGTAAGGAGCTTTTTTTTTGAGGACTTTGCGCAATATTTGCGCCCTACTCCTACTCCCTGCTGACCGTTTTTGATTACACAGGAAGCAGTGGCGTCGTGACCACCCTTTCGGCTTTGTCGCAAAGCCCGCGCGAACTCCCCAGGGCGGCCTGGACCTCAAGACCTGGGAATGTGCTATTCCTGGCAAGGCAAAAACTCTTTGGGAGGGAGGTCTTTTCAAGTTGACCTTGGTGTTTCCCGATGGTGAGCGCAGCACACATTCCAAACTGAAGATCCTTGTACTAATCTAGACGGTCATTGCTTCTAGAATACCCCACCAAGCCACCAAAATGTACGTGTCTCCACGATCGATCTCCAACGCTACTTTTCCGAAAAAGAAGATCCTGCCCGAGACAGAATCCGTGATATAAGATGAGAAATTCCTGCTGATCCAAGACTCCAGGCAAATTTACGCCACCTTTGTTCCACCCAAACGTTTACCCCTCGGGCACAGTCTGCCTGTCAATCCTCAATGAAGAGGAAGACTGGAGACCCGCTATCACCATCAAGCAGATCCTGCTCGGCATTCAGGATCTCCTCGATAATCCCAACCCAGAGTCGCCCGCGCAGGCCGATGCCTACAACCTGTTCAAAAAGGACCGACCCGCGTATGAGCGTAAGGTCCGCCAGGTGGTTAAGGAAAACCAGCCCGTTTAAGCATTGATTCCCAGCGAACAGCGAAAATGCTGTGACGTTTTCTTTTCCGATTTTCAGCATGGGACATACCGGGGGAAGATCTATGCATATCTGGTTTTTTTTTTTGGTGAACGAGGGATTAGCTATTTCCCACAGCGCGGCGTTAACAATGGAGTTTGAGGCATTGAAGCCATAAGAACGCAGTATTCCTACCTATAAGAAGTGTATAGATGTAATGGTGTAAGTGTAAGGAAGATCGGAGTGCCGGTTATCTTATCGGTGACTCAAAGACTGCCGACATCGCCCCGCCGAGAAATTGGAAAAAATTACTTGGTTCCTTCCGTAACCCCATGTATTAGTCAATTACTCCTTCTTCTCCTCTGACTCCTCTTCTCCTTCTTCCATACTTTTCGAAAATCACCAATTGCCCATCATGTGTGGAATTTTCGCGTGCCACCAGTGCGTTATGCCTTGCCCTAACCCCCGCCATACTCAATAGTGGGATCGTGGGGGGCCATCGTGTCATTGCTAATAGTCCCATAGTCACCCCGATGTGCAGCAGTTCAAGCCCACGGCTTTGCGCATGGCCAAGGCGTGAGTATCTCAACTCTTTTGTTTTCAATTGCATCTGCAATCCTCAGAAACTCGAATTGTCGCTAACTAATCTCCCGAACACAGTGTGCGCCACCGTGGTCCCGATTGGAGTGAGTCACTGCTCAAGTTGCAACAATGCGCGGTATACATGAGGGAATAGGATTAACCAATGTTCTTAAACAGGCGGCAACTTCTGCGCTGAGAGCACTAGTGAGTCAAGCACGAGAATTGGTCGTTTTCGGAAACTAACGGGGAATTGTTAGTCCTGGCGCACGAGCGTCTGAGCATCGTCGGCGTCGGTAAGTTCTGTCGGAGAATTGATGTGTTCATGATCTTTTGCTAATGTTCTCCCGCTAGATTCCGGTGCCCAGCCCCTTGTCAACGAGGACAGCAGCCTCGCCCTCGCCGTCAATGGCGAGATCTACAACCACCGTCTTCTGCGGAAGAGCCTTCACACCAAGTACAACTTCAAGACGCACTCTGATTGCGAAGTTATCATTCCCTTGGTATGTGACACTGGATCAAAAGACGGAGCATGGGCGCTGATATCTTCTTCTAGTACATGGAGCACGGTCTCGATGCCCCCAAGCACCTCGATGGCATGTTCTCCTGGGTTCTGTGGGACAAGAAGCAGGACCGTGTGGTTGCCGCCCGTGATCCCATTGGTATTACCAGCTTCTACCTTGGTCGCTCTTCGTCCACCCCCGGTGCCGTCTACTTCGCCTCAGAGCTCAAGTGCCTGCACCCCGTCTGCGACGACATCATTGCCTTCCCTCCCGGCCACGTCTACGACTCCAAGACTGACAAGCTGACCCGCTACTTCGAGCCCAAGTGGTGGGATCCTACCAACGTCCCCTCCACCCCTGTCGACTACAAGGTCGTCCGCCACAGCCTCGAGAAGGCCGTCCGCAAGCGTCTGATGGCCGAAGTTCCCTACGGTGTTCTGCTGTCTGGTGGTCTCGACTCCTCCCTGGTCGCCTCTATCGCCCAACGTGAGACTCTTCGCATGGCCGAGGCTTCCCGCGCTGCGCCCCCCTCCAACACCGAGGGCGAGTTGGTTGGCATTGACGACGAGAACGAGCTTTCTACTGTCACTACTTTCCAGCAGCTGCACTCGTTCTCCATTGGTCTCCCCGGTGCCCCCGATACTGAGGCTGCCCTTGAGGTCGCCCGTTTCCTCGGCACCAAGCACCACCCCTTCACCTTCACTGTTCAGGACGGCCTTGACGCCCTCTCTGATGTGATCTACCACCTCGAGACCTACGATGTCACGACCATCCGTGCCTCCACCCCTATGTACCTGCTTTCCCGGAAGATCAAGGCCATGGGTGTCAAGATGGTTCTCAGTGGTGAGGGTTCCGACGAGATCTTCGGTGGTTACCTCTACTTCCACGCTGCCCCCAACAAGGAGGAGCTCCACAAGGAGACTGTCCGCCGTGTGAAGAACTTGCACCTGGCTGACTGCCTCCGTGCCAACAAGTCCACCTCCGCCTGGGGTCTTGAGGCCCGTGTGCCCTTCCTCGACAAGGAGTTCCTCGAGACCTGCATGGGTGTTGACCCCCAGGACAAGATGATCACCAAGGACCGCATTGAGAAGCACATGCTGCGCAAGGCCTTTGACACCACCGATGAGCCCGAGACCGCTGCCTACTTGCCCGACAAGATTCTCTGGCGCCAGAAGGAGCAGTTCAGTGACGGCGTTGGCTACAGCTGGATTGACGGCCTGAAGGATGAGGCCGAGCGCCAGGTTACCGATGAGATGATGAAGAACCCTAAGCCCGAATGGGGCACCGATGTTCCCGACACCAAGGAGGCGTATGTTTCTCTCCCTGCATTATAACTGCTCAATGACTAACTTCATATAGATACTGGTACCGTACCATGTTCGATGAGCACTTCCCTCCCTACTGTGCCGGCACAGTCGAGCGCTGGACCCCTACCTGGTCTAAGCAGACTGATCCCAGTGGAAGGTGAGTTATTTCCTGATCCAAATGTTGAAACATCCACTAACATGCCTCGCAGAGCCATCTCCATCCACAACCAGAAGTATGACGAGACGAAGTAAAATGTGAAGCCAAGGAGCCAAAAAAGCACACCTGGACTTCATTTTCTAATTTAGCATTTTCTTTTGGAATAAAAGGGATAGATTGTACATACCTTTGCCAGTATCTTGTAGATTTCCGCCTCAGGCATAAAACACGTGACTTAACCGGCGGGCTTTCCCGGCAGCCGAGCAACCGCCAATCACCGGGCGCCCACCAACCCGTGCTAAGCCCCTAGTTCCCCCCCCAACATCATCGGTCTCTTCTTCTTCTCTTTCTTCATCTCTCCATAGAACCACCCCTTTCTCTTACATCTTCTCAGTCATTAGACTTCATCTCGTCAATATGTCTGCCCCCGCTGCTTTCTCCGACATTGCCAAGGCGGCCAACGATGTACGCACACTTCCCGGATCAAAAATCGGCACACCGGAACTTGGCTAATACCTTATCCCAATAGCTCCTGAACAAGGACTTCTACCACGCCGCTGCCGGTATGTTATCTATGGGTGGCATTATGTCATGTTTGAAGCTTCAATAACTAACTAGAGCTATTTAGCCAACCTTGAGGTCAAGTCCAAGGCCCCCAACGGTGTCACCTTCACCGTCAAGGGCAAGTCCGCCCACGAGGGTCCCATTGCTGGCCAGGTTCGTTTTTGTCGCACCTATCACCATCAAAACGCAATTCTAATTGATGTGCCTATAGCTTGAGGCCAAATACGTCGATGCGCCTACCGGTAAACGCCCCACCCAGAAGAAACCCCCGGATCCTGGCGCGCGAAAGGGACGACGCATCTCACTCCTCTGCGGATGCGGCCTTCGTCCAGTGCCCCAGGTGACTCTATTTATTTTCTCGGATACGACACATCACAGAATTAGGCTAATATATTCCCACCGCCCAGGCCTCACCCTCACCCAGGCGTGGACCACCGCCAACGCTCTCGACACCAAGCTCGAGCTCGACAACAACATCGCCAAGGGCCTCAAGGCTGAGATCCTCACCCAGTACCAGCCCGCTAAGCAGTCCAAGGGTGCCAAGCTCAACCTCTACTTCAAGCAGCCCAACCTGAACGCTCGTGCCTTCTTCGACCTCCTGAACGGCCCCTCCGCCAACTTCGACGCCGTTCTCGGCCACGAGGGCTTCCTTGTCGGTGCTGAGGGTGGCTACGACGTCAACAAGGCCGCCATCACCAAGTACTCCGCTGCCATCGGCTACAGCGTTGCCCAGTACTCCGCTGCCATCACCGCCAGCAACAACCTGTCCCTCTTCTCCGCCAGTTACTACCACCGCGTCAACGCTCAGGTTGAGGCCGGTGCCAAGGCCTCCTGGGACTCCACCTCCGGCAACGCTGTCGGCCTCGAGGTTGCCTCCAAGTACCGCCTGGACCCCTCTTCCTTCGCCAAGGTTTGTCCATGCGCTGTTCGTACATATGCATACCTGCTAATCACTTTATACAATACAGGCCAAGATCAATGACCGTGGTATTGCCGCTTTGGCTTACAACGTTCTCCTCCGCCCTGGTGTCACCCTCGGCCTCGGTGCCTCCTTTGATACCCAGAACCTGAACCAGGCTGCCCACAAGGTCGGCGCCAGCTTCACCTTCGAGGCTTAAGCGTTTGAATCTCCTTTCTGATTTTGTCATTTTGTAACCTAGTTTGTCTTGCTGATTTGCTAGAACGATGATTATGGAGATGGGGATTTTCATCCAAGATAATAGCCATGTGTGCATCGTAGTTTCTACTCGAGCACTCTTTGTATATCAAATCTAAATGTTTCCTTTGTTGATCAATACGATCAATTAGTGTGGTCTAATCTAAGTGCACTGTAGACAGCTCTAGAGCTACTGTGATAGACAACATAGGCCATAAGTTATATTAAAGCGCTAATTTAACTACGACAAGAATCCAGCTCTTATACATACATAGTCAAACCAAACCAATTAAAGAATCAAGGGAGCGCCTCCTTCCGCCTCCTAACCTTCCCCCGTTCAACAACATCAGCAGCAGTAGGCGTCGCCGCGGGCCACTTAAACAACCCAGATATACCCCCAGCAACAACCAAAACCCCTGAAACAATCAAAAACCTGGCGAACGTATCATCCCCACCACCACCAAACCCAGCCCTCGCCCCAGACTCAGCAGCATGCTTCTGCGCAGCCGCGCGACCAGCTCGGGTCCTCCTCTCCCTCCGCCGCTGATCCTCAGCAGCCTGCGTCCGGAAATGTCCCCGCGCATTGAAATGATGTAACGGATTCCGATTAATAAACCCAACCCAATCCTCCGGATCAGCGTCTTTCCTACCTGCACCAGTCCCAGAACCATCACCGAATCCAGCACTCGATGCAAACCCTCCAGCTCCAGCTCCAGCACCAGACCCAGCCTTCCCAGGCGAATACCCCTCCCCCTGCCTTCCCGTAGCCCCATACCCACCCTGATCATAGAAACTAGGCGGCGGCCCATGGAAAGCGCCGCGGCGCTTACTTAGCCCGCTCGCAGGCCGGGACCCGGCGTAGCTGCTATGGCTGCCCATTGGGTGGGCGTGTGTATGGCCCGGTGAGGAGGAGGAAGAGGGGTTGTAGGATGGCGGTGCGTGCAGACCGTGGTCGCGGTCGTAGGTTGCGCGTTTTTGGGCGTTGCTTAGGACACTGTAGGCTGCTGAGATTCGGGCGAAGCGTTGGCTGGCGTCTGGGTCTGATCTGTTGCGGTCTGGGTGGTGGCGGAGGGAGAGGGCGTAGAATTGTCTGGGTGGGTTTTGGTGTTAGTGTTTGGGACTTGGGTTGGTGGCTGGGTTTGGAGGGTGATTTGGGCGAGGGGCGGTACTTTTTGATCTCAGCTGGTGTTGAGGTTATTGGGACGTCGAGGATTTCGTAGAAGTTCGGTTCGCGGGCTTGGCGGGGGTTACTTGTTGTGAAGTTGTGTATCTGGGGTTTTGAGAGGCGGTTGGTTTGTTGGTGGTGGTTTTGGGGTTGATTTGGCCGTGGTCGGAGGGGTTGGGTTGAGAGGGTGTGGGTGTATGTTTGAGATGAGGGCGCCTTTGCGAGCGGCGATAAGAAAATTGCCGCTACTCGAGGTGAAGGCATGGTGCCTGTGAAGAAGATATGAAGAACAAGGAGGGAACAGGCCCTCTGGGGCGTGGAAGAGAGGTGTAGATAGAGAAGTGTCGGAGAGTGGAAGTGGAGAGGAATCAAGAGAGGTAAAGACCGGAGTGGCGTCATGGTGGATTTGGGGCGATGCCATCCCCCGTGAACAATTAAGATGTTCTACATGTTGCTATGGGTCTATCGGTTTGTCGAACTCCATGGTGGTCTCATATTATCCTGAGGATTTACTATGATATGAGTAACTAATGTTAGGGAGTGTGGGACTGAGAACTCAGGCTCTCAGCTGCCAGATTGGGGAGATGATCAGATTAGATAACAAGGCTGGGTTTGATCCACTGGACCTAACCTTCCACGGTTTTCTGCCCTAATTTACGCTAATTTGGCCTAAGTTGACCCTAAGTTTACTCGAAATATACTCCCTCTCCATCTCACCTGCCGGTATGGAGCTTGGTAGGCAGCGGCTAGTCCATAGCTTCAAGTAGCTGCTCATCACACTAAAAGGTATGCGAGACACGCGTCATACGGGTCACACGACCATAGAAATACAATGAAAGGCGTGATAAAGACAAAAAAAGTGTTTTTCAAAGCACTGTATACGTCACCGAATTCTGTACTTTTACCGGGATGGGCACCACTCGGCGTTTGATCCTATCGGGGAACATCACCTTAGTACATCAGACCTCGAGCCTTTAAATATCACGAACACCTCGCCCTCCCCAAGTCACCAACAACAATGTCTCATCTAGCTACCCTCAAAACATACCTCCCATGGATCCAAACACCCCTCGTAGTCAACGCTCCGATGAGCGGCAGCGCCAAAAGTAAGCTGGCGATCGCCGTCACACGCAGCGGGGGTCTAGGCCAGATCGGCTTCCTGGATGACATGCATGAACTATCGACCGAGCTCGAAACGACTAAAAAGGCCCTCCAGGAGTCGAACTTCGACACCACCAAGACACTTCCCATCGGCCTGGGCGTTATCGTCTTCGGCTCACCGATGGATGCTTGGATGCAACTCTTTGAGACATACAAGCCGGCTGTGGCTTGGCTTTCCTTCGCTGATAACGATACACTGAGTCAGTGGACGGAAAGCATTCGCAAGTATTCGCCTGAGACTCGGGTCTGGGTGCAACTCGGAAATGTGGCTGCCGCAGTCGATGTAGCGCGGGCGTGTCATCCCGATGCACTTGTTTTGCAGGGCGGGGATGCTGGAGGCCATGGGCATGAGAATGGTGCTAGTATTGTATCTCTCATTCCGGAGGTTGGTGATGCACTTCAGGATCTCGGACTTGGTGATGTTCCTCTCATTGCCGCTGGTGGAATTGCCGATGGGCGGGGTTGTGCTGCAGCGCTGACTCTTGGCGCGGCTGGGATCGTTATGGGGACGAGGTTTCTCGGTGCTGAAGAGACTTCCATTCCTGATGTTTATCGGGATGCGATCTTTGAGGCGTCAGATGGGGGCCGCGCAACGGCCCGATCGCGTATTTTTGATGAGGTCTGGAGTCCCAACTTCTGGCCTGAGACTTATGATGGGAGGTGTCTTAGGAATAAGGTGTATGATCATTACAAGAATGGGGTTGATATTAACAAGATTCGGGCTTTGATTTCTGGGGCGATGAATGGTCCTGATTCTGGGAACTTGGATACAAAGGATATGGGGAGTATTTGGGCTGGAACGGGTGTTGGACTTGTCAAGAAGCAAGAGAAGGCGGGAGAAATTATGGAGGAGGTGAGAGGAGATGCCCGAAAATATTTGGAAAGGGCCTCGCTGTATCTATAATGGATGTGAAGCCAAGGGGTTGACATGTTTATCGGGCATGGTCATATCTCCAAAAGCAACAATATCGGGTCGCAGAATTCCACTAAATATTTTCTAGCACAGTCGCACCAAACACTCATAGATACTAAAAGTTGTTTTCACACTCTGCCAGATTGACTAGGCTTAAATACAAGCGGTACATATTGGTAGACAGCCCCTGGTAAGACATATCAAGTGCGTCCAATAGAGCGGCAAAACTGGATTGTTATGCCACACTGTCATTGGCGGCACTGCCAAATAACTTGCTCGCTGTTTTTTAAACGGTATTAGTTACTAAACATACGCCTAAGTATTCAGTAAGCCTTTATTTTTGGTAGAGAACAGACTTGACCTAATTGGGATGCTCAGCTTATAACTGGCTCGAATGGTCGTGATAGTCATTAACCTGCCTAGGTAGGATATGTTATAGCCTCTAAAATCCATGTAAATCTCGAGTAAACCGTAGTTAGGTGATTAATACCTTCAAATCCAGACGTTTCCTAATCGCTGGTCACCTAGCAAGAACTCAGTCGCCTTCAGCGCTAATAGTCCTCTACCTAGCTCATATCAGTCTACATTTTAGACAGTGCCGGTGCTATATCTTATCTAGCTGGCCGGTTGATCTATTCGGAAATTCCCTATCCTTAACAAGATGTATATCTGCGCATGGCAATTACATATCAATAAGATCCAACTACTCCAAACCCTCAAATATGTTATCCCAAAACTTTGACCCCTCCTCAACACAATCATCATACTCTACCATCCTCTCTCTCAGCCTGTCTAGAATAGCCTTACACGCCTCCTCTCTTTCTTCATCCTCACTAAACCTATCGGTCACCATATCCAGCCTCTCCGCAACCTCTGCCAGCATCCCCAACAGCACTGCAAAGCTCCTCAGGGAACCTGCGATCATCCCCTGGTACCCATCTGCATGGTCCCAACCGGCAGGATCATAGTGAGACACGTCCCCATCCTCTCCACCTACCATCACCATCCACTCACTAACACTTCCGAAATGGAAGCAGAGGTTCGTGGGAGGGGAGTCATCATCAGGATAGCGCTCGCCGTACAGCTCGTCAGCGTCGTAGGGCTCTAGGGATCCCGCGTCTTTCGTTAAATGGGTGGAGTCAAAACCAGCGCATTGGAGCTTGACGGCAGGGAAGCCCACGGTAGTCAGAAAGGTTCTTGTCCCTGAATCCGTGAGGGCTGATGGTATGCCGGATTCCTCAGGTTGCCACAGAGAACCAGCACCAAAGCGATCTTCAAGCCAGACTTTGTCTGAGCTGGGGGGCCGGGGCATATTATCCTGGTTAGGTCAGCCATTGTTTGTTGAAAAGCCAGTTTGTTTGAGGAGTAGTTACTATGATTGAAAGGAAGATTTGCAACCGGTTCTGTGGACGGTCGAAAATACAGGATAGCAATTTGCATGATTGGGCAAGGTGAAGGGCGTCAGGGATATTGTTGAGGCTTCGGTAAATCCAGAGAAGGATCTCACGAGGAAGATTCAAAAGAGTAGACATTTTTCCTATTTCGCAAAGCAATAGAATGGATTCACCAAGAAACGTGTAAAGCGAAATTTGCGATTATCGAGATTATCGCTGGAATCTTCAGGGGCTACAATGCCAAGCTATAACATCGGTCACCACCCGCAACATGATCGGTTGTGCACCAGCAAATAAAATGAAGCTTTTCGACCACATACTATATAAGTTATCAAAGTATTTTTTTGCCGTAGTACTCTTGAGCTTCCGCAGGCTACTATGTCTAATTTTTAATCATCACGAAAGCAATGTGACGTGGATATACCTCAATAATTTATAGGTAACGAGGCTTTAATAACATCTTTAGGTACCTGGGGAGTAACTCCTTTGGTAATGTAGACTGCTGAAGGTAAAGGAATCTTGAGTTTGCCACTATTGGCTGTCTTGAAGTTATTTTTAAGCTGCATAGAGGCCTCTTTAGCAAAGTATACTTCCTCGTTCTGGTATTTCTTTTCCTCTTCATATAGGCAACGCGAAGATGCAATGCAAAGGCAATATTAGAGTCATAATCCGAAATCTGCCCTTGATAGTTTTGTTTGCGGTAAGGAAATTAGGACATGCATTGTAGAGTTTTAGTGGTGAAACTGATTTCGATCCATCCAGTAACTCTGTTGATCCCGCACTCAGTCCACTTTACATGGATTTACGCCATGGATGCGATTCTATGGCAAAATGCCTCCTTGAGGAAGGAGCGGACAAGAATCCTATCAAGCTTTATCCTTTCAACAGAGCGTTAAAGGATGGGGCAATTGAAACTGTCCCGATGTTGAGATATTTGATAAAATGGTATTAGCTGGAGCAAAACAGACACTGAAAACCAATACCCAGCTCAAGGATGCCGCAATAGGATCGAACGATGAACAGGCCGTTTCAACTGAAGAGACTGAGACTCGGATCAACAATGAAGCATCAAGTACAGATTTTGAGGCAGTGTTTAGAGAAATCATGGCCTAAGTTAGACATGCTGAGGCAGAAGCAGAGGACGCAGATATCAAACGCACACTTTCAAGTTGGTTGTGGCCCCGTGTCTACCCAGCGCATGAAGGAATGAGTGAAGTGAATGGGCGAGGTGAAGCTGGTCATGGTTAAATTACGAAAGTAGTATTTGGAAGGTATAAATAAAGTCAATAAATAGGAGAGCAGAGTAGAAGAAGAATCGAATAAGTATGAAAAGTGAAGTATGAAAATCATTATCTTATCAGCAAAAGTCTTCCCCGACATCCGAGATAATTCCCCTCTTCTGTCTCTTTTGCCTCTTCACTCACCAACCATGGCAGCTCAGGCTACGGAGAAATTGGACCAGCTGGACCGTAAGTATCTCTGGGATTTTTAAATATTGTGCGACTGACAAAACGCCAGTGAACGGCCAGAACCCCCCCGAGGCCGCCCCCGCGCCCGACGCGGAGGACGACTCGGATGACGAGCAGGAGGGCGACGGTGCCCCAGAGGCAGGAGCCGCTGGAGGTAGGTGCATTTGAAAGTTCTATTTTGCCTTTTCGCAGAGGTTGACAACCGGATTCCCGCAGCCGCCAAAAAGAAGAAGAAGCGCAAGACCAAGAAGAAGAAGAAGGGTGGCGCTAAGGTTCAGAGCGAGCCCCCGCGCGTCCCTGTGTCCAATCTCTTCCCCAATGGCCAGTACCCCGAGGGCGAGATTGTCGAGTATCTGAACGACAATGCCTACCGTACTACAAACGAAGAGAAGAGATACCTTGACCGCATGAACAATGATTTCCTGCAGGAGTACCGCCAGGGTGCTGAGGTCCATCGCCAAGTCCGCCAGTATGCACAGAAGAACATCAAGCCTGGGCAGACTTTGACCGAAATCGCGGAGGGTATTGAAGATTCAGTGCGTGCTCTGACGGGCCACTCCGGCTTGGAGGAGGGCGACAACCTGAAGGGTGGTATGGGCTTCCCTTGCGGTCTGAGCATCAACCACTGTGCGGCTCATTATACCCCGAACGCCGGAAACAAGATGGTCCTGAACCAAGGAGATGTTATGAAGGTCGACTTTGGTGCGCAGCTCAATGGCCGCATTGTGGACAGTGCCTTTACCATGTCCTTCGACCCTGTGTACGATCCTCTTCTGGCGGCCGTCAAAGATGCCACCAACACTGGTATTCGGGTGAGTTCATTGACACATTTGAATATCTAGCAGAGGCTGATATGTGATTAGGAAGCTGGAATTGATGTCCGCATGAGTGACATCGGTGCCGCTATCCAAGAGGCTATGGAGAGCTACGAAGTCGAGCTCAACGGCACGATGTACCCGGTCAAGTGTATTCGCAATCTGAACGGTCACAACATTGACCAGCACGTCATTCACGGCGGCAAAAGTGTGCCTATTGTCAAGAGCAGCACCGACCAGACCAAGATGGAAGAAGGCGAGGTCTTTGCTATCGAAACTTTCGGTAGTACTGGAAAGGGTTACGTGCGGGAGGAAGTAAGTTTATTGCGCGAAGAGACTGAAATCAAGTGCTAACATTATTTAGATGGAAACCTCGCACTATGCTCTCGCTTCTGACGCCCCCAATGTTCCCTTGCGTCTTTCATCCGCTAAGAACCTGCTGAACGTCATCAACAAGAACTTCGGAACCCTTCCCTTCTGCCGTCGTTACCTTGACCGATTGGGTCAGGAAAAGTATCTCCTGGGTGTAAGTTCATGTTTTGAGTCCGTTCGACATCTCTCCAGCTAATCCAAATATAGTTGAACAACCTGGTCTCCTCGGGCATTGTCCAAGATTATCCCCCTCTGTGCGATATCAAGGGCTCATACACTGCCCAATATGAACATGTATGTTTCTATTTTTGTTCTGCTTGAGCTTTCACTGACGTATTATCTAGACAATTGTGCTCCGCCCGAATGTTAAGGAGGTTATTAGTCGCGGCGACGACTACTGATTTGGAATATCTATAGATCCCAAGTATCAAAAGCAACAACATTCAAGAAGCAGCCCATTAGTGATAGGTGAAGCGCCCGTACTTCGTACTCCGTAGTGTAAAACGGGTTAGCAGTCGATCCTGCCAAGCCATCCAAGTATGCCGTGTCGCCCCACGTGGAACATTCGACTCCCGACTTTTTCTCATTTGCCTCTCTCCTGTTCTGTCACTTCTCGGTCAATTCGCATACAGCATGACCGCGGTCGAAACAGCCACGCCGCACCTCCGGGTGTCGGCGAAGACGTCCAAAACAGAGCCCGCTTCCACCAGAATCCAGGCACCCGAGGCCCTGGTCGACGACCACTTCTTCTGGACATACACCGAAGAGCCACACCGCTCAAGACGCCAGGCAATTATCAAGGCCCATCCGGAGGTAAGTGACATTGTTTCGTGGGCATCCGGTGTGGTCTGGGGGTTCAGGGACAACTCCGTGCGGAGTTTAGCGGAGAGTCCCTGCATACACCTGGCCACTGTCTCGGACGGCGAACTCCCGAACAGATGCAATCACGGTGCTGATTCAAGTCTCAATCCAGGTCACCAAGCTATGTGGCCCCGAGCCTCTCACAAAATGGGTCGTTCTCGGCGTCGTCTCCCTGCAACTCACCTGCGCCTACCTCCTCCGCAACACCTCCATGCTCGACTGGCGCTTCCTGGCCACGGCATACGTGATCGGTGCGACCTGCAACCAGAACCTGTTCCTCGCCATCCATGAGATCTCTCACAACCTCGCGTTCCGCTCGCCCATGGCCAACCGCCTGCTGGCCATCTTTGCAAACTTCCCTATCGGAGTTCCATACAGTGCTGCCTTCAGAGTACGTTCACCTCCCAGACCATGACACCAGCAGACCAACCCCGAAGAAAGCACTGGACTAATACAAATCCCACACAGCCTTACCACCTGACCCACCACAAATCCCTCGGCGTAACAGGCCTAGACACCGATCTCCCAACAGCAGTCGAAGCCTTCTTCCTAAACTCTCTGCTAGGAAAGACTTTCTTCTGTACCTTCCAGATCCTCTTCTATGCCGTTCGCCCAATGTTTATCTACAGCCCCCCATTCACCTACATCCACCTGCTAAACCTAACCGTCCAACTGAGCTTTGACTACGCCCTGACAAAGCTTTGCAACGGCTCCATCCAACCAGTCGTATATTTCCTGATGAGCTCCTTCCTCGCGGGCTCCCTACACCCCTGCGCTGGCCATTTCATAGCCGAGCACTACTTCTTCTCTAACGTCAAGACCGGCGGCACGGAGTCTCTGACCGAACTCAAGAAAAACGAGAAGTCCATTCCCCACCCGCTTGATTCCCTTCCTCCCCCGGAGACATACTCTTATTATGGCCCCCTCAATATCCTCACTTACAATGTGGGTTTGCATAACGAGCACCATGATTTCCCGGCCATCCCCTGGACGAAATTGCATAAGTTGCATGAGATTGCGAGTGAATTCTACGAGCCACTTCCTTGTCATCGGAGCTGGGTTTGGGTTATTTGGACTTTCATCTTGGATAAGGATGTTGGTCCGTGGTGCCGTGTGAAGCGCGCGCAGGGTGGTCGGATTGTTGGTGGTGGGAAGAAGAATGATGGTGACTCTGGTGCTGCTTCGAAGCAGGGTACTGGTCGTGGTGGTGAGGGGATCTCGGCTGCGTCGGCGGGTCCGGCTGGTGAGGAGGGAGATGGGTGGAAGGAGAGTGAGATTCAGTGTTAGATTTTTCGTTTCTATCTTGGATTTGGTTATATACATTACTGGAGTATTGGGAATACAATTGGTTACAATTTATGTTTTGTCTTCTAAGTTGGACTTCATCGTGAACATCTCCGGACATGGGAACGTTTAGGTATGTGTATGTTTTGGATTCTCTTTGCAGGAGTCAACTAATTGCAAGGATGAAACAGAAAGCCTCCAATTACATGGGCATAGGGCTAGGAGTAACAGCAAGCACATGAATTATTCTGCGTGAGCTCGAGAATCGTTTATGGAACAAATAACAACCGAATCAGAAGACGGCGTCCGTTCATCATGATAAAATGAAATTAGACAAGACAGGATGGGTAAAGAGACAAAGGAGAAGGAAAAGGGGACAGAGGTAGACATGCGGGTGTCTTAACTCGAGAGGAGATCCGGAAGCCCAGAGACAAAGAAAACGAGATATTGATACCGGGAAAAATAAGAAATCAAAACAGACGCAGGCAAAGGGCTGATGCTAGAACAGAAAGGGAATGCTCTTCAAGAGGCAAAGAGTAGATGGGAATTTGAGAGAGGCGTCAGCGACGTAAGACCGGAGGAGCACGCGGGGTGAAGAGCGCAATGAACCCAAAGAGACCGTAAAGGGCAGTAGACCAGCTTAGAAGAAGAAGTAGGCGATCAGGAAGCTGAGCAGGCATAGACCTGCAACAGCCTGGATGGAGACGCCGGCTTCCGTTTGCCCATGTGACTGCTGCAAGGCCGCAGGTGCGGCCTTGCCAACCTCGGCACCGGTCTTCCGCTGGCGGAGACCTTGATCTGCAAGCCGGTCCTTGAGACGCTGAATCTGTGCGTTGGCTTCGGCGAGCTGGGCCTTGAGTTCATCACTAGAGGGTAGGGCATTGGCGACGGCGGACCTGGCACTTGAGAGGGCAGAGGGGACAGTCTCGCGCTGGGGAGAGGGCTCGGACTTGATCTTCTCGGAGAAATCGGGCTGAGGAATGGGGGAGGCTTCGTCGACGGAGCTCTTCTTGGGGGCAGGGGTCTCGAAGTTTCCTCCGGGAGAGGTGTAGGCGGGGGGTTCTTCATTAATAATCTGATGGCGGGTTGTTAGACTATGCGCATTGAAAGTTGCTGGGGGGCATACGGAATCATTAACCTTGTCGCCAGCGTCTTCTTCCAGCCAAGTCACTCGAATCTTGCGCTCAACAACTTCGGCCTTGGGGGTTTGATCGAACTAGACATAGATATTAGTTATTGGTCTTGTGTTGTGCACTTCGACAGCCGAACGTACAATCTGGGTGACGCTGGCCTGTTCCTGTCCAGGAGCGACAGGGACGGCCTGGACCAAGAACTTGTCCTTGCACTTGGCACCGGGGGCAGGCGCATCCTTCAGGACCTGTAGAAGCACTATCGAAACCATTAGTTCTAGCTTCTTTGTGCGGAATCGACTATCGACCAACCTTGGACCTCCACGGCCTTGCCCGCCTCGATGTGGCCCGAGTTAGGGCGCACACAGTAACTAGAATAGTCAAACGTCAGATCTAAGATATAGGGGTCGCGCAAGATATGGCTGGGACATACTGCTTGGGAGCGGTGGTTTTGACCTAGTGCGCCAGTGACGTTAGTACCGATTGTATTTCGCGACAAGTGCCTGGATGGAAGAGTGGACATACCTTGAATACCACAGATTCTTGGTTGGTGTTGGTAAGGCGCAGGACCTGGCATTTCTCATGGTCGAAGGGGCCTAGACATGGCGAAATCAGTTTGGCCCGGAGGCATCCAGAGGCGGGATCGGGGACGCACGGTGGAAGCCCAACTCGGAGGGCTCGATTTGGATAGACATCGTGGTCGTGAACAGGGTGGTACAGGTAACAAAAGAAGACAAAGAGAAAGGAAGCACGGGCACTGCACGTGGACAAGGTTGCAACTTGGAGGAAAAGGCGTTGGGAAGGATATCAAGTGCAAGCAGGCCGCAACGCCTCAGGAGTTTGATTACTGTCCACTTTGGGGAAATGCTGACTCATCAGTCAGGTGATGTCACCATTGACCCTTCTATACGATCAACGGCTCTTTTGTTTACTCTGGCTGATATCTTGTTTCATGAGCTGGCATTAGGCTACATAGACTGCTAACGATTTTACTATTTTTGACACTTGGTGCATCCTCAGATGAATACCCCCGCATATGATGCGGTGGGTCATCCCACGCCGGTTCTCCATTCACATGAAGTCTTTGTTGATATTGGTACTTTACTTCCAATTTGAATCACCCCAAATCTGAAAACTAAACAAAAAATGTGTCTCACTCATGCCATACCCCTTCCTCTTACCCATTTCTTTTATCTGCGGTTTGAACACCAACACAGGTACACCAAACTCTTTGATCGCACCCCACGCCATGGATTCAATGCCACCAGAACTAATATCCCGAGTGGTGGAATACTCCGTGAGCCGTCGCTGGCAGGCGGAGATTGAGAGGCACACGTTTTCCACCATCTACCTCCACAGTGCTAAGCGGTTCCAGGAGAGGGTGACTTCAACCAGACGAAATGCACCCCAGCTTTTCGAGAACTCGGAGTTGAGCCATAATTGAAATTTCCCAGAACGCTCTTAGCTTTTTAACCACTCAGGAAGGTGTGAAAACCATAGTGTTTACTGTATATTTGTTGCAGGAATCCAAGGAACGATGTTTTATCATGAATTTAGTGCGCACTACGCGAAAGGATGAAACCTACCACTTTAGTAGACATCTGTTAAGAAAATGAGGGCAAGCATAAAGGAAAGTTAAACGAGCGAGCTAACTGGCCTCGATGAGCTAGCAGTTTTAGGCACTCGTATTATAAGTAATATACGGATTGTTCAGTCACGTAGTATAGACTTTCGATACAATTTAATACTTGGAATTGAGTAAAGTCAAATATGGATTAACGCGTTTCCGAATAGGGTTCGTAAAAGATTCTATGAGAGCGAGGTGGTGAAACTGATTTCGATCCATCCTGTAAGGATGGACCAACCTTCAAAAAGGGTAGGTGCGGCCTTTGACATACATAAAGCTCACTCTATTCTTCCGGGTTGCCATACAGACCTTGATACTAAAACACTATTCCCGGAGCTCCCAGATATGCTTACACCACCACCTGCCTTTGCCAGTGGCCATGACAATCTTTGTCTAAATCATCCACCACGCTTCTTATTTTCTACCTCGGAAACAATCAACCGTCACCTGAGAATCTAGTGTTGTTTCCAACCCAGCTATGACAGCGTATGCGTCCAACAATGGAGAGGTCCGGATATATTGTCACCGTCTAGCTGTACTGAGAATGCCCTCCTCTACTTGTGTACTTCCCACCTTCTGGAGAAGCTGGACATGAACTAGCAAATAAATAACAGAGACCTTCGCATTTGCATAACAGTATAGGAAAAACCTAAAGAACTAGGCGAAAAACTATACCAAGGCCTATATAAGTGACGGCTCGCTCAAGGTAGACTTTATGACCCTATCTTGGCGCACACTTCCCCCTAGATCTCATGGATCAAGAACTTCTCATAGGCACCAATATAGTTCTGACAATTAACGGTCCCAGACCCAGAAACCCCACCGCCGCCAGTGGAATTGTCCAAACGAAGGTAGACGCCAGGAAACTGCACGGAAGCAATAGCCTTTGACCCGTCAGACTGTGGTTCAAAGCGGAATTTCTCCCACTGATCATTACCATACCTAAAATTTCTCCAGGTTAGTGATACCACTCAAAGATGAGACCTAGCAGGCTAGAAGCCAATTCATCAACCCTACGAGTGGAAGGTTTCCTCACTGGCAATTCACCGAGCCTGCACCATTTAGGTATGTCTTTCCAGGAGTGACTCCTTGGCCATCCAGGCGTAGATAAACACTTTGGAATTGGGAGGAGCGAATTGCGAATGCGTCGGACGTAGGGTCCTTCACAATCATGAATTTTTCCCATGCTCCAACATAGTTCTGGGCGTTGACTGTTCCTCCACCGTTAACGCCCCATGCGGTAACCGCACTTCCGTCAATTCGGAGGTATGACCCAGGGAACTTTTGAGATTCGATGCTGATTTGTGACTGCGTTGAAGACATTGTTGAAATTGTAATTTGCAAACTTAAATGGTAGATGTGGGACTGAAATCAGAGCTTGAACAAACAAGAAGACTTAGAGATGTTGCAACAGTTTTTTTTTTTTTTTGGCTGGGGAACCAGCCAGTTTTTATCTATTCAAACGCTTATCCCATGACGATGAATGGCTTCATCTAATTGTTATAACGCGTTTTCACTCCACAAAACCAACCGCAAACGGAGACAACTAATAATCAGACGCTCCAGAGAGAGACCCGCTATTAACGAATGCATCCCCCCAGTCAGCCATCAAAATAATGGCGACGTAAACTAGTTAACCAGACAGGGCCACCCAAGCCTTAAACAAGCTTGTACTGTATTGCATTTCTAGTACAGTAGAGTTCGGTCATTGGATGGAATATGGGGTATATAGCCCAATCCTAGGCCATTTCTGTTTTACTGATTGTTTGCTTCCAGCGTGGGTTCAATAAGCTATAGACCAGCTTCGATTGTTTAAGCTTTTTAGTTCTCACAAAACTTACTTCGAACGCATGGCGGCATCGGTTCTAGATCGGTCTAGGTGGCAGGCGTTGCCACTATATTATTTGTTTGTGAAATTCAAGATCGCATGAATCCGATAGGCTCTAATATATAACAAAGCAAACCTTGTAAGACGATGACGTAGGATAGCTTGAGAGACAGATTCAGAATCAGTCTTTTCTCACCGGATTTAGAAGCTGAACGACGGCAAGACCAGTGGTCTCTGCGTGATGAAATCCTACTTGCGTTCAGCTTGGAGAAATGAGTACGAGAAGGTCCGCCCGAGTAGAAGCCAAGCCTACAACAAGCTTGACTCGAAAAACATACTTGAATAGGTATCAAATGAGCTTTTTGTGACTGTCAGCTTGGCATTTTGCCGGTCGCCACGTCCATTGTCGGTGTTGTACTACTCCGGTGCGCACCCATACTTCCGTCGACACTGAGGTGCGGACCGCGCCCTTTATTCGAAGTCTCCACTAAGTAGTGCCGTGCAGTTTCAGGCACTTGGGTTTCAAGCACTTGGGCGGTACCACTCCTCGGGTTAGATCCGTTTATTTCATATCCGGAGATTACAGCGTCAGGTGCCCCTACACAGCATGTAACAATGCACTATAGACCCGCCTAATTAAACACAGGCAATCCTCAGACAGCCTAATGATGTTGGAAACCTATCAAATCCTGTATAGTATCCGACCAATTGGAGACATCGAAGACTCTGTATTGCATTACCCTTATTTTGGAGCATTTTATGGGTAGTCTAAATACATAATCGACGCATGGAAACTATAGTATCTCCGGTTTCAATGCAGTATTTCGTAAGTTATTGCCGACAAATGAAGCCTTAAACAGCAGCCAACCCAATGTCCTTGGGCTTGCAGATTCAGTTGGGGTTGGAACCTTAAACACGAACTTACTAAAATGGCTCCGGGTCAATTTAGTATTCGTGTTCGAAGCGGATGACCGCCGCCAATGCCGGGTACGCCACATGACGCTCGTCGATCATCCGAGCCCGCTACCTTATGCTAAATTCGCCCGTGGTTCGGCCATCTACGGTTCCGTCACTGTTAAAGTCACCCTCTGCTGCATGTAGTCAATCGGTATCAACTAGTACGAGCTTATTAATCAATATTGACGAACAGCAGATAGCCAAAAAAAGGGTAGTCGGCTACGGGCCGTCAGAGCCTATTCTTTCTTTCCACGTCGATGTGACCGTCGTGAAAATAATCAAGTGATATGCCTCGGGTATATGGATTGAATCCTCTTGAGTCCTTTGTGCATTTTTGAATAGCCTAAACGATAGTCGCATGGCTAAACAAAGCCCCATTCAAGTTAGAAGGTCGACGATCGAGTCAGAATTTAGTTCTCCGCCAGGTTATACCGGCGGTTCGAACATACGTGATAAGCAACATTATAAGAAATATCCTCATTGCTGCATAGGTCCATACATTACCAAACAAGAATAGTCAGATCTATTCTTGATGTGAAATGGAAAGCCACCTGTGGAATATCCTGTCATATGACACGACAAGACGAACGGAGAGTGGTCTCTTATTATTTTTAAGCTCTAACGTTTTGAAATGTCTCAACCAAGTGCCTTGACAATAAAACACTTGTACAAACTCTCAGTCGCCACAAAGCGTTGTGGAACAGGAAACTGGTTTTCTGATGCCAATAAAAACGCACGTATCATTTATTGCAGCAGTCAAACTGGTTACTTTGGGGTTCGCTCATCCAAAAATTCAGCTACAGCAGGCCGCGATCACAGAAGGCCCTCAAGCGACCTTGTGTGCGAGACTTTCCACATAGGGCTATCTAGTTATAAGGGTTTTAGTTTCGGTGCTATTTTGCTTGTATAATATACTAGGACAGTCTTCTAGTAGCGCTAGCATAGTATCGGGACCGTAGTCGAGGATTTATCCTACCGATAATTCGCTATATTTTTCTCTAAGCCGAAATAACACCTCCTAGGAGTAATAGATTACACGGCGAATATATACTATATAGGTTAAGAGGAAGATTAAGGGCACCTAGTAGATCGTCTAGGAACTAGTTACTAGGCGACCCTCTTTACGTGGTTGTAGAGACCCACTATAGGTTCGTAGAGTACTAACGTTATAGAATAAACGTGGATCTCTATAAGTTATCTATCTAGACCAGAACATTCCTATAGTATATGGCACCTTAGATCAGGAAGCGCTCGCTGCATCTGATCTAACTCAAAGCTTACTATCTGATATATTAGCACTACAAACGGAAGGTTCTAGCCAATCTCGAAAATTCCAGCCAATCTAGATGACGGCAGTCGGAGCCTTTCCCGGTCCACACTTCTCTAGGTCAGTCGACCGCCTGTACCGAATGAGGTGGTCACTAACATTTTAGATATTGTTTCTTGGGGTCGTTATAACGTATCCATAGTTGGGGCTATCCTTAAGAGTGGAGATTGGTTCGTCACTGACTGATTGTCATGCCTTCAATCAAGACCGTATCAACTCCCATCTAACAAGATATGCCAGCTCTAGTCATGCCTGGAAAGGTACCATTCAGTGCGGAAGCCTCTATTTCAAGTACTTCCTGTATGCCTGCTTCCTCTTGCGACGAGCCCTTTACACTCCGCAGGCCTACCGCAGATATTCCCCTCTTTTTCCAAAAGGATCTTGCTGTCCAACGTCTTAATGAGATTCACAAGTATCTATGATTGGCTGGGCTAGACTTTGCTCGTAATCTTCACTTGTTTCCTCCTGATATGCATGAGTTCCAGTTTGGATTCGACTACGCGCCTCCTTCGGATCAAACCTTTTCTCCTTTTAGTGTGGCAAAGGGCGTGGGGATATGTTAAGCTCGCACTTACATGATTTCTCTCAGCAATTGACGACCTTAAGCATCAGGGGAACTGTATTGGGAAATGACCTTTTCTGCCTTTGAATACGGACAAAATTCTAACAACCCCTTGCTGGCTAGAGATGACCAACGTTTCGGTGCAGTTATTTGAAAGGGCGCCTAAAGACCCACATGACCCGGAGGGTGATGACCATCCTGGCTTTGATATACCGCCAGCGTGGCCTGGTTACGTACGGAGTCCTGCTGAAGAAGGCAAATACTGGTTTATTTGCCATCGACATATCGCGAGGTTTGCCAACGACATCTATCTTTCTGCTGGCTGGGCTGCTCTTGGAATGCCGAAGCTGAGCTGCATGACATTGTGGACGATGGATCTTGAGCAATGCATGAGTTTGACTATGAGGTGGTAGAAGGAGCGGCGAAGGCCATCTGGGGGTCATTTAGTTGACGACAATCCCTACACACTCAAGACGCTGTCAGCTGGATGATCAGGCTTAGAGGTTTGGAGGAAGGGCTCATTTGAACATACTGGGGGCGAACTTGATGTTTAATGCACCTCCGTTCTATTGAGAGAACTTGACTAAGAAAAACTTATCTTCATTCATTCTCTATGCATGTTATTCTACAACTTTTGGCTGTAGAAAGAGCCATTGTATTGTATCTTATTCTGGAGCGTATAACCCTGACTTTCGCTATGGGGTTGATCACTTCCCTGCATCAGCCATTAAATCCAGTAAGCACTGTAGAATGCTGTCGGTGCATACAGGGATTCAAACACACGAAGGCTAGACACATTGACGGCAAATTGCGATGCAGTTTTGTAGTACCGCATGTTACCGGAAGTTTTTCTGTCATTCAGAAGCATCCCTCTAGCCGGTGACCACTGGATATGTTGCTTGCTGTAGTCAATTTTCTGGCAGGAAGCCTGACTTCCAAGGCATCGCCCCGTGCCACTTCCTGACCATGTTGCATAATATTTAGATAGACAGAGGCCCACGTCGTGTCATTTGACACAATCAGGCACCGATCGACCAAAAAATCATTGCCTTTGTAGCCATCTGAACAAGGTCAAATAGTGAAGCGTGGAGGGGAAGCTGGGTGGGCCTTATCGCTCGCCGCCTTTCTGATACGTCACTCGTGTTCTCAAGCCTTCACTCCTTCCACTCCCTTAACATTTCTTCCCTTTTCAGAATACTTATTTGATCTCTAAGCCTCTACATCATGGCGTCCGACTTAGACCAGCTCATTGAAATGGGCTTCGACAAAGAACGCGCTCAGATCGCTGTCACGAAAACAGGCGGCCGTAAGTTTCCACCCTTCGATGTGAAGGTGAACAGATCTCTGACAAATGAAACAGTGCAGGGAGCATTGCAGTGGCTTGAAGATAACCAGGACAAGTCGTTGGAGGAAATTCAAGCTCAGGCTGAAGCGCAAGAGGAGGAGGGCCCCGCACTTCAACCCGGCGAAGCACCACGCAGCTTGGTCTGCAACGATTGTGGCAAGAAATTCCGAAGCACCGCACAGGCCGAGTTCCACGCATCCAAGTCGCAGCACGTCGATTTCTCAGAGTCCACAGAAGAGATTGCCCCCTTGACCGAGGAGCAGAAGAAGGAACGACTGGCAGAGCTTCGGGAGAAGCTTGCGGCAAAGCGGGCAGGACAATCTGAGCAGGATAAAATTGACAAGAAGAACAATGAGGTATGTCTATTACTTTTTTTCTCTTGCTAGCTTGTGGCTGGGGTTATTTACTTACTTGGTTCCCTAGAAAATCCGGCAGAAGAGCACCAAAGAGAGCCAGAACGCTAAGGAGGAGCTCGAACGGAAACAAATGATGAAGGAAGCGGCAGCCAAGAAAAGGGAGAAGCAGGCTGACATCGATGCGAAGAAGCGTATCAAGGCAAAGATCGAGGCGGACAAGGAGGAGAGACGGCTGAAGGCCGAGCGTGAACGAGCTGAGCGTGCCGGCGTCGCCCCTCTTCCCGTGCCCGCTGCTGCTCCAGCACCCACTGCTTCCGGTCCCGCTACGTCCAAGCCAGCTTCCGCATATACAGAAACCCGCTTGCGATTCCAATCGCCGAAGGGTAACATCATGAAGACTCTCCCTGTTGACACCACACTGTTTGAGGTTGCCGCGGCACTGAAGGAACAAGATGGAATTGAGGTCCAGAGCTTTGTGCAGACCTTCCCTAAGAAGGTTTTTGACGCAGAGTTCTTTGGAGAGACTTTGAAGGAATTAGGACTCGTTCCCAGTGCCTCTCTAGTCGTTCAATAATGCCATAGCCTCCGATTCGGGATAATTAGCCCTAGCACCTCGCCAGGTAGATTTAAGGACTAAATACTAGCTATACAAACCTAAAATTGACCTACTTCAGGCTCTTATTCGTAGTGTATTCTTCTTTTTCTTCTGTTTACCTCGAGATCTGTTATCTATCTGTTATCTTATCTTGTCGACACGTGATGTCGTGATTGAGCCGCGTCTTGCTGCCTGAGAAGACGCGCTCAACGCATCCCGTATAACAAAAGTCGACATCACTTGCAAAACATGCCAGCGTGAGATCATCCCCCTAAGATTAGACATCTTTCAACTACCCCATGGAACCAGAACTGATAGCAATATCCCCAGTGTTGGCGACCAACATCGCGGTGGTCCAGCGAACATCATAATGCCGAACACAACAGGTGCCGCCACAGCGAACCCCTTCGAAGAGCCCCAACGCCGCATCAATGAATACACTGCACAGGAGATTGCAACACTACAATCCCGCCTCGATAAGAAACTAGGACCTGAGTATATCTCCGCACGACCTGGTGCCGCGGGGCAGAAAGTGCACTATCTTGCCGCAGACAAATGCATCAACCTTGCAAATGAAGTGTTTGGGTTCAATGGCTGGTCCAGCTCCATTCAGACGATTCAGATCGATTTTGTGTGTTATCCTCGGGTTGTATGGCGACAAAGGGGACTGGCTAACACCCATGTCAATTAGGTTGAGGAGAATCCAAACACAGGCAAAATCAGCTTAGGCCTCTCGGTAATCATGAGAGTCACTCTGAGGGATGGCACTTTCCACGAGGTAGGGCAGCCCACGTGAAAACGGGGAATTTGAACCGGGATCAGTGTTAACTTCCCCCTCTTTTAGGATATCGGCTACGGGCATATCGAGAATTGCAAGGGTAAGGCCGCGGCCTTCGAGAAGGCCAAGAAGGAAGGCACAACAGATTCCTTGAAACGTACTTTGAGGACCTTCGGCAACGTGTTGGGCAATTGTGTTTATGACAAGGACTATGTCTCCAAGGTGACTAGGGTGAAGGCAGCTCCTGTAAGACCTGTAATGTTCTCTAATATCTGTCTCCTGCTGACTCTCGAACCAGGCGAAATGGGATATTGAAGATCTTCATCGTCACCCTGACTTCGCTCCGCCTGTTAAGAAAGAACAACCTCCACCTCCGCCCAAACGGGTATCCGAGGATGATGATTTACCCCTTCCTCGCCCTGCCAACCAAGCTAGGAATAACCATATAGGAAAGCATGTTCCTACTGATGGTGACGGGGAATTTGGAAGTATGTTCAAACAAATGCGAGCCCAAGACCTGGCTAACAAATACAGGTGATCTCTTTGATGAAGCCGATTTTGGAGTTCCCGATTCAGGCAATCCTGATGAGATAGTAATAGACACGGAGCCTCCACGCCAGCAGCCGCCTGTCCCTACTACTGGTCCAGCCCCACAACGTGGGCCTGCTTTGCAGCCAGGATTCAACCCAGCTGTCGTCACACCCTCAAAACCTGAGCGATGGAACGGTTCAGGTCCTGCAGGACGACCAGTTCCACCAATTGCACGACAGACCCCAGGTGCCATCCCCCCACCTGCTGCAGCAAATGGTCGTCCCATGTCCGGCCAAAATCCTGCTCAAATCATTCAAAATACCAGACCTCCGGTCCCACCACAACAACAAGCTGGTCAAAACGGACAAGCAAATAACATCGCCCAACCTCCAATAAAAAGGGAATCCTTTTCTGGGGGGAATCAGGAAATAAACCCACCCCAAGGGACACCGTCAGGTGGATTCTACTCTGCCAGAGCAGTAGATCTCCTTCGCGACAACCCAAACGGCGCATCGGCAGCACCGCAATTTGATCCACACGCAGAGAGTCCATCGATCCGCAAAACAGCCGGCGTAGACCATACCAAGAGCGTTCCCATTTCCAGACCCATGCTTTCCAACGCCTCTCCCGCACCCAACAACAACTCACGCGACTATGTCAATCCCGCAGTCGATCTACAACGCAAAGTCGGTGCTCCCGGTAGCGGATTCGGCAGTCCAGTCAGCAGAGGCCCATCTGTCTCATCTTACCGTCCCTTGACCCGACCCAACAACGGTTCCAATCCAGCCACCGTGAACAGGGGCAGTGTCCCCCCACAGAACCTAAATGGAAAACGGCCTCCATTGATCGATGTCACAAATGCCAATGCTTCGCCAGGCGCCGATCCTGGGCAACCGGTCCCCGGTCCAAATGAACCTAAACGACCCCGGGTCTCGGATGCTGACTCTTCTGGCCCTCGACCGCCAACCCAGTAATGAATATCATGTCTCTACCCCGACGGAGGGTGAATCACTGCGCAATTCTCAAACACAAGCACAAGCGTCTCTCATTTGTATCGTCTTTTTGAATCTGGTATCATGGCGTCATTGCATGTTTACCATGGCTAGCACGGATGGGTGGCGTTTACATTTACATCAGGTGTCTTCAGGTCAATGGACCTTTAGGATCCCATGGTGGAATACATGGTTTATCCAAGTGCTTATTGGTACATTGTTTTTCTGGGCACACTTACTTTTTGTTATTTTAAAATGATGGAGCATGCTGAACGGCAGCGTACCCTGTTAGAATTTATTGTCAATCCAGACGTCTAATACACGTCCCTTCCAAGGTTCAATGCCACTTCAAGCATCCTTATACCGGTCTGCATGCAGTTTACGGCTACTATATATGGATAACGAGTAAAGCGTTCATGATGCATTGTTTGATGCTAGTAGAGAGGCAATCTGCTGAAAAGTCTGGACAAATATCATGCTGAAAGGATGGATAAAACAAAGCTGTCGACGAAAAATCAAATTATCTCAATGATATATCGAACCGCCCTAGGAACATGGCTGCCTAGGCCAAGTGTCTGTCCCTTTCTATCACTAGGGAGTATTGACAGGTTCCAGTTAAGCCTCTGCTAGGTAGCATTTCAACCAAGGCATTGAGAGATTGAGGAAAGTGGCACTGTTTGGGATGCTCCACGATACTATGTGGAAACCGTTTGTCCTTTGGTGGCTTCTCTCCAGAGTAGGCGAATCGCCCGCAGCACAGCAGTCAATGAATGGACTCGTAGAAGAGGAAACGAAATTTATTGAAAAAATAAGAATGAAAATAAAAATAAAGTGCAAGAACAGGAAAAAAAGCCACATTATTTTGTAGCTTGCATCAACAGTTAGTCGAAATTATTCTAGCCCTAACCCGCCACAAAGAAGCCACAAAGAAGCCACAAAGAAGCCACAAAGAAGCCACTTCCACCGGAAAGAATCTCTCCAGCTTCCGGTATGCCTGGATTATCTGAAACGCGGACACAAAAAGAATTACAGTAGCGCTTCACTTTAGATGCAAATGTCCCGAGTTCTGGGTTCTTCGCGATCCCCGGAACTTACTGTGGCGTTCCGCGCTTGGTCTCCGTCCGCAGGCAACTAGTCTTTCGGCACTTTTGCATTGGGGACAGGGGTTCGCGAGGTGGACAGGTTGGACAGGTTTTCTAATGGACTGGTTGGGTATCGTATTTGGTGGCGTTGAATCCCGTTTTTCTGTATGGAACGTATGGAACGCAGGACTCGCGGGATTCGCATATGTCTATTTTTTTCCTCTCCCACAATTTTAAAATAAGTACGTTAGGTAAGTGATTGATCAGCGCTAGAGCGATCGGGGCAGGAGTATCGGCGCACCGGGTGCTGCGCTTGTGAGGATTCAAGGCTCCTCAGTCCCATACAGCAAAACGAGCCTCCCTGCGGCGAGGATCTACGGTGACATGGTGGTCGAGAATCTCCCACACGTACGGTGGTGGGAATATTTAAGAAGGTGCCTGTCCGGCTCTTCCAGTCTATCTTTCTTTTGAGATCCAGTCTCTCGATCTACAAAACTCCATTATCTTATAGGCAACCCTTACAAAATGGCCTTGCTGTTAGATTTCTTTTTTGCACACACCAAGACAGCGATCACTATCCTTGCTGGCGTTGTCGCTTTTGTTTTCATACTGGCTTTTTTTTGCTTGAGCGACACTCTGCATCCTGTCGAAAATGATCTGGTTCGATCCCCAAGTTGTAAAAGTCCCGAGCAATCATTGACTTCCCCAGGAAGATATAACCTTCGGCCGAACATGGGACAAAACGTGTTGTCCGGACATACAGCAACCAAGAAGGCGTAGACCTTACGCCTTCAATGGTAAAGAATACTCCCTGACTGTGAAGATTTCCACTGACCACGTTTGCTACAGATGCGTGACGGAACCAGTGTGGGTATCTTAATACATGTATGAAATTTGTCAAGCCTCGTACACGAGCAGGCTATAGATTGTGAGACCGGGGATGTATCTATTTTGAAATATTTTGTACGTAAAATTAGCACTCCCGAGAATACATAGGTTATTCACCCAGCACTAGAATTCATCACCCTCCGCCGTGGTATGCTACAAGGATAAAATTTGACCTGTAGTCCTCACCGCATCTTTTCAGTGTTAGCAGGTCATATGGCGGTCAAGTTTGATCTCAACTGACTTTGCTAGAGTCAGCAGACCCTTATTTTGTTTCAACCAATTTTGGACATCCGATAGTTCCAGGGACACAATATATGAACCCGTTTACCCCAAGGCGTGGTGGACCTGCAGATGGGGACCGGGGAAAGGAGTCCGAGATCCGTAGATAATGTACATGATCGTAAAAAAGGACGATGGCAAGATTCTGGAACCTGTTGTGTGCCGATCGAGAGAAAAGATCGAGCCTGATTTGGCCAAAAATGCCAAGGGGAAACGAGAATGGCAAAAGTCCCAAGAAAAAGCAGAATTTTTATTTATTTATTTAATTGTTTGCTATTACGATCAACAAATTGGAAGCCCAGAAATAGGTGATATGGAAAAACTGCCCTTCGATCTAGACTTACTTGTTTCGGGGGATTGGAATTAAAAGAGGGCCGCGCCGTTCAGCCATTCCTTATGCAGCCCAAATTTTAATTATGGACTCGAATACCTATCCTTCCTTAATGTGATCTATCAAGCTTGCAACTGTCTACAGCTCGATCCAGCTTTTTCATCACATCACATCCAATCACATCGCATCCAATCACATCGCATCCAATCACATCCCATCCCATTTCATCCCACCCCACTGCATGCATATTTACCCTGCATGCTGCATGTTTTATCAACAAAATCCCTCCCCATCGTCCCCCATCGTCCCCCATCGACATTGCTCCATTTTGCTCCGGACCCACTGAGGCGCATAATACGATAACACGTATACTACATTCCGGCAGTCAAAATGGTTCCTCCCCCCTGGGACCTCAAAATCCTACCCACCGAACCGTAAACGCCGGACCACACGAGGACGATCCCGGACCCAGAGACCCATCGGTTTCTGCAGATCAGTACAAATGCCACGGAAAGATTAAATGAAGCCGCACCAATCAATTTGTCTTCTGATACATGTGGATATGTGACGTGGGCAATTTATGTTCTTAGCTAGGACCAGTTTTCTGTGTTGTCCAAGTGCGGATTGTATACCACCTCCATCAGCAGCAACCCCAAACAACGACCTTAACCAACACTCGTCAACAATAATGGCGGGAATCATACCCTTTACCTCGCTACATAAAAAGAGCGCACATGCCGGGATCCTTCATGCAATATGCTCGTTTTAAGGTTCTAATACTGAGCTGTACCGGGGGTGACTGTTAGATTTACTATTGAACTAGCTTATGGTGGAGCTTTTCCTGCGGGATGTGGGTCTACCTTATCCTCTGGCAGCTTGTAGATCCACAAAGATATAAGATGTAGCGTATATGTACTTCATTCCCGTGACAGACACAGACATCTCACTAGAAGTTCTACAAAAAAAGCCTTGGAACACTACGCTACAGCCTACATCTAGTTGGAGAGGAAGATTCACGACGCAGACACTAGCATCATTAAGTGAGCTATTTTGACAAAATCAGTCGAACAACATGACCCCTTTGCCCTTGACAAGTTTGCGACTGAAGACAGAGATTCTTTCCAGATACACAAAGAGGAGATGATCGCTCAAGCTGACAGCAGGGTTAGGATGATGGCAGGGTGGAGAGTAGGAAATGACCCTAATGAGAGCATACATCGAACAGGTGATATTGGGGAACTGACAGGCAGAACGCCTGGGTTTTGCTGTTTTGATTGTTAGTTTTTTTTCTCACATATTCGTATTTTCTGAAGATTGTCCATGATCAAAATGAGAGAGGAGAACGCATAAGTGGCTCAACTAGACGTATTTGCAATACGTCTTAGATGCCGCACGAGCTTGTTATAAGCTCAACGTGAGACATGCATGTGTTCGTTAGATTGTTCACTTCCGAGGAGTGAACGGAGCAGGGCCCAATATAGCCACCTTGCTCACCGCTTTATCACCAGACTTGGTCAGTGGTGTAGGGGAAAATCCAGGTAACACAGTACCAGGACCGGGACCAACCACTCGGGGAACCGGAAATGACACAGGCTGCATCCGCGGGAAGGTCAGGTTGCTTACCCTACGCAAAGCGTCAGAGTTGGAGCTCGCCGAGGCAATGTTTGCTGACCAGTTCTCCGCCTGAAGAGGCATTCTCGCAGCTGGCTGCTGGACAGAGATGGGAGGAGATGCAGATCCATTGCCATCTCGAAGTGTGGTAGGCTCAAAGACAGAAGGAGCCGGTCCGATTGTGCGCACTCCAGTTGAACTCACAGGCTGGTGAACGTTAGGGGTCCTTTCACTCAACACTCGAGCGGAAGACTTGGGATGCGATGCCATGGCTTTGAAACCCGAAGGCAGACCCGGAGGACGGGAAGGTGCAGCTAGACCCGGGGGACGTGAAGGCGCAGCTTGGGGACGCGATGCCATTCTGCTCGTCATATCATGGGGAACCGAATTGGCGGTTGCGCTAGCGCGCTTCTTTCTGGTCAGCTTTGTCAGAGCTGTAGGTGGCTCGGAGGCGTATTTGGAATCGAGAAGACCGGTGGGCTTGATAAAAACACCTGAGTGTGAAGTCACAGGCGCCGGCTTCTGAGGTGGGTTTGCCGCCTCGACAGGCTTGTTGAACTCGATTGGCTTGGCCATCTCGACGGGCTTGGTAGACTCGACAGCTTTGGTGAAATCGAGAGGCTTGATCAGCTCACCATGCTGGAGATCAAGCTCCGAATATTCGCTCTTGTGAGGCGATAGCCCTGGCACGGGCAACCGACTTGATGGCTTCTGGTCCGCGGAGTCCGGCGAGGAGCCATGAGGCGAACGATGTTTCTCAAAGCTCGGACCTTCAATTGCATTGTTAGCCTTTGTCAACCACTGCTCCAAGCGGGAAATGTCGTGATTTGGAGTTGAGATACCCTTCAGGAACTGTTCAGCGCTTTTGGTGGCCAGATTACGAGAAATGGCCGAGGTTTCTTGTTGATCAGACTTGTTGAGGAAGGGTGGGATATAACCCTTTCCATACGCATCCTTGAGGGCTGAACCCACACTTCTACCCACAGTGTTACCTATGAGATCCCAGAATTCGGCCCCGGGCTCTTCATTCCGAGTGGAGATCACATCAGAAAAACCCAGTTCACCCAGTTGACTTTCTGCGTCGGCAGAGACATAAATGGAAGACGGCGAAGGGGCAAAGGGCACAAGTGGGACAGCAAAATCCAGTCCCTCCAGGACGGCAGCACTGGGACTAGCAAAAGAAGCTTGTCTGGGGGGTGTGGTGAATTCCAGGTTGATAAGATCCTCGCCTGGAATGTACGAAGACACATCGTCTGTCTGGATCGACGTTCCTGCCACAGTAGGACCCTCGTCGAGAAGGCTTTGACCTAAAGCTCGCTGTTTGACTGCCTGTGTTTCGCCAGAAGATGTTTTCTGCCCAACTTGAGGAAGCTTAACAACAGGTGGAGGCTTCTTCTTGGCCGGAGTGGACACAGGCGACAAGGGTCTCTTCTTGCGTGGGAATTCATCTGCGGAGATTTTCCAGTTGAGGTCTTCAACATCGATGGAAGTGCCAGTCTCTTCGATGGGGGCCTTTGCAGCGCTCTTGGAAGTCGGAGAGGGGCCCTTTGATTTCGAAAACGCGGCAATTTGAGAGCGAGGCACAATTCGGGATGGGGTTGGAGATGGCGGAGTCATACGCTCCGCCAATGGCTGATCGTGGTATGGTGTCTTCATGGGAGGGGACACAGGAAGGGCAGTTGGTGGCTTTGGCACCGATACGCTGCGAGCTTTCATAACCGATAGGAACGATGAGGTGTCGGATAATCTGCCCGACATGTCCTGACTGAACGAGAAATTAGCATAGAAACATAACAGAACCAATCAACATACATTAAAAGGGGCCGCTGGGCACGGGGAGGTCGAGAAGGCAGGGGGCTTTGACGTGGTGTCGCCCGCGCTCTTCCTCGATCAAGGCCTCGGTTTCGGCCTCGGCCACTACCTCGTGCTTGTGGGTCGATGTCATCATTGTTTTCGTTCAGGGCAGGGTCCAGTCGAGCTCCCACAGTCACAGACCGTTGGTTGTTGGTCTTCACAATGCCTCCACGGTGAGATGTGCGAGACCTTCTGGTCTGGTTAGTTTGTAACGTTTGCAAAGGAAAGGATTTGCTTACTTTGCAGGAGACGGAGCGTAAGAAGCGCGGCGGTTTGTTCCAGCACGGCCGCCACCGCGGCCCCGAGATGTTGGGGGAACAGGGTGGTTTCCGATGGATGGGGTGCTGTTGAACTGCGTGCCCGAAAGCTGGAGCATCGGCCGACGTTGGCCCGCAAATTGTTCATTTAGAGCACGGCGGTGGGACTGCCCGTCATTGATGTCGTCCAACTCCTCCATGTTACCGGTGTCTGTGACGATTGTGTGGTAGTCTATAAAGCTGAGATTTAGTCAAAGGCCAAAAAGTCATCTGTCGGACACGAACTTGACCAAGCGTCCAGTGTGGTCCTATTAGCTTGTGCCAATTGGTAGGCAGCAGTGCCTGGCTTATCACACTCTCTGTCGGCTCCAAGCTGACCCCGTTGGGAGCCCCGCTTCCGAGAGACATCGTGGGTTGAGATCACCTCACGACGCGATGTGCCCAGGTCGGCCTATTGGTACTTTGAATTAGCGGATGCACAGAAACAGGGTAATCAGGAAGTAAGCGGGAAGTGGGCTAAGTACCATCTGCAGGGCCTTGAGCTTCTCGGAGCGCTTGCGCTCCTCAGGACTTTCGCCCTCGTTGTTACTGCCCATTTTGCTTTGTTGACAGCGTCAAGCAGCAGGTAGGCAAAGAGTGTATTGACGTGCTTGACGTCAATAGATACCTTATCTTACTTTCGTAAGACACGCTGGAAATGAGAAGAGAGTAAGTAATGCCAAGGGCAGGCGAGAGTCGGACGAGTGGCGCTTGAGAGGTGCCGACAGGGAACAGAGAATATGACTTACAGGGTAGCAGGGGGTTGGTGTCGGACTTGCCGACCAGAGGGGGATGGTTGGTAAGGTTGACGATGAGCTGGAGGAGTCCAATGTTATGATCGACGCGTAGAGACCTCGTCGGATCGGCGAGGCTCTTCGAAGTGAGAGATGCTTGAGAGATCGAATCTCGTAGTGGGGAGCAGAGAAAATCCTGAGTAGATGATGCAGAGCACGTACTTGCAAGATCATGCAGAGTAAGTGCGTTGAAAGATGAAGAGGATGGTGGGAATGAAAGGATCCGTGAAAGAGGACGCAGTGAGTAGGCGATTGACAAAACAAACATGTGACGAAAGGGTGTTGCCCATCCAGGCACTGTGCCAGCCACTGTGTCCATCGTTCCTTCCGTCTGGAAATGGCAAAAAGCTTGGCCACGTGGGTGTCGACGTTTTGGGTAATTCGGCACGTGGGCGACTAGCGCACGTGGGCTTCGAGTCCTGTATATAGTAGTAGCCTGGCAAGTATGTAATTCTTGTCGTATACCTCGAATACCTCATCTGGACTAGGAGTCATCAATCGGTAAATTTCAAGTGAGAGGGCGATGGGGGAATGGAAGAAGAAGGGGTCGCTCTCGTTTCCAGACTGCACAAGGGCGAGAAGATTATTATTATGCGACTGCCCTACAATCCACCCAAACTGGCGTGCAAAAGAGGAACGCACGTGAATAGGACTCAACAGTCTTCCATTGGGGTATTGCCTGGTCTAGTAACGAGAATTCTATTTCTATGCACTGCAGCTATGAGGATCCCCATCCTCTGCATCATGTTAGCTAATGGCCCCCAAGTGCAAAACATGATTTCTCGGAGCAAAACGACAACATGTGAGGACTCACTTCTAATAATTTTCACGACGGCCTGAACTACACTCACTCCCATCACAACAACGCCAAATCCCACACACAAATATGCCGGGATTTTTTCTCGTCGAGACGCACTGCTAAGCTTGATGTAGCACAGCGGAGGGAAAATGTATGCCAGAGCAGCAGCACTGGTAGCTCCAATGAGCTCGAAGACACTCCCCAGGTCACAGGTTATGAGAGATAGCACCATTGAAGTCACGACTAAGGATGTCGTAAAGATGAGATGTCGGTGAGGGTTGAAGGGTTCGTCGGGGAAGTAGTAGGTCGTCATGACGGAACGGCAAACAAATGCTTCTAATGGCAAGGTAGTAAGCATGTTCAGGCCGAAGCAACTGCCAGCAATTAGAAATGTCAATCCTTCCGGGGTCAATTGGAGGTCCATACAATCGCGCGATGTTAACGATGATGTTATCAGAGGGGAAGTTGTTCAAGACATTGCCTTGAGTCTTTGATCCAAAGGATAGGAACCCTGCTATGCCCATTGCTAGGCACATAACCAAGGATACTCCAGTCGAGTAATGTGTGACCCTAGTGAAACGGTCAAGAGTAGGCCTCTTCAGAGAGCCATAAATAAGGAGGCTGTTGTGGTCTGCATCTCGTTAGTCAATACCGCATCGGCAAGATGGGAGATATCATACGGCAAACAAACGCTGTAACTCGTCAGTAGGCTGGTCATGTATTAACAAAGTCGGGAGCTTACCAAAGGAAATAACACCGATGGCCTGAAAGAAACCAGAGTTGATGATGAGGTGACTTTTGATATCTCCACGGGATTCGGATGGAACTCGGAAACCTTGTGTAATTACGGTCACCACAATGACTATCATACTGACCAATGCCAAGGCAGAAGCTTTCGCCAACTACTTGTCTGTTAGTCTGATGCAGATAAAATGAGGAGATGATCTGACCTTGGCAATGTCTCTATACAGTGACAGCGGGTATGAAACACCTAGAACAAAGAGAACGATGACAGCACGGCGATCTGTGAGGAGCCAGAGAAATGACATCTCCCGCAGAGATGGAAACAACGCCCCTAGCACGTGCGGAATGGTATCCCCAACGATAATGCAGAATGCAACCATGCCACCAAATGCGAATGCCCACTGGGCAACGGAGATTGCAATGAGTCCGCTTTTCCCGAAGCAGTACTGCATGGTCGCTTGGAATGAGTCCGCGCCGCTCAATTTGGAGTTGATCACAATGAGACGGATGGTCCAATCCACTGTTATGGTCAAGGCAGTCAACAGCAAGATACCCATAGTCAGACCCGCTTGACGAAGCGCATATGGTTGCCCAATGATTCCAGCTCCAATAATGCTGTTGGCCATGTTCATGAACGCCATCTTCATACCACTTCTCGGCCGTGCATTTTCCAAATGCTCCTCGGGAAAGAAGTCATCTGACGTCGCAAGTGTTACACTAGGCGCTTCAATGTCCGTGAGGAGAGGCACCGACTGTCCATCGTGATGTGTCCCTGGGCTGCCCCGATTCCCAAGCTCGTAGTCCTCATCGTCCAGCCATAGTGCATCGTCTGGACTGAGAGCACGGCCATTCAAATGATGATCGGTATCTTCGGGTTCTTCTTCCAAGTCAAATCGAACACGGTTCATTGTGCGAGGCATGCGGCGCTGCCCATCTTGGACTGGTTGCGAAATTGAGGAATGCGGTGTCCGATTCGCGTCGTCTGGAATCGGAGACGGGAGAGGTCCGGAGTCGACTAGATCACGCTCCCCATCTGCCTCAGGCAGAAGAGATTGAGCTTCAGGCCCTTTCTGGCCTTCGCCAGGTAACAGATCCTCTAACCTTTCATCCCCTGGCATCGCTGACTGTAGATAATGGTAAGAAGGTGGTTGCTTTCAGGCCACCTGGATGGGGCGGCACGTGATAGCCGATAACCGATAGCCGATAAGCAGCGCGATAACAACGGTTTCTATACAGGGGATATGGTGAGGAGCATTTGGTAGATGCTAGCAAACGCACTTAAAGAGATATACGTTTGTAAGTATGGATCGATTAGGGCTTAGCCCATGATGCCTGGATGAGTGGACACGGCAACGCCCCGAGAAGCTTACGACCTTTATGTTTGCTCTCGTTAACCAGTGAATCCCAATCGAGAACATAGAGGCAACGCGCCCCTGGTTCTGCCCATCCAATACATACATAAAGGGTATCCTTGGGAGTGTTAGTTTTGAGACCAAGACGATTAGTCTGAAGTCGGAAGCACACCCGGTGGCCAGCGCTGGAATGGAGGGGTTCATGGGACTTGTCCTGGAGCTCAAATGCTGACTTTTGCATACTGAGGAGAAGAAGGACAGGGTAATCGAGCAGATTGTTCGAATGACTCAATATTGGACATCCAGGGAGGACCGGAACTCAGTGGATTGACCACACTAGTTTGAGATGCATTGCTGTTAAGCCCTGATTGGAACCACTCGATAATGCTCGTATTACTCTTGCGATGGAAATTTACTTAGCGGATCCGAAAACTTGATAGCGTTGAGAATATGCTGCGTTTTCTCAAGTGTTGATTAGGGCTGTTCCTGTCCCAGCCGGGAACATCATGTGCTCGTAACCACAGCTCGATCTGCTGATGTTTTCCGCAGTGGTTTTCTTCATCGCCGATTTTTGAGAAAGACGGCTTCAGCTCTTGATTGTGTGCTTCAGAATTGAGGTGTCTTCAACATGACACAGAAAGTCGACTTGGGCCGAAGCCTACTCCGAATCCGAGGCTTGCAATTGCAGCTGAGCTTGACCACAGCCGCACACTTCAACCAGTCTCCGAGCCACGGACCTACCACAGTATCCCCGGGGTCAAGGTTGGAGGATATCTGGATTACAGAAGCACCAGAGCTGGACTTGCATTTTTTCATTGGCAGCAACTGGGACTCGGAAGATGCGGTGGCCTCTTTCGTCTCACGGTTGGAGCCACACCTCTGCGGTCTGAAGGTAAGCTTATGAGATGATGTTTACCATCAAATACTGACCGTTGTTCTTCAGATTTGGTCGGATCTCGGCTTCTCTGCCAGGCTCAAGATGGAGGAGGGCGAAGACGGGGATGCCAGGAAAAGCGACAACTGTGAGCCTCTCTCCCTCAAACTTGGTTTGCGCAGAGAGCCCCGGAAAGCCAGTCACAGAAAACGTTGGACCTTGCCCGCCGTGATGGTCAATGCCCCCGACGCATGTCCCCCACCTGGGATACCGGTACTTGTCCTGACCTCCCTTGAAATCTGTCTAGAATATGGCTTTCACGTTGAGAACATGGCCCATTCCCAATACTCCAATTTTGATATAGATCTTTTTGAGCAAGATCCGTCGGTGATCGCTGTGAAAGAAGTCCCGGACGAAACAATGGACCACGTTATCGCTGCATCAGATCCAGACGATGCTATGTCCCAAGCAACACAAGCTGAGAAGTTCGCCCAATTTTCGCCGCCATCACAAAGGGATCTTCTACGACTGTTTGATCTTGCCCTTCAACGACTGGTCGTATCCAACACCATCGTTGATCTGGGAGTTCACATTTCAAACCATTTCACAATAGATAGCTTATCGTCCATGATGCCTGTGGCTTTCAATGCGCAATATCGAGAAGTGAGCTGTCTTCACTGCCACATGCAACTCAAGAGCTAATTGTATCTAGGCTATGAACCAGCGAGTAGTATCTATCCCGATCATTACAAAAGCCATATCGTCCATGATTGAAGGAGGTGATAACCATTTCATCCAACCAAAAGTAGCGGATTTGCTACGCTACAGTCATTCATCCCATGCGGATGCTGTCACGATAAACGCGCACCCTGTGGGTCTCAGATCTGCAATTGACTCCTCCCTGTGGCATGTTGCCCAAGAGAATCTTCACAGGCTCACGCTTCCCCCAAGGCGAACATGGGTACTTCCCACAGATCTGCTTCTCGAAGAAGCAACTGAGCCAGACGATACTACGGGCCATTGGATTACACATTCTCAGCAGCCCGACATCGAGTTTCTAATTCCAGACAACTCTTTCAATACACAACATACCCACGGGGACGACACATGTGATAGATGGATATTGAATGAAACCGATCTCGAAAGTGATTTTGACGCCCTTTCTATAGGGGAAAACCTCGAGATAAGCCCAGACACCGGGGATTCCACTCAAACTTCCCTGGATAGTTCATATTCCACAATCGCATATTCTCAACCACTTCGCAGGTATGATGATATGATGTTCGATTCCGAACATGGTGATGCATTCAGCCATTCACATGCGCCGATGGGTGAGAATGATTATTGGGAGGTTGCGGAATACATAGGCTCCCCGGATTCTGATATTATGCTGGATGATATATTTTAGGTCATTGTATTATATTTCTGTCACTTATTCAATGCAACTAGATTTTGATCTCAAAAGGGTGAAAGGTCCCAATCCAGCTGTGTCATAGGATACACGCTGCATGGTGAGGTCCATGTACCCTAAACTACGCTAGTCCTGATTGGGTTACTCTATAATATCATACAGCAGTGATTCACTGACATCATCGTCTCTTCCCTTTACCTCCAAATCCACATCTCAGGCCTGAAAATGACCCCCACCAAAGCTCCGGACAAGGTCTTTCCAATCACAACATTTATCTCAGACCTACCGACCAACCTCATCCAGCAGTACCTCCCATCATCTGAAAATGGCCGCAATGGACGCTTGGTTATTGTCGGCGATGTACATGGGATGAGAAAGTCCTTGGAAGCACTGCTAGATAAAGTCGGCTTCGACAAAAGCAAAGGAGACCATCTCATACTAGTTGGCGACCTAGTCAATAAAGGGCCCGATAGCCCTGGTGTTGTTGATCTAGCCATGAGTCTAGGAGCCAGCGCAGTGAGAGGAAACCACGATAATGCAGTTCTTAATGCGGTCGTGGAAATAAATGCCGTGCGGAATAGTCAAGTACCTCCCAGAGGCTTGACTGACAGTCCAGCCGTACCTGAAACCCCTGAAGGTGATACCGCCGGAGATCCCGAGATCCTTGACAAAGGTGTATCTGCTACAAGCGAGATGAAGATGAGAGCGAGCCCTAGAACGCAGAGTACAGCAATGGCACTTTCGACGCACCAGATTGACTGGCTTGCGGCTTTGCCTTTGATCTTGCGCATCAATCTCCCTCATAACTTAACATCACCCTTCGGTGACACTTTGGTTGTGGTTCATGCAGGCCTCGTTCCTGGCATCCCAATTGAAGAGCAGGATCCACATGCTGTAATGCATATACGGAGCCTGGTCCGTGAAACCAGCAATGAAAATGGACTTACACCGACTGAAACTTTCGGAGAAGAAGGCTGGATTATGGAATGGGATCGGTGGCAAGCCAGTCTAGCGTCCAACACGACGGTGATATTTGGGCACGATGCAAAGCGTCGTCTGCAGCGGGGCAGATATGCGATTGGTCTGGATTCAGCGTGTTTATACGGCAATCAATTAAGCGCAGTTGTGATTGAGGCCCGCGATGGGAGAATTGATCATGAGATTGTTCAAGTTGAATGTGCTGATACACCTGTGGCGCCAACAGTGTCGGCGAAAGAAGGCGAAACGGATTCTTGTAAGATAAATAAGACGTGAAGCAGAATCTATCTAACTTAAGATGTGTTTGCCTTTCCTTGTCTCTTTGATTCTAGATCCTTTGTGTGGGTCATTAATAGCCTCTCACGCTCGTAGCCAATTCTATCAACTTGGGATATTCATATTAAAATTCTGTCTCTCCTGTTGTTTCTATATAAGTCCTGCATCCTTCTTCGTCATTAACTCCTCGCTCATCAACTTCCGCCAATTCTTCATTCTTCATATCGTGCATCACATTCATTACCAACGCGTTGATACAACAGGGATCATTAATGTGTACACAGTTTTTAAAGCCTCGAAGCGAGTGTACCGTTTCATGCATTGCTTCTGCCCTACTTTGGCCTCTCTTTTCCGCCTCTTTTTGCCTATTATCGAGTGCCTTGAGTTCAACATCTGGATCATATAAGGCAGAAGTGAGAGTAAGAATCGCCTAAGCAAGTCCTCTTCACCGTATCCCGTCTCCCATCTCGTTAGGGTTGCCTTCAGACAAAGGACCGTACAAAGTAAAGCCAGTTTAACAGTGATGAAATGGACAGGGCGACGATCCAATTAACGCTAGTTGGAGGGGAGATTGTCGTCCTTGATCTCTGTCACGACCCACTTCTCCCGCTCTTCTCTTCGATGTTTGATTGCTCGTTGTACAATAAGCGCAAAGATACCGCAACCAACAATGAACACAATGCAGAAAACCAGGATCACACCCGGCTCCTGCCCAGCCCAACCCCGCTTGGAGAGCCCATTGGAGATGCCGTGATCGCCTCTGGACAGTGTAGTAGTGATAGCTGGCATGACAAAATTCCGTATATGGTAGACTGACGTGGAAGGTGATTAATTTCCTGTAGAAATCCGAGCTTGTTGAATTGGTGAGAATTTAATTTCGACCTTTCACGCGGCAAGCTCCAGAGTTATCCTTTTAACTTACAGTCAATGCAGGTGTGCTGTTCCCCAAATATGGTCGACAAAACGCGACGTTGGGTGAATTGAGCAAGATCGAAGGGGGCAAGCAGTAAAAGAAGACGCCGTCAGCATCCCCGCGAGAACTGTCAGCCGTGAATCAAAATCCCCGCTCGCTTCACGTCCCAAAACTTGCTTTGAAGTGGCGCGAACTTACTGTCACTCCCACCCAGTTATATAGGCTTTGTACAAAACCTAGACTGCGTTGGTGCTTAGCAGCTTTGAGAGCACCTGGAAGCGAATAGCTCTGCGGTGATGTCATCCACTTTGTTTTGAAATTGCATGATTCATACATTCGAAGAGTACTACCAGTTTCGTGGCACGTATGAGGGGTATTGCCATTCGAAGCATGTTTCCATCCTTGGAATGGTACCAACCCAGGGTTGTGTTGAGCCAACAACTGTCCGTTGCTGGCGCAATGCGGCACCCGGAGCGCACCGAGCTTCTGTCTCGTCCCCGCTTTGATGCAGGACGGATGTCTGGATAAGCTTTGGGTGGCAAGTCTACCCGAACCAGTCAATTCTCTCTAAAACGCCCACCCAGCAAGATGGTCAATATGAGATAGTTGCGGCCGGAACGCTGCGGAGTGGAAATTATTTTATTTTTCTCTGTCTCGCTGTTTGCGCCTGTCCTGAAATTTATGAAATGGTACACCCTTCCATCTGTTAAGCTCAATGACATACAATTGACAAGTCTCAAGTGGATGTGAATCCTGTGCAGTTCGCTTGCCAGCCTATCTTCTGCGCTGCATGGGTGGTATCCATTTACCTTGGCTTGCCTCGTTTCTGTCGCGGATATAATTTCTCACTGCTTCACCTAGATAGTTCAATCTATTGTGTCCTAATTGTTCGACAGGATTGCGGCGAGGATATCTTATTTGCCCTTTGACACTGTCGCCCTACCCATCAGGCCCACTAGCAATATGTCGTCCCGCACCAAGGGCAACGTTGGGAATGTTGGGGACGAATCCGCGCGTCGCAGATCCTCTGTGGTTTCCTATAAGAAGGATGCAAAGCTCGACGAGTATGAAAGTCTCGTGACGTTCATGTCAGACTATAGGGAAGACGGCACAGGGGACAAAGAAGAGGGCAAGGTCGTTGAAAACCGTGTCTGGTATGCCCCATGGAAGAAGAGAAAGTTTCGTTGGAAATTCGTCGGTGCTGGACAGGAGTATCCGGAAGAATGGGGCTTCACCAATATCCATCAGGGTCTGTCAGATTCCGACGTGGAGGCGAGGCGGCGCACGGCAGGATTTAATGAATTGACCGCCAAGAAAACCAACCAATTTCGCAAGGTTTTAAACTATTTCCAAGGACCGATTCTCTATGGTAGGACTGACATACAAAACTCTGGTTTGATCTTTGCACTGACACTCCGCCACAGTTATGGAGATTGCACTTTTGTTGGCTGCGGGGTTGTCAGACTGGGTTGATTTTGGCGTCATCATTGGCATCCTTGCTTTGAATGCGACAGTCGGCTGGTACCAAGAAAAACAGGCCGAGGATGTGGTGGCCAGTCTTAAAGCCGACATCGCGATGCGTAGCACGGTGGTTCGAAACGGACAAGAGATTGATACAGAAGCTCGTGAACTTGTTCCTGGTGATGTGGTAAGTTTACCTGGGCATGGATATCATAAATCAGGCGTGACTAATTTGATTGCTGCATCTCAGATTATCATCGAAGAGGCTGAGACAGTGCCTGCCGATGCAAAGGTTGTCTGCGACTATGAGGAGAAAGATCAAGGATGGGATCGCTATCAGAGACTACGAGAAGAAGGCAAGCTCGGTAGGAAGCAAGACTCTCAGGGCGAGGAAGAAGAGGAGGAAGATGAAGAGAACAACGACTATCCTGTTCTCTCATGTGATCATTCGGCCATCACCGGTGAATCCTTGGCCGTGGATCGTTTTGCCGGTGACGACGTGTTTTATACGACGGGATGCAAACGTGGAAAAGCCTACGGTATTGTCCAAGCTACTGGACCAAAGACCTTTGTAGGTCGCACTGCCGCCATGGTTCAAGGAACCTCCGGGAAAGGACACTTCCAGATTGTTATGGACAGCATAGGCACCAGCCTCCTGGTCCTCGTGATGGCATGGTTACTGGCAATGTGGATTGGTGGCTTCTTTCGTAACTTGCCAATCGCCTCTCCGGGGGAACAGACTCTTTTGTACTACACTCTCAGTCTGTTGATCATCGGTGTACCAGTTGGTCTTCCTGTCGTCACGACGACCACGCTGGCAGTTGGTGCTGCTTATTTAGCCAAGAAAAAAGCAATCGTCCAGAAATTGACTGCCATCGAGTCTCTCGCTGTGAGTCCTTGTATTATGAAAAGCACGCGGGTGGTTCCTCTCATCTCGTTGCTTGTCCTGTTGAACCGAACTGTTACTGACGATGAAAGGGCGTGGACATTCTTTGCTCAGACAAAACAGGTACTCTGACCGCCAATCAGTTAAGCATCCGAGAACCATATGTCGCTGAAGGTATTGATATAAACTGGATGTTTGCGGTCGCGGCTCTGGCTTCTTCTCACAACGTTCGTTCGTTGGATCCTATTGATAAGGTGACTATCTTGTCAGTAAACCAGTATCCCAAAGCCAAGGAGATACTGCAGCAAGGGTGGAAAACAGAAAGCTTCACACCGTTTGACCCCGTTTCCAAGCGCATCGTTTCAGTCGTTTCGCTCAATGGAGAGAAGTATACTTGCACCAAGGGGGCACCGAAAGCAGTTCTTCAATTGGCACAGTGCTCGGAAGCAACCGCAAGGCTTTACAGGGAGAAGGCAACTGAATTCGCGCACCGTGGGTTCCGTTCTTTAGGTGTTGCTGTGCAGAAAGAAGGCGGAGAGTGGTCTCTGTTGGGAATGATGCCAATGTTTGATCCACCACGCGAAGATACCGCTTCAACAATCGCAGAAGCCCAAAATCTAGGCATCAAAGTCAAGATGCTCACCGGAGATGCAACCGCTATTGCAAAGGAAACCTGCAAGATGCTGGCTCTGGGAACAAGAGTTTATAACTCAGAACGCTTGATCAGCGGTGGCCTTAACGGCGCTATGGCTGGCGAACTGCTTGAAAGGGCGGATGGATTCGCGGAAGTCTTTCCAGAACACAAATATCAAGTTGTCGACATGCTGCAAGAACGTGGGCATCTCACGGCTATGACTGGTGATGGCGTCAACGACGCACCGTCGCTCAAAAAGGCGGACTGTGGTATCGCTGTGGAAGGGGCGTCGGAGGCCGCCCAGTCTGCCTCAGACATAGTCTTCCTGGAGCCTGGCCTTTCGACCATTATAGATTCCATCAAGGTTTGTGAATGATATTGCGCCCTACTTCTGCATCTTAGTGCCTGTGACTAATTTCACCTAGGTGGCTCGCCAAATCTTTCAGCGGATGAAAGCATACATACAATATCGCATCGCTCTCTGTATTCATCTGGAGATATATCTTGTCACCACCATGATCATCATCAATGAAAGTATTCGCACCGAGTTGGTGGTTTTCCTCGCCCTATTTGCTGATCTTGCCACTGTGGCCGTGGCTTATGACAACGCTTCTTACGAGCGCAGGCCGGTGGAGTGGCAACTGCCGAAAATCTGGGTCATCTCTGTTATCCTTGGAATTTTACTGGCCCTGGGAACATGGGTCATTCGCGGAACTATGTTCTTACCAAATGGTGGCTTTATTCAGAACTGGGGTTCTATCCAGGAGATCGTGTTCCTGGAAGTAGCTTTAACGGAGAATTGGCTCATATTCGTGACCAGGGGTGGCGCAATCTGGCCATCCCTGCCGCTGGTCACTGCCATCGCCGGTGTGGACGCTTTGGCAACCTGTTTCTGCTTATTCGGGTGGTTTTCTAACCGGGATATGATCACTGATCCTTTCGACAAGTATATCCCCTTGGAGACGGCCAACGGTTGGACCAATGTCGTTGATGTGGTTCGACTTTGGGCATACTGTATTGGTGTAGAGATCGTGATTGCGCTCGTCTACTTTGCCCTCAACAAGTGGAAGTGGCTTGATGACCTGGGTCGCACCAAGAGAAGCAAGGGTGATGTGGCCATTGGGACTGTGCTCAGCCATTTGTCTACTCTGTCGCTAGAATTTGAAAAGGATCAAGTGGGCCATGGGCGCATATGGCTTGGTCAGAGCAAGGAAGAGGAGGAGCTAGATTGAGGCGGTCTGGGAAGAATTTGTACTTTTATACGCCTTTACCTGTATACTATTCATGTCGCAGGCTCTAAGCCTTAGACGTGTTATGAATGTTACTTTGTTTCCGTCAAAGACAAACCGTACTTACTAAATGTTGATATACTGCTCTTCTGCCACGAGTCCTCTAATAGCTAGGAGAAAATATGCTCATCTTATCAGGCTAGCATGTGTTCGGCTTTTTGACTCTGAGAAGGCGTAGAGGTTCTTACTGCTCGGTTATTAAAATAATATACTCTTTTTATATCTATTCTAGTTTATATCCCAAAGTACTATGCTTTCCTAATAAAAACATTTCGAAAATATAAGAAATAACTCTATGATCTAAAGAGAAGATCTAGTTTATATTAATTACCGTGTTAGACTAGGTAGTGCGGAAGTCCATTTGAATGGCTATTTGCGCCAGCAGGAACAATGACATATATGAAGGATGCTGGTTGCTTAGCAGTTGCAGATATATTGGACTCTATGTGTGATTAACAGCGCTATTATCTCTGTCTAGGACTTCTGCAACATAGTAATACAACATAGTTCTGGATGATACAGAAAGGCGCGGTAAGACTGGCACGAGCTGCGTGAGGCTCAGTGTGCATCAAAGTGCCCCCAACGGATCAACAATAGACCCGAGATTTACCTATTGCTTCAGTAGCTGAAGGCGCGAGGGTGAGCACGACGAACGTAGTGGCTCCCACAGGTGTCCTCGTGTCCCTCATTAGAAGTAGTAGCGATAGCGGTAGCGGCAGCGGTAGCATTGACGCTAGCCACCTCAGAAGCAGAGCTAGAGCCCGACGCGCCAGTCCAGACCTCCGGACCAGGCATAGGATAATCCTTGTATCCATTGTAGATACTAAAGTTGAATGAAGGGTCATCCTTCTTGTAAGCACCGGGGAATCTGACGGTAGGCCCGGGCGTTCCATTTCCACCACCGACAACCTTGACTTGAGCGCACCTGAAAACTTTATCAGTATCCACTCAAAAATTATGAGAGGCATAAAAAAGCTTCACTTACGTGTTGTAGAACTCGGCTTGCCCAACGTGGGCACCGTGCACACCTGTTCCGGCAATTAGTATTCTTGCTTATACCAGCTATTAGAAGAAGTCATACCAATGTGCTCCGGTCGAATCAAATATTCTCCGTCAGGCAGACTCGCAGGAATCGTGAACTCAATACGATCCTTGTCCCAAGTACACCAGGCGTCTTTAGTAAAGTCCTTGTTCTTGTCGCAGACGCTCTCTTGGTGGATCTTGAACCACTCGCCGTCGCCCTGGTATTGCTTGGCCGTGCCGGGAGCTTTGGACATATACACGAGGGCAGGACCAGGGTGCTGCATTGTAGCACCAACGGCAAGCTTCAGGGCAAGCTTGGATCCGGCCTTGACCTCCGCAGTACCCGTTTTGTCAGCGAAGCTGAAGGCGCCCTTGTTGCAGCGGAAGTCAGGCACATCAGGGGTCGACAGTACCCCTACTCCTTCCAGGCTCTTAAAAGGCCTTTTTTTCTCCTCTTGCTTCTCTCCCTCCAAAAAGTCAGGCTGGAGCTCTCTTCCTAGCTGCCAAACGGCGTCCTTTCCTTCTGTTTGCGTCGATCGCTGATTCTATCCATTCATTCCTGCCTGGGTGTTACACGGGCTGTTAATACCACCATGACGCTTCTCTACGTCGGTCTGCAGGTAACCGCCCGTCCATTAAACTCAATAACGTTCCTCTCGTTTCTCTCTCAGGATTCTTACCCGAAATGCGGTCAAGAGTGGGATGAAGACAATTCCTCTGGCGTAAGTGAGCCTTAACTCATTACCTCGCTTTTGAACGGTGCTAACTCAGGAATAGCTGGTAAACAGCCTTGGCAAAATCCTGGAGGAAATCGGACAATTAGATAAGAGGCAGATCGCAGAAGTCTTAGAGCGTGCTAAATAGGCAGGCTTTGCCAGATAGCACATACTGGCTGCCCTCGATGGGTTGCCCTTTTCCTCAACTTATCGAAACGACTGCCATACATCGTTCACTGTTCTGGTTAGCTTCAGGGTGAGCATATTCTCCTCAAGCTCTTAGAGGAACTTGGAGCTGACTTATCAGGAATGCGTTCGCGCTGCGGACGCTCTTCTTTTGGATAAGAAGCACCTTGCAGCTGTAAGTCGCCTGCTTCAGTTACTATATTTCGTCCTAACTTCTGTAGCTCGTTCGGCACTTTGGAGCCGACCTAGAACAGCTTCGGAAGCTAACGAGGCCTCAGCTGTGTACAGTGGGCATCGGACTCGAATGTTTTGTGGATAGAGTTTACGTATCAGAGGCTGTTCAGGATTGGTCTATATCAGCATCAGGTAATATCGAATGTGATCGCGCTATTTTTCGACTTATCTAACTGCTAATCCTCTTTTGAAGAAAGCACTGTTACTGGTGCTATGCAGCCCGCTCCGTTCCTTCCACCACAGTCTCCTTACGACCTCAGTCTTTCAACACACGATGCATCATCCACCCTTGGCGATTCTCAACAGTGGATAAATTATCTGAATCTACTTGATAACACAGACTCCAGTTTGGCGGACTCGCCTTTGCTCACCAATACTCCCTCGGAAAGTGCTTCTCCCTTCACCGAACCGAACCTTTCCAGTGATCCCAACTCGTGCGTTGAAATGACTTCACCCGTGACCGCATATACACCTAGAGATAGAGCGCCATTTTGATCTTCGCCTTTGGACTCGTATCCGAGTCCGGGCGAAAGCGAGCTTCCAGGTTCGGAGACTCACACTATGATAGCGCCTCATGCCCCGATAATTTTACCGAATGTTGACGAAGGAGCTTCATATTATCCGACGCCACCTCCGTATAGCAATGAAGTCTCCAATGTGGGAGAGCAATCTATTCGGCCGGAATCTGGCCGCCTCATGGCCAGCCAAACAGAGAATATGGATAAGCTTGTTAGTACTAACGCGGGCGATTTATCCGTTCCAATGGCGCTCAATTATAGGGTGCAGAACGTGAAACGTTTGCTCTTTTCTTACGATCCTACGCTTAATGACATTCGAGTTCAGCGCATCCTCTATATAAGCGCAAATCCCCTCATTGCGGAGGAACTCGAGCAAACGCTATAGCCCCTGTTGGGCTATTGGGATTTGTGCGAGTCACTTGACGTATCGGCGCTAGGCCTCCTAGTGCAATGGAGAGGCATAGGCGCAGCTGCGAATTACCTCAAATTACTTAATTCCGATAGGAAGCCATCTCACTTGAACCCTATTGCAGTGCGTCTTGGGCAGGTATTACTGTACCTTAGCTACGAAGAGCTTTGCAGAAACCAGAACAAATTAACCCGTCGTACCTCGCTCAAGGCTGATAAGACTGATATACTGAATAATATACTCGAGGAATACCAGGACGATCCTCTCTTTGATAAGGGAGAATAGATTCGCCGCAATCGGGTCACAGGCCACCACCTTCGCCGCGGCAAATAGTGATAGAGAATTGTAGGTACCGTAGGAGTCGGTATACTTTTACTAGGCAACACTTCTTTAGTACACGACACTTCTTTAGTACACGACATATATGTCTTCCGCTATTCATACGTGGCTCGGCTGACCCTTATGAAATAGGTGCATCAAGAGCTTTACTAATGCTCAGCTCAAAGCTTTCGTCACACTCTCTGTGAAAACCTAGTTGGGGTCCAAACGTGTATTTAAGGCGACGGAGTCCATGGTCAGATCTCTTATATTTAGTCATGTCACACACGATCCTTATGCCTTTCTCTTCAATAAAGATTGCGGTCTTCTTAGGCCTAAAGAGTTAGCACTAGTCCGAAATAAGGACGAATAAGCCCTACTTACTCAGCTCTCTTAGACGTGCTAGGAAGCTATAGACATTGTGAAGAATGCAAGGCGTAAAATGATGGATTATCTCGGCTAGGAATCGGACAAGTAGCTCCAGTGCGACTGTAGGCCCCTTGTGTCGTGATCCTAGAAAAAGATATGCACTAGATAACTTGTCGAAAACTGTAATCGTTGCCAACCCTCATATTCTTATGACTGAGTCTTCCCACCGGTATTCGGACAATTCTGTAGTTGTACGTATAATCCTTTATTTATCTCTAGAGCTCGGTTATTAGGGGCAACGAATATTCATTTAAATTCCCTTCTTTGATCTAATTGTTTTATCCGGCCCTTTTGCTCCGGCCTTTATGCTGGACCTCCGTTTGGATTCGATGTGTACGAGTAGAACGTACGAGCGGATATAAGAGCAAACTAGGCCAGGCCGATAAGATCGCCGAGACTCCACCGAATTTCTGTCAAAAAGGGTTGCTAAAAAACAATAAGCGAGTTTAGAGCGAAGTTACTAGGCGGCTCACAACCCTTTTTTAGTTCTACAAAGGAGCTGGCTAAGGTAATCGCAGAAAGAAATTCTATGGCAGCTGGGTAAGTTGACCAGCGTTCAAGATTATCAATACCGACTGCCCCGTCGTCCTTGGCGTATTTTTGCATCAACTCTATTATAATTCTCGACACAAGCGCTAGGTCACTCGCTTAGACGCGGCTTGTCTACCGGGGGATATAGTAGTTAACCCGCGCTGTTCGTTCTGTTAGGTAATATATCCGAAAAGGCGTCCTTGCATTCGGCTTACCGATCTTAACCTCCCCATTAAGATTTATGAGGACGCTGGAGCAATATAAAGTAGTATGATGTAATCCCTAGGTTACTAAATGAGCTAGTCTTTCTAGAAGCTACACTTTGTTAGTAACTTAGTCTTTTAGTGCAAATATTCTAGGCACAAACCTAGGACATAATAGTAGCGAGTTACTGCTGGTCCGGGAAAGCTTTGTAGGCAACAATATGATCTAGTGACAGCGGGTCAAATTCGCTAAGAGTGTATAGGGTATTAGAGGTGCGGAAAAATTCCTAGACGGAGGCGATATTCTTATGGTTTGTCGAATGGAGAACCTTCAGAATTTTGTCACTATCTATGCTAGAGAATCGACGAATCGCCCGTGTAGCGCCTATCGGAAGCTCGAACGCATACAATCACTATTTCGGCTAAATCACATTCGTAGTATTTCTTGTAAGTATCCTAAGGGGACTTATTCCGTATATTAGAATCCGAGCCGGTACGGCCGTTCGCTTAAAGAGCTAAGGCTCGTGGCGAACCTCTAATAACCTTGCCTCTAGGCTTAGAGAGTGAGGATAGAGGGGATATATTTAGATGGGATCTGGGAACGAAGTGCCCCGACTTTGATTTGAGGTCGGAAGATAGCGATACTGCTTTATTTTCGGGTGGGAGTTGCTATAGTAGTGCAATCTGAGAAGGTTGGACTCTTATGGCTCGCTTGTTAGCGTTCGACTTTATAAGGGAGCTGCTTATAGTTCAATCTAGGTGATAAAGTAAAGAAAATATAGCTTTGTAAAGCACTGCTTATCGTAGTCTTCTAACGGCTCCCTAGCGTGATGTACTACGGGTCACTAAGGGGCCCTATAGGGGTGTGGCAATAAGAAGTACCACGCTAGGCAGATTGGCTGAATTTGGCCGGGGTAAGTATAAATAACGCTCGATCCTAAGTTATGCCGTGAGATCCTATTCTTTCCTATTACTTTATCTTGTAATGAGCCGCGCTCTGTTTACCGAAGAAGAGGTGTAACTAATAAGTGAGCGGCGACTAAAATATATTAGAATAGGGAAAGTCAGTATTAGTTAAATCTAGTTTGATCCTCCTTTACCTCGGGATTTAGATCCTAAAAATTTGGATCGACTTCGTAGGATCTTCCGCCAGAACCGTTGTCGCCGTCTAGATATTAATAAGTATATCCCTGCTATTGTGTCGCCACATGATCTCGCTAATGCGTTAAGGAAGGCCAATATATTATAGTAGCCACTATTGACGATAGATGCTCGTTAACTACCTAGAATTAGTTTTCTAGAAGGGCAGCTACTTAGACTTTATGCTCGTCACCGCGTCTAGGCCGGAGCTAAGGTGCTACCTCCCGCTAATCGTTAGTGGACGGTGGATCTTTATTTAGATAGTAACTATGTCGAGAAAAGATGGCTAATTATGTGCTAACAATCATAGTAGATATTGGTGTAGAGCTCAGAACTTCCTTGGTGGAGGAATATACTAACGAAAGGAAGCCGACTGACGGTGAAATCTATCGTAAGATTCGACAATACGAGGGCGATTACGACGAAAACTTCCGGGAGCGATAGTTTATACGTCTATCGAGCAGTAACTAAGAGCGTTTAGATTAGTTAGATAAGAAGAAAAACCGCCGTATTCGAGGTGCCTTCGATAGGCTACTACGATTCCTAGACTTTGGCCGGGCGGAATAAGGATTAGTGTAGTTTATAGACTGATAGCCTCCGGATATGTTAAAGTGAGACTCAGAAACTGCCTCTCTTCTACGGTGCTAATCGAACGCTTTGTCTATAGTAGGAGACTATAACTTATCTATATTATATCTAGGACTTCTAGTCCTCCTTGGTTACTTCGGACTACGCGTCACTAACGAGGATCGACTAGAATACTGTGGAGTTCCTATAGCTGCTGGCACCTAGTAAATCACGTACTAACGGGATAATAGCCTATGGAATGATCCTTAGCGGCTAAGTATTTACTAAGTTTAGCGACGAAGAGCGACGGATTATATAGTCCCGAATACAGAATTTTGATGGCCTAATCCTATCTTTGTATACCTTTTTTGAAGACTTTAAATACCTAGAGGCCTATGCCCACTATGTTAAGCGGCTTTGTGGTCCGATCGATATATCGATCTAGAGAACCATAAGTTTAATATTCATTCCACCTTTAGAAGAGGGAACCGCGACTTTAGGGGTAGCAGATTCCCTTATCTAGACCGAGTCTACTTTCCGACGCTAGCCGGTAACTGATATAGAACGCCTCGAGATAGGGTATTTATAAATATGGCTTTACGCAATGAGGCACTATACGTTAATGCCCCCGGACCTAAAGAGCGATGACGAGTTGTTGGTAAAATTAACTCGTGCCAAGCCCGATAAGAGGGCGATTTATGAGATAGCTGAACTCGCTTACTAGCTTAGCTTTTAGTCCCCTAAAATCGATGCACTAATCAAGAGTTCACCCGATCATTAGATCGCACGATTAGCTCTCCTATAAGCCCGAAAGCCTAACTAGTATCGATACGATAGCTAGGATTTTGATCTTTTAGTCAATTAGATTGTGAGCTGTTTCGCTAAGGCTGTTTCCGACCGACCGGAGCAGCCTTAAGGTCTTCTGGCGGATAGCGCAATGAAGCTAAAACTCGTGCGGGGAGCCCTAAACGCGGACTCATAAGCAAGATGGACCCTTACTGTTCTTAGACCGTTTGCACGCTGATGTTAAGGTTGCCGACAATGTCACTAGCTTTTTCGTCCGCCGTTATGTATATTTTGTATTTTTCGGAAAGTCTGCATAGGTTTCGACTAGCAATGTCGACTAAGCTAAGGATATTGATCTAGATCAAGGAATGGGGGAGATGCCTCCTTCGCCAATATTCGTCGAAGAGGACGACCCCCCTATTACTCATACGCCCGCACTAGACCCCTATCTACCTCACGAGAAATAGGGGGAGCCATAGGAGCGGACAGCGGAAGTGATTGTAGGACGAGGAGGCAGTGAAAGTTAGTAGCTATTACGGACGGACCAAAAAGAAAACGCGAGGCGTCGATGGCGAAAGTTTCAAATACGCCGAGCTGTCTCGCGTCCGGCGGGGGACATACACCAAGAGCCAATAGAGTTAGAACTACCAGAAGTGAATCATGATTAGGTTATATTAGACCGGAGCAGTTCGCCTAAAGAAAATTCTATCTCAGTCCGGCCTCAAAGCCAACCGGAACCGGTCGAACCAGCGACGGTTATCACGCAATCTTCCTATGTCTCTACTGTGCCGTATATTAAAGATAGTAGGAGTGACTACACACGAGTCTCTTTAGACGTAGTTCCGCTCGTGGAGGACTAGGAAGAGCAAACAATGGTCGAAGAGGCCGATAAAGACGATGCTCCTAATGACCAGACACGGGTCGATAGTAACGTACGGCGAGTTTCTCCAGAACCAGAGGCAAGCAATTCCTCGGTAAACAGCCAACCCCCGTAGGAAAATTTAGATAAATTCCTTGCCAGTTTGAGGAGAGCCTAGGAAGAACAGGAACAATTAGAAGAGAGGTTGGAAAATGAGCGGCTAAATAAAGAGTTTAACTTATCAGGGCAGCCGCCTAACGAGACTTCTTAACTGGAAAACAGCCAGGATCTATCATCGTCGAGCTCTGAAAACCTACAGGAAGAGTCTGTGACTAGGGAAGTCTTAGGTCTTGCAGCTGCTTCAGAGACCACCACCGACGAGGCGCCAGCAGAACATGTCCACCCAGGATCGCGGGACCCCGTTGTAGATCACCCACCGCCTCCTCCAGTTGTCGAAGATCTACGTGCCCATACACCCTCCGCAGCCGATAATATGCCATCAAGGACGGCCGAGGATCGGGTCCCTCAAAATCACATTGAGATCCAACTCTAGTCCCTTGAACGAGGAGAATGGAGACGGACAGACCGTCTCCATTCTCCTATGTACTTCCACTGCCAGCATAAACTGAGTACTATATCTGAATGAAGCCATGGAATACGTCGAGCACTAACGAAGCTATTCAGAGTCTTATTCACACTATATCACAGTTCCCAATCTCATGTGCAGATCTCAAATGGTAGCACCTTCTTCATGACAGTACCTATGAGCTGGTCCACCTTCACAGTTGAGGAATGGGTCATCACCCCGCAGAAAATATATTGCCAATCAGTCTGATGTGCATCCGAGTTTTCCTTGACCTTGAATACAACCCGCTCAGTACCGACGTCAATGCGCGAGTTTCTTCCTGCGGCCAAAACACTCGCATCCGGCATGATGGGGAATTCAAGCATATCCGTAAATTCACTTCCAGCCGACATGCAATCGTTTGCAAATTTGAGAATGTCGCCGTTGTTGTAAACATGGGGATATATGCCCTTGGAAGCGGTTTGCCATCTTGGCTCATTTGCGCGTGGGACGCCTGGGCGCGGTGATAGGGCGTACTTGACGCCCTGTTTCATAGCACTCATGATGTCACTTTGACTGACAGAGCGGAATCCATTGTGCGAATTACAACCCATTTCGGCTGGTATGTCATTCACGTTAGAAGGCTCACCCGGGTCGACAGTATAAAAGGGTTCACAGCTCGGCGGAACGGCTCGCTTTCTGCCCAGGGGATGGCTACTGGCACCCTCATAGAAAACTTCGCAAAGGTCCTCACCAGCTTCAATGCCGATCTCCGTAGTAATAAGTTCCACGTTGCCTAGTTTGCACCATTAGCGAAGCCCCAAAGGTCCAATACATGAAATCTGAAGGACGGAGATGAAAGGAAACGGCGCATTACTTACTTTCAATTGCGGCGGGATCAATTTGTAACGGCATCCAGCGGTTATTTTCCACGTCGTCGATAGCTCTGTCAACCACTCCCTCAAACGTGTCCAGGGCATCAGTGAACCAATTAAGAGCAGGTGTATTATCCACGTTGGGGTTTGCAGCCTTCAGACGCGTCTTGACATTGCTCACATGCGACTCCATCAGTTTCTTCATAGAAGTTGCTGTTGCTTGCGCGGAAGATACCATGGTGCTGTCGAGTGTACTCGACTTGATGAGGCTTGACATCGCAGATGAGAAAATCTGTGTTGCAGTAGCGAGATTGGCTTTCAATTCACTTGTGATACTAGCCGCCACCACACTGGCAATGGAAGTTGGATTCCAGTCGCCGTCCTGCAGGCCATCCGGTCCGTCATAGTCGAAGGGAAGTGTTGGCTTCTGACCAACACCAGAGTCACTGCTGCCGCGGCTGCCACCGTCCGTTCCTATGTGATGCTGATCCGTGGAACAAGTTATGCCGCAAGTCTGGTCACAACCTTGGATGCTGCATCCTCCTCCACAGCCATAGGTACCACAGTCATCGGTAGGATCGGTCGGGTCGCATCCACCAAAGAGATTGCAGCTGTCGGTACCACAGCCGCTAGTGCAAGTACTAGTTGGACTGCCACTCGACCAGGAAACAGAAGGGACGCCCTCTCCCGTTGACACGGAGTTAGTAGCTTGGGGCTGTACTGTGATGGAATAAGAGGACCCTGGGAAGATGGGTGATGGGGTTGCGCTGCCAGATGGAACAGGTTTGAAGGTAGCTTCATCGCCTCCAAGAGTGAGTTTCGTTGATGGCGGCAGGAAACTTTGGAGGGGGTGGAACGTGGTGGGAGTGGCGCCGGGGCCGATCACAACAGGCCAAAAGGGAATGCCAGTAGTGACGAGAGATGGCACGCGAAGAGTGGTAGTTTTTGTCCCCGTTGAGGTGCCTGACTTTGTCCAAACGGAAGTCACCATGGACGGGAACGTGATAGTGGACGTATGAGAGAGTGGGAACGGAGGTAGAATTATCGTGCATGGCGGAATGCATTCAACCTGTGGATTGTTGCTTTGCCAGATGTCTGGAGGAACGAAAACCTCGCCAGAACTGGCATTGCCAGAGCCAGTACAGGCGCCTTCAGGACAGTACCCGTGGGTGCACGCAAAGTTGCAGAGTCCATAGTCCTCGAGTCCATCAACTGGAGTGCCCTCGACATTGACGGAGGCCGGGGCCTGGACTAGAGCTCCCTTTGCAGTACATATGCATGCATTTATTGGGCAAAAGCCATAGTTACACCCAAAGCTACAGAGGCCTGCAAGAGCCCCTGACCCGGTGCCTGCCACGCATGCAGGGGGTGCAAAGTCGGAAGTTGTAGGGATAATCAGAGGGACTTCTTCTGTTCCGCAAGCCGAGTCCGGACAATAGCCCAAGTTGCAATTGAAGGCGCAGAGACCTGAATAACTTGCATCCTCGCCAGCAATTGGATATCCAATCACCCCCGTAGAGTTAGGAGCCTTCGCTGGCTTGCCCATTTGTCGGCACGTACATGCTGTCACTGGGCAGTAGCCATACAGGCATGAGAATTCGCAGAGACCAGCGAAGTTGTTTGCACCGGTTCCACTGATACAAGCCTGCTCTTCAACTTCAAGCGATGGCCGGGCCGATACGGAGGCAGAAGATGTGGCACTTCCAACCCAAGCGTTAAATAGCCCATCAGTGCAGCCGGATGAGATGGCTTTGCCGTTCACTTGGGCAACCTGACTTCCCCCGCGGGAAACGGTCACGACAACGTCTCCAGTACCCGTAAAGGGAACACTACCATGGTAAACGCCCACCTCTCCATCTGGTTTCCGAGTCCTTGTGCAGAAAGTCAGCATGGTTTACTGCACTCCGTTCGAAGTAGGGAATTCCTCTCACCATAAGCCTGCCTGTGCGACGCCCCCGATGCTAACCGTGACCGTTGCTGGTGTCGCAAGAAGAGCAGAATAGAAAATCCGGTCTTGCACAATCTCACTAGGAGGATATTCCAGCTGCAGTTGGCTGGCGGTGTTTCCAACCGTTCCACTATCGCAAGCTGTGCCAGGCGAGAGACGATACCAGGTAACGAGACCTTCTTCTTTCACCTCGGCTGTTCCAATCTCATACAAGTCAATCAAAAATGGCAAAAGCAAACGCCAACCATCGTGGGGCATGTCCTTAGCAAAGTTGCTGGGGGCTTCACCAATCTTGAAGGCTTCCATTGCGTCGTCGTAGAGGGGTCCAATGTAATGAGATTCGCCATAGTCATTCCCTGGAAACATTAGACCAATGAACAGTCTTAGGTTTGATTTAACTCACAAGATATAATCTCCACGAACTCCGGTTGGTTGTATAAAACCTGAACCCATCGATCATACCACAGATCATCACCTCTCCACAGCCAGTTCTTGTTATACCCGGGCAGATTGGTGAAGAACCACGGCGAAACAGCCATCATATATGGCTTTGTGCCGGTCTCGTTCAGGTACTGGAAATAGGAGGCGTCGGTATAAGTGTCCATATCCTGTGGGCCCCATGGCCAAGCAGCCCAACTGAATAGACCATCTGCCACGCCGCCACCAAGCTGCAGGGCTGGTTTGGCACCAATAGACGACCAATCCGGTATGAAGAAGATGTCGTATTTCTGCTTGATGCCAATCCAATCCTCTGCTTGATCGGGCCCCTCGAATGTTGAAACCAGATACTGTCCTTTATACAGGTAATACACAGGGAAGGCAGTATATTTTTCCAAGAGTGCGGACACATCATCTGCTTTCCAAGGCCCATTACCAGCGTAGTCGAAGGAAAAAAACAGCGAGAATTTCTTTTCAACAGCAACCTCGAAAGCAATTGGCAGGATTTGATCAATCCTCGTGTCATAAGCCATGTTCAATGCAAAGGCATCAATGTGAGCATCTTGGGCTGCCTGTATGTCTGTTTGCCAATCGATCGTGGTGTAGTTTTCAGCGTTCATCAACTGTGGTTCTTTTTAGCTCTCATGAACTATATTATGGGGTGGAATGTGGGCTCGTTTTTACCATGAAGTGTGCAAACACAGCTGCAGCTTGGACCTGACAGGGGCCCAAGAGGGCCACTGACAGCAAAGAAGATAGTCTCATACTGCGATGCCTCTGTAGAGAGGAACACTCGTTTCGACTTTAACAGGAACGCAGCCCACTTTCGGTTGGAAGGGGGATCAATGGGTTTTTATACATAATTCGCTCGCATTTTCCCACTGTCGATGGTCAACTCCGTGCTAACTACCGTCTTATCCGCGAGGATACTGCTCATTACGAGAAACAAACTTGAAAATTTGCCTGCTGTAAGTACCAATTTCGGGTATTCCTCCTTGTTAAGGATAGTACCGGATGGAATCCAGGCTCAGGTGGTAAACTAGATTGTTAGTGACTGGTAGCGCCATGGAATTATCTAGATGAACTGGGAAGGCCAGATGAAAGATAGTGTACTTTGCCACACATCAATTGAGCTAATGGCTACCCTAAGGTCAGGGGCATTTCTCAGAGTAATGGTAGTATGCCAGGGAATTTTGTCCTTGATCCTTTGGTTGAAGGGCCATCTTGATAAGCAGGTAGTATGGCAAATTAACATTTTTGAATGTTGTTGAGAAGTCATAGGTACGGAACTATGTGCAATAGTTACGCCACGTGGAAAATTTCATCAAAGTTCCCCTCTTGGATAGCTCTAGGTAGCGTTGCGGAAATTTGCCAACTAAGCTCCGCCTCGGAGGCCGGGAGGCTCTTGGCGGTGGCGTTGAAGCCCTAGCCGAGCTTTCGAGCCTCGAGACCCTTGAGGCTTAGATTGTCAAATGCCTATATATTAGGAAATGTAGCAAATATAGCATTGAGCATCGGTATGTATCTCGCTGATTCTCGCTGATTCTCGCACCTGGCATAAAAGGTATAGACACGGAGTTTCATCTAATAACCTAATCAAACAATTTTTTTGAGTTATCGCTTTCTTAGTCGGCCACTACTGTGTTAGTGTCCCTTATTCCCTCATTTCTCGCTCTACTCTCGACTAGTGTAAGTAGGGTAGTACTGGACCGCTAACCCACCGGTTCAAGGCAAATGGCTCACTTCTATATACAGTTTATTCTCGGAGCCCTCTTCCCGAAACATTTTAGTGTTGCCCTAAGCGAAGTTCCGTAAATTACAATAGACTAGAGCTAGGCTACGCTGGTCACTATACTCCGATCGAAGTAGGATTATTTTCAAATTCATAAATCATACCCATGCATATAAAGCATGTCGTGAGACTGCGTATTTGCCGATAGTGCCCCTTTTTACCTAACCTCAATTTATCTCGCTGATAGCCCCCAAAATATCTTGGGCTAGAGTGTCCACCTTGGAGAGCACGGCGATTCTCTAAGAAGAGATTTGACCATTTCAGGGCCCGCGCTCGGCCCTAAATCGTTTGGAGCTTGTGAAAGGCCCAGGAAAGTTTAAGAACGAAAAATACCGTTCGCTGAGGTGGCCAGGTAATCGGATTCGCGTACTCCGGCCGGTCAGAAAAGCTTGCACCCATGGTGCCAGCTCTCCGAACCCCATTTAACGTATATTGTGAAGAAGTCTTTCATGTGAAACGTTGTCGTAGGCGCCGGCAACGTCGAGCAAGAGCATGCTTGCCTTTTGGCCCGTCCGCCAAGCAGCATGAACTCGGCCAAGATCAGCTGAATAGCATGGTCCACGGAGACTCCCTTCCTACCACCGAGGTGAGTATCAGGCAGCAGCCGATGCTCCTCAACGGCCCAGGCGATCCGGGTAGCAATAATTGCTTCGAGGACCTTACCCAGCGTATTGAGCAGGGCCACCGGCCTATACGCCTTCGGCAGGCGGTAGTCACGCGGTCCAGCCTTTCGTAGGGTCACTGTGATTGAGGTTTGAAAATGCCGGGGGTTATGGCCAATACGTAAACACGCGTTGAATATATCGAAGATCGTAGAAGTGAAGACTCGCTGTGAGGCTCATTCGCCCGCTAGCAGTCTCCACACCATGTTTGGGACGCCGTCGGCCCCGGGCCTTATTCAGAGGTGCACGGCGTATTGCATCAGCCAATTCTTGCTTAGTGATAGACGGGAAGGTGATCTGTTGTCGGTTCCGCGTTGAATTCTCAATGTCCAAGAGATCAGCAGTTGGCGGTGCTGGGAAGACGGCTCTGCGCAAGGCCTGGACCTTCTCATCCGTTGATTCGGCTACAGCATCGGCCGTGTTAAGCGGCGGCATAGTGTGTCCTTGCTCTTGGCCTCGGTTTCTCGCCCATTTCGCCATCCGCCAGAGACCCTGGGGTCCCTGACCAATGGCCTCCTTAACGAATTCGCGAAAGCCCTTCCGCAGCGCTTCCTTGATCATGCGGCCCTTCTGGTTCCTAGCTGGTTTGTATTCCTCCCAATCACCCTCGTCGTGGCCGGCTGTATAGCGTCGAAATAGGCGTCAGGTGATATTGATCGCTTGCCGGCATTCAGCGGTGAACGACGGGTTGGCTTCTTTGCTAGGGTTGGCCTATGGCGTGGATTCCTCGACGGCTCGGTTGATTACCTCCATGAAGTGATCCACCGCTCGTCAATTTGCTGTGGCGTATTAAGGTGTTCTAGCAAGGGCATACGGAGGTTACTAGCCACGAACTTGTCGAATTTCTCTGTTTCCATCGCTTTCCAGTTGCGCCGTCTCGGCTGGCCGTCGGCGGTGGTTAGTGTGTCGATTGTAGTTTTATGGCCTGATTCGTCGCGGGTGATAGTGCCAGGTGCTAGCCAGAGGTCTAGATTGGCCGTGTCGGTTAGCTTAATAAGAGCATCGGCGTTAAGAGTCCTGTACGGCGTCATCTCCACCCCATGCAGGGTGGTGAAGGTTGAAATCGCCTAGTACAATGGTGCTGGACCCCATTTTTCGGCCGAAAAAGTCCTCGAGTGTTGTCTCATTGGATTCGGCATTAGTGGTGGGTTCGTTGGTAATGGTATCGCTGCCGTCGGTGACGCTTCTTAGACTGCTTAGCCCAGAGAAACTGGTGTCGATTTCGAAATGCTTTCTCTTGTGGATGTTTCGGGTGGTGCGACCGGGCATGGCGAAAATAGGCTGGTTTTCCTTGCCTGAAGCGACGGATTTGGCGGCCTTTCTCACCACCGATCCGTAACGTATTTCACATGCGAGCGGCGCGCACAAGCGAGCGGCGCAGTCCGAAACACGTAGTAAATGCGATAAATTATAACTTGATATCTCAACAACGGTAGTCTATATGGAGTCTTCCTAATAGCTGAATGTTTTTTTAGGTGATATCTAGCTTTTCTAGGGAGTTTAGAAAATATTTATGACTTTATGATTGTGATATATATATTTCTTGCTTTGAGTAATGTAATTTTCAATACCACAATAATGCAGCTTTTCGATTTTCTTGAAATTGATATATAGTGTTAAAAAGCCTTATCGATAGCTATCGATTGACAATGAAATCAAATAATAATGTGGTTGTTGAAATATAAGTGCAAAATATATCGCATTTACTATGTGTTTCGGACTGCGCCGCTCGCATGTGAAATACGTTAGCTGCCTCTTTCGATAAGAGCCGATGACGATGGTGGGTTCCATGAGACCTCCGAGTCTCCCTCCATTGCTATAACCTTCTGTCTTTTCTCCGCTATCCGGAGCGGCCTAATCACCCTACAGGTGAGGACTCGTCCTGACGATGCCGATGCCGTTGCCGATGATGCCTAGGAGGAGGCTGCGGCTCGGCTTCTTGTTCTCACTGGCTCCGATCGAGGTGCATGGATCGACCGGTGGAGACCAGCCTGGTTGGCCGGATTGTCGAATTCTACGTTGAGATCGAGATCCATTAGGAGGCCGTCGGCAATATCTAGTGTTTGTTCGTTATCTAGGGTCCTCATGATAGAGGCCTCGGTCGGCTGGTTAGCATTGCTCCTGGTTGCGATGCTCGTGGTATTACCTCCGGTTGCAGTGCTCGCCGGCTTCTTAGCGGCTGGCTTTATCGGCTTGCTCTTTGCAGGGTTGGTTCCCTGGCTCGAAGCTTGCTTGCTCCGAGTGCTAATACTAGCAGATTTAGCAACTCCATGGCAGATACCCATAGAGGTCGCCGATTTCCTCGGTGTCGGGTTCGATACACTGGATCCTGCTATCCTCGGAGCCGGATCCGAGACAGAGAGGTGAGCCGGGATACGATAGTATCGTCCCCGTCTTAGTTTCAAACTCTCGCACCCTCTCCGTCTCCGCCTCAAAAGTCCTTGCACCTTTTAGACCATGCAGCGTGTGCGTCGCCCCGCAATTGGCGCACTTACGTTCGATTAGGGTGGCATCTTGCTTACCCCGGCAATCAGGAAAGAGGTGATCACCGGCGCAATAGACGCACTTTGGTGAATTGGCAGAGCTGGCCCGTCCTATGTGTCCGTATTGTTGGCATCGGTGGCATTGACGAATGCGTGCAGCCCGGTCATATAAGCCTGTGGCAAGAATCGATGAGTCCCAGATGGTATTAGCGTCAAGGGATTTATTGGCATAATGTGGCGATGCGAATTCGACGACCATAGAGCCCGATTTCTTGCCCTCCGGAAGCACCAGCCACGACAGCTAGGTTATCTCCGCTTTTTCCCCCCACGAATAATGGTTCTGCGTCAATAGCTGCTTGCTAACTGCTTCCTGCCTTCCTTTTAGCTCCTCCGGCCGGTTGATGCCAAGTGATTTAACATTAACATCATGAATCACAACGCCCCAAGATGGCAACCGCACCTCCAAGTCCTTCCACAAATGCTTCCACAAATGCTTGGCCCATCCATGCCGATAGACCCTGGCAGTCTCGGCATCCCTGGCCGTCCTCAATGCTAGAGAAAGGTATCCAGATTTCAGCTGCCGCGCGGCAACAAACTGGATGGACGCCAAAACAGGACTTGCCGCGTTAACGGCGCGCACCCGCGCTTTTTCAGCCCTCTCCTTGATTTCCGAGCTTCTCATCGATCGGAAGAGATTAATGCCGTCGGCATCACCCAGTTTGACAATGATCTCTCAATTGCGAGAGAGCTCGGAGGGTGCGACGCCAGGGGTGCTGGTTGAGCCATGGGCAGACAGGAAATAGGTCGGGGCCGTGGAACCCCTCTTCCGGGCTTCGACGTACGAGAGCGCTCTCCCGCCTGTTGACCGGGTCTCATTAGCGGTCGTCGAAGCTCGCAACACATGAATGTCCTGTTTAAGATCGCGGTTCTCTTCATGGATTTGCTCGAAGTAGCGCTGCCAGTCCTGTCCCAACGGGTTGTTGATCAGGTCCTGCGTCAGTTCTTTGATGCCTTTGAGATACTGGAGTATCTCCTTTGGGATTTCGATCGATCCACCACTGCTGATGAAGTTCAACAGCTGCTGCACTTCGTGATTTGCGTCGAGTATACGCGTCATGTTGGATTAGTTGTTTGGTCGTGGATGCAGAATTTTCGCGCGGCCCCCCTGAAAGGGTCGGCCAATGCTTTCCAGGTTTCCAGGCGCCATGTAGCCGAAGCCAATATAAAATTGGGATCAGGTTATAGAGTCGGAAGTTACGAATAAACTGCAATTGGTTTGGAGGCTGTGGCTGGCCTGGTTGTGGTGCAATTTCACAAATTAGATTCGCGTTGAGATATGTGTTTTTAAATGTATGCATATTACAAGGAGAAGAAGGTATAATATAGAATGAAGGGTGGTTCTCTATATCAAATTACCCAGTTTCACCGCTTTCACCACTTTCACCAGTGTCTCTATCGGGCGTCTAAGCTACTGTAAGTAGACTAGCAGAGGGGAAGCATTCGGGGTCGTAGATCCAAGTGTGTAGGACCGCTAGTCGAACGCGCAGTAAATGGTAAGCAGTGCCGTTGTTCTTTCACAGAGGTCGCAGCCTTATAGAGGCCCAGGTAGACAGATACTGTTATTTATTAAGAGTATTGCCGACTAAGGACCGGCCTTATCTGTTAGAACTTGTTCCCGGCTCTTTTGCTCAATGATATGCATCAGTTGCTCTATCATCTGAGCTTCGTGCCGTGTCCGTTCCTTCAGTTCATCCCTTTCACTGATCCATCGTAGTCGTTGTCTCCAAAACTGCCACCGTCCCATTGAGAGCTGAGAGTCTCCATTCCACAGACTAGAATTGGGGTATCTTTCAATTTCACTAAAAGAAGTGACTCCAGCAAGATTCATCCTATCTATAAAGCTAAATATGATCTGCCCCGCAATTTCGAACAAGGGGACAAGACCATGCACCTCAGCCTATCAAGGGTTAAACATCTCAACCTATAAGGATAGCTTTGATTCAAACTCACGTTTAACCTGGTAATATATTTCATATGGCTCAGATTCTGTCGGAGATGAGTTTCTGGTGGCAATCTTTGCGGACCATCATCCCATGTCTTAAGCTCTAGGGCAATCACGATAGATCTCACAGCCCTATTGAGTTCGGTTGAACGGGAGGTATCCGGTGGATACAATGAAAGATGATGCGCAATAAAAGTGTTGGCACAAAAATATCCGTAATAGCCTTCGCCGTAAAATCCGCCGCCACCGTACCGGTGTTCCCAGCAGCCTATAATAAAAATGTTAGTGTATCCTAGTCCAATGATAGCCAATGCGGACTTTGACTCTGATGTTTCTAGGACCAAAAGGGGGACAAGCACATAGTCACTTACGATCCCAGGTCTCATTCCAGATATCATCGAATGCCTCCAAACTCCTCCAACGTTCTAACCTATCAGAAAATTGACCCTTATTAATCTGCTCTTCGGTTCTGTCTAGCCCTGGAAGCACTCGTATTGCCTCTATGACTTTCAAAATAGCGACCTGATAGCGCGGCATCTCGATCCCGGCATCCCACAATAACCACGAAACGCGTTCTCCTTTATCAACAATTGGGCCCTGGCGGGTCTCATTGCGAAGAGACATCAAGCGGCGAGCAGCATCATGTGCGGGAATGGGCTCGGGAGTCCCGTAGCTCTCGACGAATTCTCGCAGGATCTGAATTTCCTCCAACGTCGGGGGATCCTCTTCGTCCGGATCAGGATGGGTGAATTGTTCCCACTCAACGTAGTCGTCTCTCATTGCGGGAGTCACTGGCTGTTACCGAAGGTACATATAGAGACGTGAACGTAAAATTTGTCTGCCGCGGGGATGTGATCCTGGACGCTTGGCAGGGTCGGCTGTCGGCAATATCTTACGAATACTGCATGAAAACCGGAGATTCTATAATGTAATTCACATGTGTCACGATCTGTACTGTATCCGGCCAATTGGAGATGTAAATGACTCTTTATTTCCATTACCCCTATTTCCCACTATTTAAGGGGCCGTTTCTAATTACATGACTAACCTCCGGATATACTGTATACCCGAAGCTATTCGGACCATCTATAGACCCGGTTTCATGCAGTATTCGTAAGATATTTGTGACAACATGCGAGCCGCCCACCCAACCCAAAACGCGTCAGTTAAGTTATACCTCTCTTCTTCAAACACCCACTATGCCACCAATTCGTACTCAATCCTCTCAAAAACGCACAGAGCAAGACGGTAAGATCTTATTAGCTATTCAGGCTTTTAAGAACCAAGAAATTGCATCAGTACGCGAAATAGCACGCGTTTTCAACGTGCCGCGTTCAACTTTACGCGACCGGCCATACTGAACGTAGCGCTACGCGCGCAAACTCGTTTAAATTGACAGAAATTGAAGAGGAATCTCTTCAAAAATGGATCCTCTCTATGGATGCTCGTGGAGCAGCCCCTCGGCCGTCTACTATACGAGAAATGGCAGATTTGCTACTCGCGGCGCGTTGATCTACCCCGAGCACTCCGGTCGGTCAAAATTGGGTTACGAATTTCGTGAAAAGGTGTCCTCTTCATTCCTCTCGATTCTCGAGACGCTATAATTATGAGCGCGCTAAATGCGAAGATCCTAAAATCATTTCTGAATGGTTTTCTCTCGGTCAAAAAAACGGTCCTAACGTACGGTATCGATCCCGACGATATCTACAACTTTGACGAGACCGGTTTTGCAATGAGTCTAATCGTGACCGCAAAGGTTATTACGCGAAAGGAATTCTACGGTCGGAGATCACTTTTACAGCCCGGAAACCGCGAGTGAGTGACTACAATTGAGTGTATAAACGCGTCGGGGTGGGCGCTTCCTCCGTGCGTTATTTTTAAGGGCAAAATCTTTATCGAATCTTGGTTCGACGGCCTCCCGACTAATTGGAGACTCGAGGTTAGTCCTAACGGGTGGACCTCTGACGGAATTGGACTTCGTTGGCTCGAAAAGGTCTTTATTCCGTATACTTCTCCGCGTACGAAGGGGAAGTGTAGACCTTTAATACTCGAGGGCCACGGAAGTCATTTAACCCCGAAATTCGACGAAATTTGCGAAAAACACGATATTATCGTAATTTATATGCCTTCGCACTCGCCTCACCTTTTACAGCCCTTGACATTGGCTGTTTTGCGGTGTTAAAGCGCTCGTAGTCGCGGCTTGTCTAATCGAAAGTGCGTGTCGGAATCCACCACATTGATAAGCTAGAGTTCCTCGAAGCCTATCCGTTCGCGCGAATCGAGGCATTTAAATTAGACAATATTAAGAATAGCTTCGCCGCCGCCGGTATAATGCCTTACAATCCCGATCGAGTGATCTCGAAGCTCGATATTCACCTTCGGACCCCGACCCCCCCCCTTAAGCCGCGGGAGCGAGTGGGAGCCAAAAACGCCGTCGAATAACGTCCAATTACAAAAACAAGCTTCCTCAATTAAAGCTTTGCTAAAAGAGCGCTTAAAAAGCCCACCGAGTCCACTTAACTCTGCGAAAGATCAGGTTTTAAAGGCATACCAAATTACGATGCAATCGACAGCTTTTCTCGAGAAAGAAGTAAGCGTTTACATGCTGCCAACGAGAAGCAGAAGCAAAAGCGGACTCGGTCTACTGTACTAGACAGATAGCTCACGAAGGTGGTATCTCCGTCCAAGAGGTTTGTGAGCTACGGTCGGAGCCAATTGAGTCCCAAATAGCCCGTATAACCCACTTTCGTGAGCAGATTTCAGGGCTTTTACAGCCTGGAACAAGGGCCTTACCAAAATGCGGGTTATGTGGAATTCAGGTGCATAAGAGAAATGCATGTCCAAATAGGTTTAAATAGGTAGTTTGCTTAATTTAATGGCGTTGTGGTGAGATAAAAGCTATTAAATGTAATAGATCGAGGATAGGTGCGCAGCTCGGTAGTGAATTACGTTATACCTCATCGCTGCAGTAGCCCTTTGCACATCAGACCCATCTACAAGTGTAAGGACGATGAATACCACAGTATCCAGGATGTGGTTCAGTTTCTTTACCAGTGATACCACTCCCGCCTGTAGTGTCCCGATCGCTGACTAGGGTTGGCCCAAATGTATGATTCCCGCTGCTTACGAGTTCGCCCTCTCGCCGATGATTTTTGCTATCGCCATTATATTCAACAATGATTCCAGGCCAAGAGAAGCGAATGTCTACATTCTCTCTGGTACGTAGTGTAACCATTTACGTTGGCGATGAACATAGCAGAAAATGCATCTCTTTGGGCGTGTTCTCGGGCGACTTTGACGGCAACTCATTCGCCAGTGAAGGGTGTGCAGTTCATGTACATCTCACAATTGCCAACACGATTAAACGAAGTCCAGGCCAAGGTGTATTTCCCGGGCGCAATGTCAGGATGGCTAAAAGCCAAAGGGGATTGGCCACTGCTTGTCTTATCGCCAAGGTGCGCATGAAATCAAAGGGTACTTGAACTGTTGAGGCCGCTTAGGATTTGAGTCCATCACAAAAGTACAGTGGTGTCTAATTCCGTTGTTCCCTCTGCTCATAATAGTGCTGCGGACGTTCAGGTAATATGTGGTTTCCTTTGGACGTATTTGCTTGCATAGGTTAAATGGGCGAAGTGGTGAAATGATACAAAGCTTCTTTGACGTTGTCTGAAACGAAGTGGAAGACCCTGCTCAACTTGGTTGCGATGATTCACCGTTCCTTCTATGATCTGGCATGAGATCAACGACGAAGCGGATACAAATGGCTTTCTCTGGCAAGGTCAACGATACAAATTTACTGGCCTTGCGCTAAGTTCCCTTGAAAAGTGCACGGCCCGCTGTGTGCCACCATTAATCTTTTAAGTGACTACTACCAAACTCGAAAATTGGACGCCCGTCTGATTCCTACTTGATTTAACACCTCTACCGCTTGTCCGCTCTCAGTACAAGCGAAAAACCTGAATATTGGCCATTCAACCGAAACTGAAACCCAACCCAGCAGGCGCGGTCAATCAAAAAGCCCGCAGGCGAAGAAACACACTTTTTAAAAAAGCCTCTGAGTACAGCACGGAATGCGATGCCGACATTCTTATAATTCTTCGGATGAAGAAATCTGGGAAGATCTTTATTCTGACCTCCAACTCAAAAGACTGGCCTCTTTCCGAAAGCCAGTTAGTACATGTCGTCGCGGGAATTGACCCATTTGGTCGGGTTGTACTTGGCGGTACGGGTGTTTGAGCGGACGTACACGTAAGACTCCTTGCCGTCAATGATGAGGGTGTCGAAGAAATAATGGGCCGAAACCATAGGCGCAATGGCCGCGACAGCGAGAAGGGAGAACTTCATTTTGAAATCAATGAAAGAATGGTGCAACTCTTGTAAAGAACGAATAAGGGACCAGCCCAATTGAAGCAAATACACCGAAATAGAAATGAACGGAAGAGGCTGAGTCACTGACTGTCTTGAAGCCATCAGTGAAGGAAATACGTTGCTCTTATATACTTTCTGATCTCTGAATACCTTGCATGAGACACACATCTTGACCCATAACAATTACATGTTATCGAGGCCTACAACATGCCTGGATCCTATTCAGACTTCAGCCAAGCATTTCAAGGCTTCTATGTTTCAAAAAGAATGATGCTAAGACTTACAACCTAGCCCTAACCGAGGCAGATCCGGAATAAAGTAGCTTCCAAGGTTGGCTTATAACGCCTCGTCGCTCCTGGCTAACTATGCAACAGGCTCAGAGGAGACAAAGCTGCCTCGGTGGTCTCCACAAGTTCTGTTTCAAGAGAACAACCACGTAATGGATATTAGCCACGAGATTTAGCTAATTAGTGATAGCTTCCTGACGAGATATGAATCTCGGCAGAAACGATGCCGCCTACCTGCCGATAGAGGCTTGGCATATCAGTTTCCTACATTTATTCGCGAGACACGAAGTGATATGATTGGGTGGGCTGGAAATCGAAGGTCTTGGCTGAGTCAACTGGGCTTCTGTTCAAGGGTCTTGTTACAGAATGTGTTAGAATATAGCCTGATCAGGAGTACATGTCCGCTTATAGAAAAAGGGGTATTTGAAGGCTGGCCTATAGCGTTTTATCCAAAACATATAACCGGGTTGTGGGTCACACCTGCTCCAATTTTTTGCCCGCACATCAAGTGGGGCGGCGATCTGGACCCTGAATAGTATATCTCTTCATGTCGAGGTATCAATTTGTGACAATCATTCCCAGTCACTGCGCGATGTTTACCCGTTGGGGGTCTGAACGTGGCTGTGCGTCGTTGCATCAGGCAAGACCCGGCCTTGAATCGTGGAAACAAAGTTTTATCCCAAAGAATAACCACCCAGAGCTCCGTTTTTTTTAGGGAAGGGAATTTCGGTGATCATGTTGGCGGCTTAATCATCCAATTCTAAGAGCATATATAAAGTCGGCCATGAACCTCAAACTCAATTGTCAATTAGGAATCAATCCCAAGCATTGAAGCAACCTTCCAAACTTTCACTTTATCAAAATCCCATCATCGGTGATATCAATCTTCTAGCAGTCGAAAATGCTCCTCCTACCTACTCTCCTAGCTCTAGGACTTCTGGGCTCAGTCGACGCCGCCGCATCCTCGGGCTGTGGCAAACATCCCTCTCTCACCAATGGAGTCCACAACATCAATGGCCGCCAGTACATCCTGAAAATCCCTGACAACTACGATCCAAACAAACCACACCATCTCGTTTTTGGCCTCCATTGGAGAGGCGGAAACATGTACTCTGTCGTCAACGGCGATAGCATTCAACCCTGGTACGGTCTCGAAACCCGAGCTCAGGGCAGTGCAATCCTGGTAGCTCCCAACGGCAAGAACGCTGGCTGGGCCAACACCAATGGCGAAGATGTGGCCCTCATCGACGCCATAATCCAGCAAGTCGAGGGTGACCTTTGTGTGGACCAGAGCTCTCGCTTCGCGACCGGCTTCAGTTGGGGCGGTGGGATGAGTTATGCGCTTGCTTGTTCTCGGGCGAAGGAGTTCAAGGCTGTGAGCGTGTTGAGTGGTGGTGTGATTAGCGGATGTGATGGGGGCCACGATCCTATCGCCTATTTGGGTATTCACGGGATCAATGATGGAGTTCTGCCATTCGACGGGGGTGTGAGTTTAGCCAATAGGTTTGTTGGGAACAACAAGTGCCAGCCAGCAAACATCGGCAAGACTTGGTCTGGAAGTGGCAGTTCCGTTCGAACGGACTTCCACGGGTGCTCCAAGCCAGTTTCGTTTATTTCATACGACGGGGGACATGTTGGTGCGCCCTTGGGCGTTCAGAGTTCTCTGGCTCCGGATGCAACCTGGCAGTTTTTCATGGCTGCTTAAACTCAGGGTCAGAGCTTGATAGTGCGAGGATTTTCTATGAATTCCTTATGGATCAGGCCACTGCCCTGGTGATTTAGTTCTGCAGAGATAGTTTCTTTCTCGATCAAATCTGTTATTGCCTGCTGTCTCAATGAGTCATGGATACTCGAACTAAACGAGAAGAGTCTGCAAAACTTCTAGTCGTGTCGGAAAGGGACAGGATCTAATGGAATGAAATGTATACGTATTTGAACGGTCATCAATTTGATGTGGTTCAAGCTAGCAATACTAGACGAAATACAGTTACTAGGCATTTCCCAATCGGGCTAGATCGTATGGGAGGCTATTTTAACGTTATACTAAAATAGGAAAGTACCTAATCTCATTTAGTGAGAACCCATTTTTGTATGCTTTATTAAATGCTTCGTCCACAACTGTATTTATAAGGACAGCGGTTTTTCAAAGCGACTCCATTTAGTTTTTTTTCATAATTTGTAGAATTCATGCTCTAACTTAATAAACTTCATCTATAGAATAGGCGTAAATATATATACGATAGACTATCAGTTTATATACCTATAGGCGTTTCATCAAGTTTACTTATCCTCCTGTCAGGCCCTCAGGGTCTTACGTTGTCGCTGGTTTGACGTACTGACTGGTCAGTTATAGTGGCCTTTTTGGTCCGACGTTGGATCCTACTGAGCTCACACAGTGGGTTCTAACACGAGTAGACTGTAGGAGTTTATTAATCTATATATACGAGACCTCCTTCTCTAGGTTCTACCAACCTAGCCTCCAGCGCAGGCACAGTACAAGCCATTCGGTCAATTCTAAGTATAGCCCCAGGCCTAGTCGCAGCCCCAGCGTTAACCCCAGAAACAGCTATGTGGATATACTGCTTTCCCATCGCAGCTTGCACGCCAGCCTCAACCCCGCTACGACCTCAACCCGAGCTGTAGCCGCTACCCCATCCGCAGTATCATGAGCCTGTTCTCTTCATATACCGCATCATAAGGGTCGTCCCGGAAACCAGGATTTCAGTAAACATAAATATAATATAAATAGAAGACCACGTAAATAGATGGCTTTCTTTTTGCACTACATGTGTATCAGAAGGCAAGCCCAGCCCACTGAGCTGTTCTCACTATACGAAACCGTGTTTTGGCTGTATAAGAAGCGATAGAGAAAGAGGCAAGAAGTAGACGGCATGAGCCGAAATATGAAGATGAAGGTACGAAGGCTTGAATATACTATATTGAAGTTAAAAGTAGAGGTGTCTAGCCCATAGCAACATGTCCGTGAACAGCAATCAAGCGGACTTCTCACCCAATCCAAACATGCGGATCGAGTTATTCCAAGCACTATCAAGAAAATGTTAGCAGGAAGAACCAAACACCAGAATCCAGTCACAGCATACGCTTCACAAACTTCCTCCACAGTAATCCCCTTAACACTAGCAATGACATGAGCAACACGAGCAATAGCAATAGGCTCATTGCGACCCTTAACCATACATCCCTTCTGCCACTTCTCCTTCTTAACAGCCTTGGGCAGCTCAGGCGCACCTTCAAGATGCTTCGCTGAAGCATGAGAGGGGCGGATTTCACACTAAAAAAAAGAGCGCAAGTCAGCTCAACATCCCCAAACACCCACTAACTCCACAGTCCAGAATTCAGTTTAGGTAATACATACCCAAGGCCCATCAGTCTCAATCTGCAACCTCTCAAGTGGAATAGCCTTAACAACCTCCAAATTCTCCTCCGTCTTCAAACTACACCCATTAACCCCAACATCCAACCCCAGCGCAATCATCCGATGCATCTCCTCAAGCGTACCAGTAAAACTATGAACAAGACCCCGCTTCGGCAACCGCGCCATCCGCGGCGCAAGAAGTCTCTCAAAGTCTTCACTGGCCGCACGGGAATGCAAGAACAGCGGCAACTGAATCTCAACCGCGAGGTCGAGCTGGGCCTCGAAGTATTTCAGCTGCGGTTCCTTCGGGCTGAGGAAGAGTCGGTCGTAGTCTAGTCCGATCTCGCCAAAGGCCACGACGTGCCCATCTTTTTTGGCTTGCACCACTAGTGTCCAGAGTTCTTGGAGCATTTTTTGTGCTCCTTCTGGGTATTCGTCGAATAGCTTTGCTTGGCAGGGGTGCACGCCTACTGTGGCGTAGCAGAAGCCGGCTGTTGGTTTGGGGGTTAGGATGAGTATGTGGGGGATGATGGGGATGTGAGAGGATGGACTTACGGTATTTGCTGGCGACGGAGATGGCGTGTTTGGATTCGACTAGGTCGGAGCCTGTTACCATGAACTTGGAACAGCCTACGTCTTTTGCGCGCTGGATTACGTCGTCCAGGTCATCTTCGTGGGCTTGTTTTCCGTGGTATTCACCGCGGAAGACGGGGTCGCTTAGGTTGACGCCGATCTGGAAAGGCTGTTAGACTTTGGGTACTCGCTTTGTGAGGCTTACAGCCTCAGAAATTGTCAACGCACATCAACATATCGGAGTGCATTTGTGGATTCGGCCATTTTTGGTTGTCCAGATGTGGAGAATGCCTTGGGTCTTGCAGTAGAGTTGCAGTGGACAGAGGACAGGTTTAGCCCTTTGTTAAGACCTGTAATAATTGTCAGCATAGGTCCTCTTGAATATACAACCTCGCAGATCAGCAGTATTTCTTATATCTCTGAACGCGACAGACCTAAAAAGTCGGATTTATCGATCGCTGTTGACCTCGCAGCCAGTGTAATATTGCGGCCGAAGAAATTCAGGGCACTTCCAGGAATGGCAGCTCTTTGCATCAGATGACTCGAGTGGAATCTCGCTATTGCGTTGGTGATAAAATACTTTCAAATTTGACTCAGTAAACGTTTTGTGTTGACTAACGGACGTGCAAAGCCACACTGGGGCTGTGCTGCAACTGTGGCTGAAATGATGCCTTGCAACTCAGGCGACAAAAAGGACCCACGCGGAGAGAAATCCGTATGCCAGTCGGGAGTTCGCCGATTCCGCTTGTCTGCTGTATACATCTAGTTTTCAGGGCTTGAGAATCTGCGATATGTCAGATTGGAAGTCTGGCTGATATACTTACTAGAAGTGCAATGGTCTTTACATCTCTGACAACACCATTTTCTCACGAATGCTAACAAAGCCATGCCTAACAAAAATCTCAAAAGAAAAGAAGTCAACAGAAACAGAAGGTGGCCCGTGCAAGTCCGGGGTTAGTCCGGGGACATGACCGATAAGCTCTCCCGGACCCTTGCTCAGTATTTAATGTATTTAATGCCACCTCTCAACCTCCCTGGAACTGCCCAGGTTATATACAATTAACTCTCACCCATTCGCGTTTCCTGCCGAGCACAATATCCACCTAAGATGACAGACCAAAAGCTCGTCTCCGTCCAGCAAGTCTCGAACCACAAAACCCCAGAGGATTGCTGGGTAGTGGTAGACAACCAAGTATGGGATGTAACCGACTTCCTAGAAGAGCACCCAGGCGGATCAACAGGTAAACACCCAACGCGCTCTACCCAACCTCCCATCCCAATTCCCTCACAAAGCTAACACCCACATCCTAGTAATCCTAAAATACGCCGGCGGGGACGCAACAAGAGCCTACTCAGAAGTCCACGCCCCAAGTGTAATGAAAAACAATCTGGACCCCCAAAAGTTCAAAGGCGTTCTCGACCAATCTACAATTGACGCCGAATGGACCAAACCACCACCAGAGGAGAATCCCGCGGTCATGCTCGAGCACGAGAAACCTCCCCTGCACACTTTGATCAACTCGCACGATTTCGAACTCGTGGCGTCGAAAACAGCCAGCAAGAAGACGTGGGCGTTCTACTCTAGCGCCGCAACGGACCTCATCACACGCGACGCAAATAAGTTGTGCTTTGACCGGACCTGGTTCCGGCCTCGTGTGCTACGAAACGTCCGGGATGTGGATACTACAACGAATATCCTGGGTGGGAGATATAAGCTTCCGCTCTTTGTGAGTCCGGCTGCGATGGCGAAACTTATTCATCCGGATGGGGAGTGTGCTATTGCGCGAGCTTGTGAGAGGAAGGGTATCATGCAAGGCGTGAGTCTATCCCCCAATATTGATATGCAACTTCACACGCAGTCCCTTACTAACGACGGAGCAGATATCCAACAATTCCTCCTACACAATGGACGAACTACGCACAGCAGCACCAACCACCTCCTTCTTTTTCCAACTCTATGTAAACAGAGACCGAGCCAAGTCCGCAGCCCTCTTGCGCCAATGCAACCAAAACCCAAATATAAAAGCCATCTTCGTAACCGTCGACGCCGCCTGGCCAGGCAAACGTGAAGCCGACGAACGCGTCAAAGCAGACGAGACCCTCTCGGTCCCCATGGCCCCCTCAAAAGCCCAAAACGACAAAAAGGGCGGCGGGCTAGGCCGCGTCATGGCCGGGTTCATCGATCCGGGATTAACATGGGAGGATTTGAAATGGGTGAAACAGCACACGCACAAGCCGGTTTGTTTGAAAGGAGTCATGTGCGCTGATGATGCGTTGCTTGCTGTTAGAGCTGGCCTAGATGGAATCCTGCTTAGCAATCACGGAGGCAGGAATCTGGATACTAGTCCGCCGTCTATTGTTACCCTGTTGGAGATTCAACGGCGGTGTCCAGAGGTTTTTGAGTCTTTGGAGGTTTATGTTGACAGTGGGATTCGGAGGGGAACGGATGTTCTTAAGGCTGTCTGTTTGGGGGCTACGGCTGTGGGAATGGGGAGGAGTATGCTTTTTGCTACCAATTATGGTCAGGAGGGCGTTGAGCATCTGGTTGATAGTAAGTGTTTGTTTGTTATTGATTGGGTGGGTTTCTTTGCTAACTGACTGCTCTCACAGTCATCCAAGACGAACTTGAAACAGCCATGCGCAACATCGGAATTACATCCCTGGCGGAAGCTTCCCCGGATCTCGTGCACACTGGTGACATCGACCACCTCGTTCCGGCGTCCCGCTCACACCCATACGCTCGGGCCATAGCTAAAGGCCGGCGACCGGGGTCGAAGCTTTAGCTTTCGTAATGGAGGGTGGTTAGGGTGAGGGTGAGGGGGTTAGGGTTGGATGTAGAGTGTCGGTTGACCCCGATAGATTGGCATGACCGCATGGCGCGCCGCCGGTCTCTTGTTTCAAGGATTAGATATACAGCGTATAACCCCGACCATATGGCAATATACATAAGTCACCTCAACAAAAACAAAGTCCCGAAATCCAGGGGTGAGAATCAGGGGGAGAATTCAGGAACATTCAGATATGCCAAGCCTCATGGCCCTTGCCTCCCCCTTAGATCTTTAAACTGAGGGAAAATATGCAAATTCGGACACAACTTGGTCTGCTGATCTGTCTTCCGGTCCTTCCGGACAAAATAGGCGATTGCGGGGAATATTACGAACATGACGAAAACTGGAGATCTGCCCTGTATGTCCACGTAGCCCACACACTCAACTCTTAAGAGTCGAAGGGGGACCTTGTATACGGTGTAAAACATAGAATAGGGTGTACTTCGTAGATCATTCGCACTCCACTCTACGCACTAACATCCCAACTATTGTCTTGGAACAACAACTTATTGTTAGATCTAGGTCATGGGATCACAGATCCATTCCCCTTCTCAACGGTTGAGGACCGCCCCAAAATCCAAAATTAAATTGCATGATCCCATTCCTCGAGGATCGAGACTGATGGCTTGCATGTACATGCTTGACCGACTGTCCTGAAGAGGGGGTGGCAGCCATTCACCGTCAAAACATTTCAAAGTTCCACCCGGGGGTTGGATTCAGTATCTCCGGGCCGTTTGTGTAGGAGAATTTGGCAGGGCGATCAGGCAATTGCGTTATGTGCCATGGACCAAGACCAATAATAGCCGATGTCAATGTCAGGTGTATTTACTATTGGGTGGGTTGAGAGATGATCAGTTTCAACCGGGTGGGGGAGAAGAGATGTACCGGGTACATCTTGTCACTCTGTGTTCTGGTGGGTACGGGGTAGTCTTCGTCCCGAGGGGGAGGTATCGGGTACGTAGATCGTGTGTTCAACTTACTCACCGAAGTTACCAGTAGAGGCACATAGATAAGCAATTTAAGACAGGGTATATAACCTTGGGTCTGTCCGGTTAACTTCTTCTCTAAATTCTAGACTTTTTCTATCTTTAAGTGTTGACGTCTTCCACACCTCTACACCTCACTCCTGCACAGCGACTCCACTGCGGGTCCAGCCAAGCCTCACAGCTCTCCCCAACGATTTCTATAAAGCTCAGCTTCACTCCGGGCCTTTTTCTTCCTTCACTTCTGTACTTCCGTCTTGTCCCTCTGTATACTTGGGACTTCCCTACAAACCACCCATCCAGCTCCTACCCTCTACTTAACCAACTCAACACAATCCAACTATCCTCCAACTATCCCATATCCATACATCATGTCTGCTCCTCGTTCATCTCTCCGCGCTCTCCGCGTGCTCTCGCAGCCCACTGCCCCCTCAGCTCGTCGCTGCCTACACATAACCGGCGTGCAATCCGCCCAACCCGCAAACACAACCGACAAGGCCGTCTCCAACCACGATGTCCTCCAATCTAGAGCCTTCGCCATTGCCATGCGCAGAATCAACGGCAACGCTTTCTCAGAGTATGTACCACTATCCTTCCAACTATACCTACTACACCTGCCACCCTCTGTCCACCTTACCTCACCTTTAAATCATACCTCCTTCTTCCGTAAAACCAACTAACAAACCCAGCACTCCCCGCCAATTCAACACCTCCCGCTCCTCAAAAGCCCGCAACGACACCTCAACCGTTGACCTAGTCTACATGCCCTCAATGGCCGACCTAGACGCCGCCCCCCTCCACCGCGGCATCCAAGTCCCGGTCCTCCCCGACCTAACCTCCCTCCCGGATTTCTCATCTCCCTCCGCCCCACCCATGAAGCCCCAGATCTACACCGTCGCCGGTACCGGTGCCGACGTGGCCGCCAGCGCTATGAGTGAGGTCGTCGATAACCACGCGGTTGATCTGGATCCATTCTCGCTTACTGAGGCGGTGGGTCGCTCGCGGGTCGGGGAGGAGATGAACCGGAAGGAGAGTGGGAGTGGTGTCGCGCAGACTGGTGTTTTTAGGGAGTTGTGGACTGGGTTTTTGGATGATGTTATGGGGCCTAAGGAGATAAGGAAGTAGATCCATTTCTTCTTCTCATAGTATGATTACTATGGTTGGTTTTGTTTCCTTCTTTCCCGTTGACGGGTTGGGTGTGATGATATGAACTTCGGCTCTGCTTTTGTGTTTGTTTGGTTCTGCTTGATTATTTGAGCACTAGCGTTTTGATGTAATATTTATCCTCGTCGTGGAGATCCTCACACGAGTGACTAGCCGGATCATGGCTCCTTTTTCTACCTTTCTATATCTTATTTACTGCAACCTACTGAGTTGTATCAATTGATCAAGTTCAAATCCAACACATCTTTACAGAGTATTCATATCTATATCCATATCTATGTTCATATTACCTACCCAACAATCTAAATCCAACCCCCGAATCCGAAAATAAACCTCATTTTCGTTTTACCGAGGCACATCCAGGATCCACAATGATCTACAAGAAACAGATCTAACGGAACGGAATCAATCCCGATGATTTCCAACAGCGACCACCGTCGACGATAATCCGAGGAACTAGCCCTGGAGTTTATCCAGCCATTGAGTCATACGCAAGATCATCTTATCCATTTCTGTCTTTTTGCATAAAATCCATTCCGATCCCGAAACTGTACTGTAGATCGACCATGATGACGTCGTTCACGCCAACCGAACTACAGTACTCTGTCCTTTATCCCCGGGATAATCTTTTGCAGTTCCGAGGCCTCTCTTTTTACCGATGGACTCGGGAGCCGGTTGCGGGTTTGTGTTGGTGTTTGTGGGGTGCGCCGGAGTATGTAGGATCTCCCCGGATCGGGGGGTTTCGGAGACGGGGGAGGTATTATCTGATTGTTTTATCAATCATGCTAGCCGTAGGGGAGGTTAATAGAGGTGATGTGGCTTTGCTTGGGGCTGGTTTTAGGGTGGTTTGTCTTCTGGATCAAGGGTGTGGCTGGTGTTGTAGTTCTGTTTCAGCTGTAAGGGGTGAGGTTGGGTTTTCTTTTCTTTCCTTCTTTGCTTCTTTTTGTTCCTTTTCTGATTTACTCTGAGTGTATGGCTATGACGTCTTCATTGCATTGTTTCAGACTTTGGTGCAATATGTACGGGCTTGGATCGTCGTTCCCTCGGAGGATTTTGTATACTATGTCGGTGGCTATATTGTTAACACAGACTTTACTTTCGCCGAATTATTACATATACTCACCAAGTTCAAAGTCTGTCTTGAACTTTACTTACTCAAGTCTCTTACCTTATATACTTTGTGAAGACTAGGCTATGTGAAGTTTTCTATAAACGATATGGATTGCTGGTGTAGAAGCTTTGCGTAGACTATTATATCAGCCCAATGCCCAAATACAATGACTATCACTATCGGACTAATGACTATGTGATACACCCCGATCGCTTCATTCATGTAGCACGATGCAACTTTGGCAAGGACCTTGTTGGCGACCCTTCTGCACTTCCGACATTGCGGTTGGTGACGCTTGTGTTGGCACTTGAGTTAACACTTGGGGAATCATAACCTAGATTACGATTTTGTTCTTCCCGGGAGTCGAAGTGCTATTAAACCATGTTGGCTACTCTTCCTTGTTTTAAGCTGTGGGTGCTTTTGTTCTAGAAGGCTTCGAAGTGATCAGGGCCCTGCCGATCGGCAGTGGTTCCGACCGTGAACTCTTCTGGGGTTTAAAGAAACACTGTAGATAGCTTTTGCTATCCATACGTTCAGCTTGAATTTTATCTATCTGAAACATCAGCAGTTCGTGGATACAGTAGACGTGGGGCGCTGCGGTGGCTTGGGATCTACGTATGTGACAGATATACGATTCCAGCCTCCAGCTTGTGTCATTGCCCTACATATTGCATGTTTTATGTGAGGATAATATCTATCGGCTGTATGAGTATTCTGTAGTTGCATGAATTGAATATGCTAGAATACGGAGTAAAATGGCAGTTGTATAAGGCGAAGTGATGTGCAGGGTCTCGACCCATGTGGAGTGTCAAGTTCTAGACCCTTTGGACTTGGACGCACAATTATACAGGTCGTATTGACTTCGTTATTCATGCTACTTCTGTATATGAAATGAATCATTTTGTGTTGATTTAAATGATTTGTGTCTAGTGTTCTGGTGTCTAATTGTCCGTGAAAACTCTGATCTTTCAGGGGGCATTGATATTATACAAACATAGCAACAGTAGAGACAACAAAAGATGGGGGAAAGGAGGTCAAAAAAGAGATTATTGAAAAGAGGCGACGATAACATTATAGACTATTATAAACAGTATAGAAATAGAAATAGAAATGGAATAAAATATGAAGTGAATAAACTTGGCAGTTAGCGTTATCATGGTTGCATGCTCAGACCTCAATTTCCAGTTTTGGCCCACTCAGTGAGCATTGAGCTTGGTTTAGCGTCTCACTAGCCTCGGCTCACAGGCTGATCGCGGCCTGAAAGAGCAACAGGTGGCTCCTATCCAGGCGCCAACTATTCCCCGAAGCCTCTAGCCCGAACTGTTTCTCCACTATTCTGTCCAGGGGGATTTTCCTCAAACCCCCCTCACATTGCTTCTCTATCTCCAACCTCCAACTTCCACTCTTTAATTCCAGTCTTTCGTTGCCGTCTCGTTTCGTTCTTTCATTTTTTGTTTTCTCTTCCAGTCGCTTTCGATTCAACTTCTCCGCATCTCCCAAGCTCCACCGTTCATAGTGACAACCGAACCGAACCTCGAATTCACTCGATTCAAATGCAGGCTCACTTCTCCCGCACCTAATCCCTCCTCGGGATCATGCGTCTCTCATCATGCCTGCTCATTGCTAGCCTCAGTGGCGTCCACGCCTTCTATCCGTGGGAACTGCGGGTGGAACTCGGTACCGTTGAGCCAATCCAGCGTCGCTTTATGCCATGGAGCTTGATTGAAGCCAAGATCGACGACACCGATACAAAGCCCCCAACCCTCGACCTGAAGAAATTCCCCGTTCGTCGCGATGACACTTACAAGATTGTCGAGGCCTACACGCCATCAATGGCAGACAGTGCCCCATTGAACCAGGATGGAACTGATTACTCTTACTTCTCCCCCGTGTTGGTGGGTTCGCAGAAGACTGAAATGTGGTTGGCACTCGACACCGGTGCGCCCAACACGTGGGTCTTTGACTCCAAATGCACCGAGGCTGTCTGCACAGAGCACCACACGTTCGACAGGTCAGCCTCGAGCAGCTACGTCTCCAACAGCTCGACATTCAGTCTCGGCTATGGCAGTGGCACCGTCGTTGGACAACTGGGAACAGACACTCTCTCAATCGCGGGCATTGATGTCTCGCTGGAATTCGGCCAGGCAAACAATGCCTCGGACACTTTCAAAAGCTACCCATTTGATGGGATCCTAGGTCTAGGCCGCTCCCACACAGCCGGGTGGACTCTTCCATCGTTTATGGATCGTGTTGCTGAGAGTGGACACCTCAAGAACAACTTTATTGGGTTCAGTCTGTCCCGCGCAGCAGATGACGCCAAGGACGGAGAGGTCAACTTTGGCGTTCTCGATACAACCAAATATGATGGGAGCATTAAGTACACCGCCACCGACTCGGACATCTGGAATATCCCCTTGGATGATGCCTATGTGAATGGCCAGGCTTGCAAGCTTTCTGGGAAATCCGCTACAATCGACACCGGAACCACCTACATTCTGATTCCCCCTGATGACGCAGCAGTCGTCTTCGGTCTTATCCCCGGTTCATCTGCATCAGACAGCAACTACGTGATCCCATGTACCACAAATGCGACACTGCAGTTCGAATTCTCGGGTGTCAAATATTCCATCTCACCCAAAGATTATGTAGGAAAGCCAACAGCGCCCGGCTCAGACTCTTGCATTTCGACCATTGTGAGCTATGCATCCAACGGAACAGACATTTGGCTTGTCGGCGATGTGTTCCTGAAGAATGTCTACACTGTTTTCGATTATGACAACGCACAAATCGGTTTCGGGTCGCTTGCCTGTGGCTCAACCGAGGGTAATGGAACATATACTGCACCCCCAACCTCGCCTACTGCTGTGGCGGCTGCTTCCAGTGCTAGCGAAGTTGCAGCAGTGTCTACCGCCTCCGCCGCCGCGACATCAACAGTCTCCGGCAGCTCTGCAACACAACTCACCCGTGGCATTAGCTGGTCTATGTTCACAGTCATCCTCGGCGCTTTCTTCGTCTGAAGTTATTTTAGCCCATCTTTCTTTCTTGGCGACTTTGATTTGGCGACAATCACCTTCCGCTTGTATTATGTACTCTCGCTCATCTGTTACGTGCTATCGCTTTATGCACATCACTTCACTTCTGTCCATACGATTGGGTGCATACCCGTCCCAGCATATATGTTGACGCTGTCTATCTGTCGTTTTATCAGCTGCACATGTCACTCGTTCCTGCTGGATACCCCCACGTTTCTGTTTTTACCTGACAAAAGTCGCTGGCATTTTCATCTGGATTGTTCAGGGTCTTCGTGTACAAGACAGGCCATACTTTTATGATAGAAATAACTGTCAATTCTAATATCTCAAATACAACTATTATCCATATCCCGTTCCCATCCCCCTTCACAGACTCTTTTGCGGAATCAACGAGTAATTCTTGGGACCAGACTCTATCCAAATCAGCAACCATCCCAATATAAGACCAAGCACCAAAAGCAAACTTACCAAGAATCGATCGATCAAAATCCCCAACCCCATTGAACCCAGCTACCCCCATGAGGATATCCAAATCCGCCAACAAAGACTTCATAACATGCCTAACGCCATCCTCCCCAGCAATACTCAACCCCCAAATCCACAACCGTCCAACAAAAACAAACCTTGCCCCAAGCGCCAAAGCCTTAACAACATCACTAGCGCCCCTAACCCCAGAATCAAACATAATATAAATGTCATTCCCAACAGCATCAACAATACTCTCAAGAGCATCAAGACTAGCAATAGCCCCATCAACCTGCCGTCCAGCATGATTACTCACAACAATACCATCAACCCCATACTCAACACACCGCCGCGCATCAGCAACGGACTGAATCCCCTTAATAGCAAACGGCCGTCCACCGCTAATCCGCTTCCACTGCTCCATCAACCAAGGAATCTTGTCCCATGACCAAGCACGCCCATGCCAAACGGAATCAATCCATTTGATCGATGCGCCGACAACATCGACATCGGGATCAATCCCGCTTTCCTTGCACCGTTTCCGGAATACGGGGTCTGACAGCCCTAAATCCGCGCCGAAACCACGGTAAAAGGCGTAGTTCGATGAGGCGACATCATCATGTCTCCAGCCTAGTTGCCACGTATCCGTCGTGAGAATCAGGGCATCGAAGCCAGATTCCCAGGCTCGTGTCAAGAGTGATAGTGTCAGTTCATCATCGTGCGGCATGTATAGTTGGTAGAACCGCGGGTTGCCGGTTCCATTTGCTTCCGCCACATCTTCGATTGAGGTGCTCCCCGCTGTGGAAAGGCAGTAGGGGAGGTTGAGTTCGCCGGCGACTTTTGAGACGGCGCTTTCGCCGGACGGGTGGTAGATTTTGTTTATTCCTATTGGAGCGAAGCCGATGGGCGCGGAGACTTTGTGATTGAAGATTTCTGTGGATGTGTCTCGGTTGTTGGTGTCGACTAGTTGGTTTGGGATTAGGCGGTGGCGGTAGAAGGATTGGCGGTTTGTTAGGTGTGTGTTTGAGAGGCCTGCGTTTGAGGAGGCGTAGAACCTGGTGGGGGGCTGGTTAGTTTTTATTGTTTGGGTATATGTATATGGGTTGAATGGGTGGGTGGGTGTGTACCAGCCGCCTTCGCTGAGCTTTTCTTTGGCTCTTTCTTCTAGTTTTCGTGGGTCTTTTATACAGTTTAGTATCTGGGGTGGCTGTTTCCTGTGTAGATGAATTACCAGTGTTGAACAGGGGTGTCTGTCCCTCATTCTGCTTCAAGAAGTTCTCTCGCTGGTAAAGACCCCATTGGGGCGTGGTGCGGTTTTTGATGTGAGGGTTGTTGGGGTCACTCATTTCGTTATACAATGAGAATCAGGTTTTAAGGTGTCCAAATTGTAGAGTAAGGTTTGAAGCGATACAAGCATTGAATACTTGTTTTTCTTCAAAAATGGAAACTGCCAAATTTATAGATCTGTTTTATCTTATCGATGACTTCATATTGACGCTGTTGGCCGTTCTCGGACGAGAGAACATCATAATATGGTCTAACTTCGGTCCGGAGATCTTGCATTTAGTTATGCAAGATGCGAATGTTTGGGTTAGGATCTGCGCTTTGATCTGCGATAAATGCTTATTTTCCGTAGCAGATTATGCTTTCTTGAGGGTCTGGATAGCTCTTTGTATCGGTGCCTATAGATCCGGGTTGTCTGATGGTTTTTGAGGCGTTTCTCTGCTCACCGCTCGTCTTTGTTCATTTATTAGAGTTTATTTGAGGTACTCTACCTAGTCTATGTTTAATACCTCGGGTGCTTATGTCGTGTCAGTGGTCAATCAGTCGCGTTTGCAACGCTCTGTTTATATACACACGGATACAATAAGTATCATGATAAATAGAACTAATACATAACTAAATATTACTTGACTACGATGGATACACTGCGTGAGCGTGTGATCACTGTCACCCGGGAAGTCCATTAGTTGTTTTCACAAGGCGAGGTATACACGCAGGCTAAGCTTGTCTCAATTGCTCATCCACAGCACAGGGACAAAATACGAACATATACTCGGCCATAATTGGATTATATTGATGTGGAGGGCTATCTGGAAGGTATTGGCCGAGAGTGGTTGGTGTCCTAGCATGGCTTGCTCTGGTGGGATATATAACAAGAGTAACAGCTGGCTTCTTATGTGTCTCATCATGAGTGAAGGAACTAGGAGCTTAAAGAACAGAATCTGAAGCTAAGGTGAAGCTATGGCAGCCCGTATCCACCTATCCACCCAGGAAGAGGAACCATTATATATCTGTCTTGTTTTGAAACCAAGTCAAACATCTTAACAAGTTCGACTGAAGCTAAAACCTCGAGTGTTGCAAAGTGTACACCATCCGGCACGATTTCTCATTAAGTTCGCCCAACCCGACAAACCAAGAGAATAGGAGACAATCCAAACGTAATTCTCCAAATACCCCAGGAACCAACAAATAAGACGCAAAATAATGCGGCATTTACTAAGAAATCGGAAGTATGAAGCTCGGCGTTTTCGTCGGCATCCGAGAATCCCCGTCGGCGGCTAACCACATCGGGATCCTCGGGAACGTCACCGTCAATACTCGGTCCAGCTCTGTTCCTTTTATATTCTCTGAAAATACCTCAAACCCCCATATTCACAATGTTCGGTCTCGCAAGTAGACGGTCAGCACTTGCTAGCTCAAAATGCCTGGCTCCCTCATTGCCGGCGCGAGCCATGGTCGCAGCACAGCCTGCCTGCGCCAACATCCAGGAGTTTCATTCCACGTCTGCACAGGCTGCATCCCGGCCGACTTGGATGCCGATGCGTGTTAAGACGCCTTGGATTGATGCGTTGACGCAGAGTCGCGAGGCTGCTAAGGCTGGTTCGCAGGAGAATGCGGCTAAAGTTATTAAGCCTGATTTGACGCCGAAGAAGATGTCTGATAGTGCTTACAGTGCTGTATGTTACTAATCTCTGTGGGGATTAGGATTTATTATCTATTGTTAGGCGGATGCTGACTAGTGATATTATAGGTTTTGCCATTGGCTCAAGACAAGTGGCTTCTGGATTCCTACCTCAACTCCTCAGGGCATATCAGGTGTGTTCAAGATCGACGTTATCAAGGAGCATGCCACTAATCCTAGCAATAGATTGGGATCACTGCTGATGGATCTTGATGCCCTGGCAGGCATTATTGCCTACCAACATACCGGCGATGGAGTGTCAACCGTCACAGCTGCCGTAGACCGAATCACAATCGAGCACCCTCTAATGGAGATCTGCGACCTCGAGCTCAGTGGCCAATGCACATACGCAACAGGTCGCTCAAGTATGGAGATCTCGTGCCAGGTCAACAAGGTCCGTCCTGATGGACAGCCGGCCCAGCCCGATGACGTCCTCATCACTTGTGCATTCACAATGGTCTCCTTAGACCCGGCCACCAAGACGTATGTTCCTCATCAGTATGTGCACTACGCAGGCTAACCTCTGTGTCAGTCCCGTCCCTGTGGCACCTCTCATCGTGGAAACCGAAGAGGAAAAGCGCCTCTTTAAGAAAGGCGAAGCAAACTACCAAGCCAAGAGAGCTCTCCGCAAGCGCAGTCTCCTCGAGAGAGCCCCAGACGACGAAGAGAGCGACCTAATTCATTCAATGTGGACAAAGGAAATGTCCTACCTAAGTAAGTAACCCCCAAGCCGTAATTGCCACCCAAAACTAACAAAAACCCCCAGACACCCAAAGCCCCTCAACCCGCCCAGAGAACCAAGTTTTCATGAGCGACACCGTCCTAAAATCCGCCATGATAATGCAACCGCAAGACCGCAACCGCCACAACTTCATGATCTTCGGCGGTTTCCTGCTAAAACAAACTTTCGAACTAGCCTTCTGCTGCGCAGCGTCATTCTCGCACGCGCGGCCCAACTTCCTCGCGCTGGATCCAAGCACATTCGAAAACCCAGTGCCCGTCGGTAGCGTGCTGTACCTGCGTGCTACAGTTGCGTACACGGAGCCCGAAGAGCGCGAGGGCGATAGCACCAAGTACACGAAGGTGCAGGTGCGTGTTGATTCCAAGGTCAGAGATGTTGAGCATGGGTCTAAGAAGTCTACTGGCATGTTTAATTATACTTTCCTTGTTGAGAAGGATGTGCATGTTATGCCTAAGAGTTATGGTGAGTTTATGCTTTGGACTGATGCACGGAGGAGGGCTAGGAATGCGGCTGCTATCGATCCGGCGCATAAGACGAGTGCTTTGAGGGGTATTAAGGATAGTGTTACTGAGTAGATGGGGGTTTGGTTTGTATCTGTCGCTTGTTATCTGTTTGATTATAGAGATGGGTGGTATCACAGCCCATAATTATAGTTCCTTTCTACAATTTACGCTGAGTGGTACATCTACTTTCATCTGGAAAAGTTCAAAAATACATTCAAAACCGACATTTTTTGTAAACGCTACCATGCAAGGAGAAATAAAAAATGATTCTATATGTACAACGCCCCGAATCACCTCAATCCATTCCAACAAGAGCGTATGTATAAAAGCGGGAGGGGATATATATACGCAAACAAAAGCAGCCACAAAAGGCAAAAAGAAAGACACGACAAGAAAAAAATACTGTAATATCAATTCCCTCCCGCTTCAATAGAAACGAAACCATGAACATAAACCGACTCCACCGATGTCCAATGACAATGAGAATGAAGAATCCTCCCGGACAATGCACCAGGTATACACATAGTATTTGATCCAATTCACAGCTTTAAAAGATCCCAGCCCAGTTTCCTGTTCCAACTCCCTTTGCCTTGCCTTCGTCTTTCCATTTGGGTTGGATTGGAAGGTTTAATTTCAAATGATCGTTTCACTTCGTTATTTGTTATTCGGTATGTGCCCGAGGGGTTTTTGGAGTGAGGTGTTTGTTTTGATTCCACTTTTTGGTGTCTTTGAGGTCGTGTGAGAGAAATTTGTGTGTTGTTTTTGGTCGGATGTTAAGTGAGGTGGTGGTGGTGATGATGGTGATACTGTTTTAGCAACATATTTGAGATGAGGATGGCGGCACGTTTGATCCTTGTCGATGTTTGGACAAGTCCACAGGTCCGTCAGAGAGATAAGCGTGCCAATTTTGGTCACTATCGAAATCCGTGATGTCAAATGACAAGACACAGATAGGTCATTGCTCACTCAGAACCTCGGTAATAGCATTCGACGACAAACTCCCAGCCGTCCCATTCCCACTCTGATCTCGGGGTTTATCAGGCTGCTCCTCCTTCATACAAGCATTCTCCAAAATATTCGTCCACTTCCCACTCGTACCAGCATGACTATGCTTCAGATGCTGCCGGAAGTGATCGGCCCGGAAGAACTTCTTAGCATTATTGCACTCCCCATACTTATGCACAGTAGTCAAATGCTCGAATCGGGCATCCCAATCCGGCGAAGGGAAATTGGGGAATTCCTCGCCGCAGTAGCCGCATGTATCGTGCGATGGACCGGCGTTTGTTTGGCAGGATTGGGCGCCTGAGGCGTGGAATGCTGCTTGGAAGGAGATTAGGGCGGCGCAGGACCATGAGTGGCGGCGGAGGTGGAGGGAGTTTTGATGGCGTTCTGCTTCGTTTTTGTTTTTGAAGCGGTTGTTGCAGTAGGCGCATGCATATTGTTTTTCCATTTCGTGCGAGCTGGTTTTGGAGTTAGGATACATGTTTGGGGGAGGGGGTTGGTGGGTTCTTACCGGAGGTCATCTGGGTTGTCGAATTTCTTGGGTTTCTTTGGACAACAATCGCAGATGAATAGTCCGCCGAGTTTTGAAGTTGTGGGTTTTGGAACGTTCAGGATCGTCGTTGGCACGGACAATTTCCCGGTAGCATCTGTTGTAGGCGGTTCGAGGGAGGCTGGACCGGGGAGACCCCTTGCGATTGTTGGCTGGACCAGTGCTGCTGGGGAACTAGGGTTGAGGATCGATTTTTCGTGATAGGTATCGAGATCGGAGCTCGGGGAAAGACCACCCGGTGATCGTTGGTCGTACGGCGAAAGGCTAGTCATGCTGCTACCCCCAATGGAAAGCGTAGACGAATATGAACCCGACGTCCGGATACTCAAAGACGAAGCAGCCGAGAGCGTCCGTTGCCCGATGGGGTAATTGGGATTGACGGAAAGAGTGTTCATGAATGGATGACCGCTAGTCCTTCTCTGCGACAAATCGCCATTACTCGTCGTAACATGCAGCGTATGCCTCTCATCACTCATAGGTTCCCGCGGAGGCGAAGAAGCCCGTCGCTTCATGCCCTGCCTTGAATCCGGATACGGCGGAGTGGGCTCTCGAAGAATGAACTGTCGCGGTGGCGCCGGCTCATCGGTCGAGAACTCCCCCTCAATATCCGAAAACATGCCATGGTCATAACTTCCGCGGTTCGATCGACTCGGTAGACTGATGCTATCCTCCCGCTGGGGTGTCGTTCCGCGATACCGCCGTCGCCCAATATCCCGCAATGATCCCTGATCGTAGTCCAGCGCTGTTGATGGCGTATTGCTTTCCACACTTGGGCTTCTGCCTTCGATATGTTCTCGCCACCCGGGCTTGGTCATGGGCGAAACGCCCCCTGATTGCGGGCTGTTGTACCATTTCACGTCAAGCGTTGATCCTTCTGATGGTCCTGGTGAGGGGAGATTGCTGGAGCATCGTGATGGGGCGGATGGAACGGTGAGTGCGGATAGTGACCCTCGGTTATCTGTTCCTAGACTTATAGATCCCCTTGGCGAAAGGGGCTTTCCGATTTTTGACAATAGATGTTGGTCGTATGCATTTGATGAGTCTTTCACACTCCGCAGAGAAAAGTCGCGCTCGCCACTCAGCCTATAACAAGATTAATAACAAGAAGACTGGGGAAAATCGCATTGCCCAAACCGCATGCGCAGCCCTTGGCGCAAAAGTCACTTACATTGGACCTGTCGGATTCGTATTGATCGACATTAAACTTGGTAATCCCTCCGTGGCGGGAGGCGGCTCAATGTTAATCTGAGCTTCGGGGCTTCGCGAGAGGGGGGCACCGCTCTGCCTCCCCTCACATTCATCAATTTGCATACGATCACTCTGCGGCGCAGCGTCGGGTCGTCGATGGCCGCCAAATAAGCTAGAATTGGGGTTGATAGGCGGGAGAGAAGTTGAAGAATTCGAGTTTGCGTGATGCCAGCCAGCGTCATACCCGTTCTCCAGGTCGTGAATCCTGGGAGGGGGAGGAAGTGGTGGCGGAGCAGTGTTCATTGTAGAGCGAGAAGCTATAGGTAATGGGCCGTGCGATGCAAATGACAGCTCGGGCATAGCGGTTGGAGATCTTTCGAAGGCACGGCGATCTCTAAAATCATAAATACTCGAATGCGAAGATCGAAAGTCCATTCTAGAGCCAGAGCTGAACCAAAGAATCAATACGGGCTGGACGTCATGGACTTGAGATCGGAGGTCGAACTAGATGGCAATGGGAAATAAGCAGGTCAAATCAAGATCCTTGCAGCAGTAACCCAATCCAGTTGAGTGCAAACGTCGGCCGTGGAACCGGCTCCGATTTTTAAGCGGGCCGTTAACCTCGCGATGAGAGTGTTGAGAGGCCAGCTTTTGTCTCTTTAGAGAGTGAAGAGTGGCGCGACAGAGTCTTTGTCAGGGCCGTTGTGCAGTGCAAGTCTGTTTTTCAAGTCAGACTATGTCGGAATTATAGATAAAAAACCGGGGGCGAATAGGGCTGAAAAAGGGACCAACCTCGGGGCGTGGGCGATTCGCCTCATATGAAACGTTTCCCGCTATAGTGACACACAATCCGGCCATAGAATCAATTTGTGATTCAATGGCAGACCGGACTAGACGCGCACATGCTTAATGTAGAAAAGAAAGAAAAGGGAAAAAAGAGGCTATGTAGGCAAATTAGGACCAGTATAAAAGAGCTCTAATTCGGGGCCCAGCTGAAGCCCAGAAAAGGTACAAAGCTGAGAGGAGCTGAGAGAGGTGGAGAGAATGCTAGACCGGAGAATGCAGTCTGGAAATCGGCAAGTCAGGCAGGTCAAGAGATGGGCTCAAGGGAGAGAGTCTCGACTAATCAAGCGAGAGAAATTGAAACAGCAGGTCTCGGACTTAAAGTGTTGTGAGGTGACGTGGTGGAGAGGCGACGGGACGTATATGTATGTAATGTTCTTTACGTTACATACCTGGATACCAAATTCAAAAAAAGAATTTATTGTTCTTCATTTTAGTGTGTATATGTTTATTTAATTATTTCAAATTCATCTTTACGTTTATTATATTATATTTTCAGGCTAAATCTTAATTCTTACCCGCGTGGTAAGAACCACGTTGGAATGACACAAGGCTGGGACCTAAACCCTCTTAGACCCTCAGCCTTAAACGGACGCGCCGGCTCGTATTTTTGCCCCCTTTCTGCCAACAAGTTTAGTGGTTCCAACTGCGCACTGCTTGGCTTTCCAGAAAATGCTATTTCTCGGTAAGTGTAGTCCAGACTCCCCGCTGATCCAAGTGCTCTCTACCCCATATGGAGTCTTCACACTATTGACGGAAACCAACCAGAACCTCGCAGGATGGCTCCCCGTGCGGTCAACCTCAGAGTGGGGGTTGTCACTCGTATATTGGACGCCTCGTAAATGTGACCTTGACATTCCATCAGCTTGATCTGCTCCCAGAAAGGGGTTTGCAGTCGAAGTTCCAGGTGAGTGTTACCGAGGGCTGACAGGGCGACAGGGCTGGGAATCCCTTTTCGGTAAAGCAACCGGGTCGGAACGACTATGGCAAGGAGAGACACGTCCTTCGAAAACCATGGTTTAGCGGTGGCCAACTTGTAAAAGAGGGAGGGGCACAAATGCGGAGTCACGCCTCTGTAAGAATGAAGTATAGATTGGCAGGGTCTCGAGCAGAATTTCAGCCAGTGACAATATACACCGGGGACTTGGAAGTCTTGGCATTTAGGCTTAACATCTCCCGGCTCTCATGAACTCATGAAATGTTCTTCAAATGAGTACCTACTTGAACTGTACGAAGTATATAGGGCAATACGGGGTCAGGACCCAGGCAAATCGGATTATTCGGATAACATTCTTGAGAGAACATTCTTTTGCCTCCACATAAAAAGCAGACAACGAGTTGGACTTTGACCCACTGATTGCTAGTGCGCTCCACTTGGCGCCTAAAATTGCATGCACTGCCACACTGCCGGCTTGTCTTCTGGGCGCAGGGGGTGTGAACCTTCTTGTGTGAACATTCTCGAGACATGCTACTTGCTCTGGGAAGTGTGATTTCCCCGAAAATCTCCCAGATATTGGCCTGATCTTTGTAAGGGAGAAAGCGGAACGTCGGAACAAACCTTCCAGCGCTGCAGGGAAGGATGAGTAATCTGGGTCTCCACACCAGCAGAGCTTCCAGAACAAAAACCTCTGAGCGTCTTCCTTTCCAAGGATCTTGCTTCGCTAAACCAGTTGTAGTACGTAGGCTAGTGCTAGGGGTGTAACGGGGTTTCTGAGATCCGTACAAAGCACAAAGTAAGCCCTATTCTCATTGTACGGGCGTGTACTGTATTCAATATCAGATCGCCTGACGGTGGGCATCTCCACCCAGCCTATCATGGATTTTCTGAAAAGCTAGGCTCCAGTACATGTAGTTTGACATGGTATGATAGTACGGAGTATCCACAGACTCAATTTTCGAGAGTGGCAGTGAACTTGGCAAATACGACACCACACTGCATTGCTTCAATGTGTTGAACCGCTGTGGCGGGATAGTCACTTGTGCAATAAAGTTTCTTATTCCTCGATCGTCGCCGTCAAGCCCCAGTTTGGGATCCAGGAGGCGAGAAGCCCTCTCCATTTGAAGACGTCACCACCCTCTGGCTAAGCTCTAGACTCCATCGCAGTGCGTCTGTTCTGCACCTCATTTCAGGAAATGATCAGAGAGGCCACTGTAGATATTCCAAAGTGAGGCACGAGGCATCTAGAGGCGCCCTGTACTCCGTACCCGGGATGATACAGCCTGTCAGCAGCCCCTGGAGAAGATCGGGTGCAATTAACCGCATCACCTCCTGAGGCGCAGCCAGCCTTAAGCCCTAGAGGGCTGCAGCCTAGCAGTGCATGTCACCTGTAGTCCAGGGTATGACGCGACGCCTGGTCCTCTATGGCTGCCCTGTGTTCCGTATATGGCTTCGAGTCACATCTCGTTATTTATCCTTCCACGGTTAATACCGGCCCCAGTCAGCCTGTGGGTTCCCAGCGGCAAGTCTAACACTGGCTTCGCCCTTCATTCACTTTGTGATGACCCTTGCAGCTGTTGGAACAAATCAGATCGGAGCACGGTGAGGTTCAGTGTTTGATGTGTGTCGGGGATAAACCGCGCTCCACATTACGGCGTAAACCGCTAGGCTAGACTTCTCTTGTGTTTTCCCTATCCAATTATGCTTGTGCTTTGAGTGCTTGCGTGTAGTTGTAGGTGTGCGTTACGACGGTACAGTGGCCGGCCCGTCGGTGAGGGATCTAGATTGGTGAGCGCTCTACACGCCTTATATTATTAAAGAGGGGTAGTTGGCTGAAATAAATGAGAGCGTATATGTAGCTTGAAGGATCATATTTTGTATAAGGCCTTTCCATCGCGCGAACAGACTATAAGTAGATGGGCTTGTATACAAAACCATCCCCAAAGTGTGGAGCCACTCATACAGTGGGTACTCTGGAGTGCTAGTCAACCTATACTTACAGGTCTAATCTTTCCAAAGAAGTCACCGTTCAACATCAAAGCACGAAAGTGCAAGTAGCCGAAATTTCTCTTTCATTCACAAAGCTTAGCCTAACAGAATATAAAATGAAAGGATATTCAAAATTCTGCCTAAGGCACCAATGTCACCTGCTTTGTCATACCCTTGCCCTATCAGAACTTTCTGAGTTTGGCAGCGCCGAGGCTCAACCTCCGCCTTGTCCAAGTAGGGAAGAGTTACAGACTTCACTCTTAGAAGCTCTCTCTACTTTCTTTTTGATCTTCTCTTTCTGTCTTCTACATTCTCACTCTGCTGCCCAGTTGCAGCATTTATTTCAAAATGGCCATGAATCAAATCAAAGGCCACAATATCTACGTCGGCGGGTTAGTCTCACTTTGATATTTAGATACTACAGCAACAGATATATCCAAAGCGGGGCTGGCGATCGATACTGCCAGCACCGTGTTTGACAGTTTGTTTTACATTTCTAACCCGCCAAATATAGTATATTCTGCCTGAAAAACAAAGCAGCAATGAGTCGAGCAGATATCTCCCACGTGCTATCAGTGCTACGGCTGAACCCATCAGAGGAGACTTTTGAGGGCTATGAGCATTACTCTATAGGAGTCGATGATACTGATGACGATAATCTATTGGAACATTTCCCTGCGGCCATCAAGTTCATCCAAGCCGGTCTGGACACCGGTGGCGGCGTACTCGTACACTGGTGAGTCAAAACAAGCCGAATTCCTCTTTTATTGGTCTTTCCCCTTTCCCTCAGCTCTCCAGCTGTCCCTCTATCGTTCAGGGATGTGGGCTATACCTGTGGCTTCGTGCCTCCTACGTCATCTCGTGTACATCAATTGCGATCTACACGTGGCTGGAGGTTCCTGCAAATCCCAAGATGCATGCTCCGCCCTTTTCTGGGCATTTCCGAGCCAGATCAGACTTGCTCGACATGGAAAGATGTACAGTGGCTGATGTGACGATCCAGTGCGATGGGGAAGTCCCGCTCAGCAACCATTTGCATCGCCTACTTGCTCCACCGCCAGCCCGGGGCGCTCACACCGCAGTCTGCCCTTGCGCTGGTACGCGAAACCCGGCCCCTCTGTGAACCTAACGATGGCTTTATGGAGCAGCTCGAACTGTATCGTGAAATGGGCTGTCCAGATGATGTCACCGAGCATCCATTGTACCAGCGCTGGCTATATCGCCGCGACGTCGAGGAAAGCGTGGCGTGTGGTCGAGCCCCAGAGCTAAAGTCAGTGCGATTCGAAGATGAACAACCCATGCGATCCCAGGAAAGCACCGGTCAAACAGTTGAGATCAAATGCCGGAAATGCAGGTTAGTTCCCGCCCCTGATCTAGATTTACTATTACAGTGAAACACGGACCAAATCCGCTAACCCTATATCCACAGACGCAAATTGGCAACGACCCCATTCATCATTCCGCATGAACAAGAAAAGCAAAACAGCGCCAAGATCAACCCGTCCGCCGACTGCGCCCATGTCTTCCTTCATCC